GTTCGAAGCCACCTCCGATCGGGTTCCCAGGGATGATGCAAGGGAGGTACTTTCCAGAGGGTTTTTTGGTTTTCCATCTATAAATTATTATAGATTCTATCTATAGATTTATAGATTGTATCTATAGATTTGTAGATTAGATCTATAGATAATATATCGATTATCTATATAGATTTGTAGATTACTGTATATCTCCCATCTATTTGTTCATCCATATAATATCATATCATATCCAATTTTTTCGCAATTTTTAATGGGAACACCATTGAAGTAAATGATTGGTGATTTCACCGACGAAATATGGAGGTTTTTGTGGAGATGTAACGGGTAGACAACGCAGGGATACACTATGGATGTACCCTACTATGGGCTGCAGTTGGCATTATGAATGCATATAGTCCATGCTATTTAAAAAAAAAAAAACATTTGGGTTACGAACTGTGCAAGGTACGATGGGGCATTTCCAGGGCATGATCCAGGTACTGCTTAAGTTATTTCCAAGCCGGGCCCGCGGGGCTAACGCGGGGCCCGCGGGACCCGTTGCCGAAAAAAAGTGGTTGAATTCAAGGGTAGTGGGGCCCCCGTTTACGATAGCGTTCAGTTGGTGAACATAACTCCAATTTCACTATGGTTTATGGTAGATATAAGTATAGTTAATGGGGTTTATAAGCCAACAAACATCATTGGGGAGGCCCATCCTGTAGAAAAAAGGAAGAATTTCCTTGGAAATGGCCAGCAAAAACACATGACTGAAAATTCAGAAAACCATAAACTACCAACCCTTCCTATTTCGCCATTTTTTTGCTAGGAAAATTGGGTGTTCCTAGTTTTGGAAAGTTACAGACAAATGTCCTCCTATTTCCAAGCGGCTACAACTTTTTTTCCGAAGGGATCTTCACTTTGGGGACAGGTGTTCCACTGGATTGTAACGAACACGTTTTGGAAGTTGGAGACGTTTGCTGATGGTCAATAAGTTGACATCTTAAAATCCCTGTGAATGCTATGCGATTAAGGAGTCACACAACAATTTCAAGTTAAATCTTGAAAACCTATGATCCCCACGCTCTAAAACAAAAAATAATAGTAAACAAATGCTTGAAGTTGTTTCATCCTGACTGGGGAAATGGCACTGCATAGTCTTCTTCGTGAATTTAATGTATATATATATGTATATTGTATATACATATATATGTATATATATAATAGATCTTAAACTAGGAGAGTTGTGACCACCAACCTGACATTCCAAGTCCTCCTTGGATTTCGCAGCCAGTGATGTATAAACCAACTTTGAATTGTGAATCTCCATGTAAGCTGCATTCCAACACACTTATATGCACGCTCATAAATGTCAATTTGCCACAAGGAGCCAAATGGATCCAAATGGCATAACATACACGGATCCTGTGCCACTTCAAAAATCTATTTCATGACACATGGTGTGTTCACCAAAGCATTCTAGCAGGATCGCTGGAAAGAAAGTGAGGCGTAACAGGAATCGCCAAGTTGTTGAACACAACGATGATAACTGCGGTTTACAGTTTATAATAGTTGTAGCATTTCTTCTTTTACAATAGTAACATATAGTAACTATATAGTTATAACTTATATAACATGTTATATGTATCTATGATGACTGGGGTTGATGGTTGATGATGGTTATATGTATCTATGATAACGTTTCTAAACCAAGTTAGATCTACGGTCTAACCACCATCAGATTCCATTGACAAAGCACGAACCGGCCAGATTTGAATTGACAACAAATCATACAACTCCGACAAGTGGATACTTTTTTTGGGCAGTGCCGAGGGTAATCATGGGTAACCTGCACACATTGGAGCTGTCTCCAATTTGGAGAAATCTTCGAAGTGCCCAGGTGCGAATTTGGGCTTGAAGTACACTGAAGAAGTGTCTCTCGGACCAACCGCCCGAAATGCCGCAGATCATCTGCGCCCAAAAATGGGCAGATGGTAAAGCCAATACCCTCTGGTAATTTAACGTAACTATGGAAAATCACCATGTTTAATGGGAAAATCCACTATAAATGGCCATTTCCAATAGCTATGTTAAATTACCAGAGGGTAAATCATCCGATTCCGATTCAACAACCGTTTGGGAATCATTTGACGTCATCAATCATAGGGGTGCATAGCACCGAACTAATACCCGGTCAGTGTTGGATTTATCACATCACAGTATGTAGTTGAAATGAAATCCTTAGAATTCACCATTTTCGGCCTCCATTGGTGCCCTCATCGAGGATAGAGATGGAGTTTCGGGTGTGTTTGGCCAGTGAGTTCGCATCACCGGGAAGTGTGTGTGGTGGCCACATTCAATGGATTGGTTTAAGGGAAATATAGGGAAATCAGGAAAATTTGGGAGACCCCTTAAAAAAAAACATGGAAAAATCCATGGTTTCCGGGCGAAGATTTTCCCTTCAACCGATCCCTTGCCGCATGGTGCAAACAGCGATATGATCACAGCGCTGCCTGTCTTCGACTTCTTCAACTGAGTCAGTATAATTATTTGGTTTGAAGACAGGGATACGAACTTAAATGGACGCATCATTTCGTTCCTTTTTGGTTCCCAAGCATACTGAAGCATCCAACTTAGGTTGTGAGGAACAGCTACCCGAAGTGAATTTGGGAAGCGAGTCAGTAACGCTGTTCAAATATCATTGCTGTGATAGCTTTCTGGGGCTCAGTGGCACCCTTTCCCAATTTGAACAAGTCAGGGACCAAATGGAACCAAAAGGCTTACTGTAAGAAAACCTGAAGGAAGCAGAGTATGATGTTGCTTTGTGGCAGCAGGGGCAGCTGAAATGCTTGGTTTCAAAGTTAGCCAAAAGAAGACGACCAGAATCATGGATAGCACCCGTGCCCATCCCCCCAAGAAATATCCAAGTTAGCCAATGGTTACTGTAATCTTCATGATTATAACCCCTTTATAAATAACGGGTAACCCAAAAATTCACCATAGCTACAACTGTGGTGAACATCTAAGCCGATGACAAGCCTTGCCGTGTACTCGATCTGAATATTTGCTACTCGTCTTCCTAATTTCAGTGCCTTCATATGCCTTAATCAAATCCAATTTGTTTGAACTGAAATCCCAACGTTTCATGTATGGAAACTCGAGGCTTTCAGCAAAGCAAACATGATGTCGTTGAATGTCTTTGAATTTTCTTCATGGAATTTGAGCGAATCCCAGCGAATCCCACTGTGATCCCACCAGACTGACCGCAATCAGGCACTTGTGGCATAGACCCTCACTAGAGGTGGATCAGACTTTAATTGACTCCCTTGAGGGTTGGGACACTTGTCGCGGAGACGTCACGTCGAAATCGCAGTCGGAGGTACCTGAAAATCTTGGGAGCCCCACAGTCCAATGGTTCATCCATCTTTCCTCTAAAATTAATGGATAATCCATTGTTCATATAATTATTCTACTGTTTATTCCAATAATTCTTGGATTTATACCAATACTAGATTGGGTTACTCAATGATTAATATAATGAACTAATCCCAATTTTCAAACAGACCCGGTCGAATCCTGGATGTATGGAGTGATGGGTTATCTTCATACCAGCTCTTGGATGAGGATTTGCTGCCCTATGGAACTAAGCATGAGGCCCTTGGACTTTTTGGCCCTTACCCTCTGGTAAACTAACATAACTATGATAACTACGGAAAATCACCATGTTTGATGGGAAAAATCATTATTTCGACTGGGCCATTTTCAATAGCTATTTTGACATAACCAGAGGGTACCCATAAACATGTTACTATCCAGTGGCTAGTAGCGAGCTAAGGAGCTACCAAAAGTTTCCGAACCAAAAAAAATAGTAGATGCGAGAATTTGAATTGGGGCACAGTTGCCATCATTTATTTTTAATTTCCTGCCTAGCAGGAACTGGTGTTAGTTGATGTTGCTGGGTCAGACTCAAACTTCGTCTCTTGACCTCGGGTGCAACCGGAGGATGAGGTCAGATGAGGTCAGATGAGGTCAATGGATCAACCAACTTGAGGGACTGCAAAACTCACCAAACAGCATCAAGATATCAAGGTGTTTTTTGAATGTTGGTCTTTGCAGGCCTCGTTGAGTAAAAAATGGGTTGATGGATCCTGCAAATGCGATTGAGACATGGATAGATTTGATATCACTTGTCAGTGGCCCCCCCAGTTATAAGTTGGTTTATAAACCCCATTAACCAAAAGTTATAAGTATATCATAAACCATAATTTCGTGAAGTTATAAACCAACTTAGCTATCATAAATCAGCTATAAATCCCATTAAAACCCCAATGTTTGTTGGTTGAATCACCATTTTCCTATGGTGTTCCTATGTATATCTGATATCTCTGTGGAGCCCCCCAGGGATTGTGTTTCGGGTGAAGTCCAATATCGTTCAAACGACATCACTGGCCAGGAAAATATCAGAAACGACGTTTGAGAGGAAAAAACTCAAGGAAAACTGGTTGGTGCTTTGGAACCATGGAATTTTATGACTTTCCAATATTGGGAAAAATCATCCCAACTGACGAACTCATATTTTTCAGAGGGGTAGGTATACCACCAACCAGAAAAAATCGTATGATTTTCCAATAGGTTTTTCCAATGAAGTCTAGGTTTTGGAAAGAGTACCCCTGATTTTCGCATTTCACAAGCATGGTAGTTTTACTCTGAGGGCCAGACCCGGAATAGCCCGTGGTACGGATAAGAATTGGGGGCAACGATACTCAAGACAGACCAAGATATCTCCACATCGTTTTGGTGGATTCCATGTTGCTTCAACGCCTATTTTGGGCGTAAAATTGCCATACAAATTTCCATGTCCATTTTGATGGTTATAATATGATATAATATGTTATAATTAGCATGTCCCACTATAATTTATCACATGTTCTAATAAGATTGCCATAAAAAAAAAAACATGACCCTTTTAAAATCCCCGTTTTTTCTATGGTTTTTTCTGGTCCATCTTTGGACGTCAGGAAATGTTAGAAGGTGATGATCCTTTAGAAGATTATCAGGCGCCCAAACTGGGAAGCCCCATGGGATGAGCCCTTCCTGGGGATGATCCCCGGGTTGATCCTTGGGTGCCTCCCAGTGAGTTACCCTCTGGTTATGTCAAAATAGCTATTGAAAATGGCCATTTATACTGTAGTGAGTTTTCCCATAAAAAATGGTGATTTTCCATAGTTATGTTAGTTTACCAGAGGGTATGGCCATTGAAATGATGCGAAGATGATGACAATCCATTGGTAAAATGACCATCGAAGAAATTCACATGACCGTGTTTTTAAGGGAATAGACATCCATTAACCAGCTATGACTTAGACATGGAGAATGATGATTCAATGAACATGAATGAAAATGATGAAAATGATATGCGAAACCATAGAACAATGGGAAAATTTGGGATATTTGGGGTGTTCCAGTTCCAACATTTTGAGGTACATTGGGGTGAGTAGGTCGCCAAAAAATCTTGTCGCGCGGGTTCCATGGGTACCATGGGTTCAGCATGATGTGGATCATCCTGTGGGGGCCTTTTGGAAGGTAGTCGATGGAAGTTCCATTCTGCTTGAAACGAGATCTTCAAGGTGGGCAGCGATGACAGCCCTTGAGTTTTAAGCGCTTCGACCAAGGAAGAACCAGTGAGTTTGAGCTGAATTTTTGGGACATTTAGGACATTTATTGATTTTACCAAAAAACCATTAGGTTGAAGGAAGACCATTGTTTGGATATTGGATACTCAGCAAATGATGGGTGATGCTAGGTGTCCAGAACTGGCGAGGATCTGACTAAGACGACTTGGAACTTGTGGGGTCCCAATGATGTGAATGGTGGTTTAGATTCACCCCATGACTGGAGCTTTTTCAACCAACAACTAGCTATCCAATCAGTCGATGGAAGATGCTGGTTGTCGATAAACTCTCTATGAAATGGTTTCCCAATCTTCCCAATCACATGATAGATGTTGATTTCAACTTCGGGGTTGTTTACTCCTGTCTCCACTCCCATGCCTGCTGTAGACCAGTACCCAGCCTGAAAATCACCGGCGTCACTACCGCCAAAGCATGTTCCAATGATGTCGCGGATCATCTATCCTCTGGTCTGGTTATGTCAAAATAGCTATTGAAAATGGTCATTTATAGTGGGTTTTCCCATTAAAAATGGTGATTTTCCATAGTTATGTTAGTTTACCAGAGGGTATCCCGAATAGTTTTAGGTTTCAAACTATTCTATTTCAGAATGCACTATATAGCTACCTTGACTAAGATGACTAAGCTTAAACGGCTTAAACTAGGTCTGAATGGGATTATAAACCCAATTCTGTATGATACAATATGATAGAATAGTATTTTGGAGCTGATATGTCGGATTGTCGGTATGAGTCAAAATTCAAGACCTAGGAGACACTTCTACTGTAGGACCAGGATTAGGGGAGTACAGATGACCATCTTGGGCACCCATATTTTGACTTCTACCCATGTGAGCCAACCAACAACACCTTTTTGTCATAGGTCATTGCATCCCACGAGTGGTCCGCATGTCATGTTTCTTATAAATTATATTAATGATTATTAATGTATAGGCCCAAAAAGATTGGTAAGTTCATGTGATTCATGTAAGTTCCCATTCTTTTTGAATATCTTTGAATTGGATTTTACTTTTCAATCTTAAGATGAATTGGGAGTTGCTATCCCCAATTGACGTTGTTGCAGTTTCGACAGCAGTTTCCAGGTCGCTTCCATCGCCCCTTGGATCTGAACACGTGGGGTACTGGTATCCTTCCATTGGTATCCCCGAACTAAGTGGCAGTTTCTGGGAAAATCTGATTTTGTTTGGTGGATTTCTAGCTTGTCACATTTGATTACCGCAGGGTAATGTGGCGTCAAAGATATGTGGCTGAAAAACCATCGGTTGCTTTGGTGATCAGAAATGTGGCTTTAACCATGGGTTTAACCATGGCTTAACCATAAAACATTGGGCTTTAAGTGGTTTAATGCCATGTTTCACCATGGTTAAACCCACATTTCTGGCATGGTTTAACCATGGTGCGGCGTTAAAACATGGTTTAAGTATCAACACTTGGGATTGCCGCACCATCAACGAGCGCTGACGGAAATGGTTCACCAAGGATACCTGGTATTTCACCCTGTTGCTGATTGTTGGACCGCTATTTCTCCTAAGATTCTTAAGGTTTCCGGATGATTGTTGGTCAAATCCACGCAGTTCTTGAACTCCAGTTGTTTTGACTGGTCAAATAGAAAAACACATATTTTGCATGTCTGAAGTACTGATACTATCTTTGCTTGAGTACTAGACTAGAAAACATAATTCATGGTTGATAGCAAAAACCACAATTTTCCAGTTTCCATGGTAAAGTATGTTTCTGTATATAATACCTATATCCATGAGGTTATCTGTTGATTCCATTCGTTTGACATTGTTTGCCATCAAAACCGGTTTACGTCAAAAAACATTTTGAAAAAAGGCAACCATTGATTTGACTAACAGGATGGGTTTTCCATTGATAACAAGGTTCCACTTACAAACAGAAAAGATGTTCCAGTTATTTGATCGTACAAGGTGATTTGATTGTATTGAACATGTATATTATAATATACTACATACATATTATATTATATATATGTTGATTCTATAGTTTCTATAAGGAGTCGACTATTTTGCATATTCAATTTAGTATATTTAACATTCCCCTTAGCTATAGATTCAATCCCTCCAAGTATGGACAAATTTCCCAGCTTGAAACCTCCATTTACAAATAATGTTCCCATAGTTTTTCTATATTTTCCCGTATCTCCCCATATATTTCCTATTCATTTCCCATATATGTTCCTATGATCTTCCCGTATTTTCCCATGATCTTCTTATGAATTTCACATACCCTCTGGTAATTTAACATAGCTATTGAAAATGACCATTTATAGTGGATTTACCCAGCTATAAAATGGTGATTTTCCATAGCTATGTTAGTTCACCAGAGGGTATGGTCCATCGTTTTTCCCACATCTTCCTATATTTTCCAGTGACTTTTCCATCGATTTCCAGTTCGATGCTAAAAACACCGCTTCCTCAACCCTTCCTCTGGGACAGGCGCGACTTGGTAGACGATCGGCAGGCGTGGCCCTTCTTTCATCGCCTCAGAAAGGACTTCAAACAGAAGACTTACAAGGACGGAACTGAACAAAATCCTTTGGAAAAATGGTGATTTAATGGGATTTGAACGGGTTTCATCCTATGGAAAAATTATGATTTAATTGGTTTTTACCCCATGAAATTTGTGATTTAATGGGATTTGAACGGGTTTTATACTATGGAAAAATTGTGATTTGATGGGTTTTACCCCATGAATTCAATTGTGATTAAATGGGATTTTAACGGGTTTTACCCTATGAAAAAATTGTGATGCAATGGGATTTTAACGGGTTTTACCCCATGAAAAATTGTGATTGAATGGGATTTTAATGGGTTTTTTAAGGAGTTGCACCTTTGCTAAAATCTAGAGACCCTCACCTGGCAGGTGGGGAAAGAAAATATGATTTCAACCATTGGATTCTGGAGTTGTTCCCATCATTTTCAGATACAGGATGGGGCCCCCAGTGATGTTTGTTGGTTTATAAACCAATATAACCTCCATGAAAACTAGTTCGTTGTATCTACCATAAACCATAGCATTCAGCCACTTACAAGGCAACTGAACGCTATCTTGGGGGCCCCATCCTGTACCAAGTGACATGGAAAATCCATCGCTGCAGGACCCACAGGATCCCAACGTTATTTTGGAGGTGGATGACAAGATTGATGCCGCGGCCAAAGAGGAAGGGCGGCGATCAAGGCACGTCGAAGAAAACGTCGGGGATGACGTGGGCAATGGGGGGTATATGACGTGTGACTGTGGGTAATGGGGGTATATAGATGTACCCTCTGGTAAACTAACATAGCAATGGAAAATCACCATTTTTAATGGGAAAATCCACTATAAATGGCCATTTTCAATAGCTATGTTAAATTACCAGAGGGTAAACAGAAGCCACTGATTTTGAATTGCTTCTATTTGTACCTGTCCAGTACTAGCCATCCCGAAGACCTACGATTCAGAGCTGCGCCATCTCATTCCTTGGGATAGCATGAGCAGCAGCTTCCCGATTGGCTTCGAAAAACATCGAAAAACACTTGGTTTGGAGCCACTTTTTCAAAGGGGCCACAGTCGACACATGTCATACCCAGTTGAGTTGGCATTGAATGATGTCCTTGAAAGAATTGTCGCCGGGCCAAGCCGGAATCTTCAAACAGCTGGTGTTGTGAAGAGTAACAATTTGCTGGAGGCAGTGCAAATTAAAAAATGACTGAACTGTTAATGATTGATAGTGAATGGTTAATAGGGAATGATTAATAGTAAATGACTAATAGTCAATGATGGAATAATAATTAAGAATGATGATGATTATTATTATTACTGGCAATAATGATGATAAATGGAAAATACCATTTGGTAATCAAACATTGCAAGCTGGAACATCCTCTATAAATGGAAGTTTAATTGGGACAATCATCGAACTAAGTAACTACCTGGAGATTTTCCAGCCATGTTTATACCTCCCCGCAATCAGGATATGGGGGTGAAGAACAACTAACATCAACTAAGCAAAATTAAGATGAAGCGGAAATGATGTTTACATACCCGACATAAATGGATGTTTCATTCCCATCTCACCAGAGTTTTTCATTGTGAAATCAGGTGACTACCCACATTGGTTGTGGTTCTGATTTACTCCCTATGGATCCAAGTGATACATATATTAGATACATATCATATATACATATATTATATACATATTTCGCCACACAGAATTTCGCTTTGCATTGGCCACATCGAAAGATCCTATGCGCATTGGCCGCAAAAAAAAAAAAAACAGATTTCGGGCTAAGTAATGTGAGAGGTACTGAAACCCCATAGGACTGGTCAAGGACTCATGATGGGATAAGAAATCGGCTGAGCGGTTTTTTGCGCGTTGAACAGAATTCTTGTGAAATGGGCGAAGAGAAAGAGTGCAGGTACCTTGATTTTTGTCATAGTGAAATCCATTGTAACATCACAATTATCATTCTTTGGAGCAACAAATGAATTTAGATTACCCTGACGGGAATCTTCAGTGGACTTTGCGTTCGAAAAACTCTGCAGGGATCGCATTTTTGGTTCTAAATGGGGATCTATTGGGTTTGAAACTATTCTCCCAGTAAATGGATTGATATATTTATCAGGTGGTATACTGGGTAAGTGACAGCAATTCTGAAATTATAACTGCAATAACCATTTAATGGATCCCATGCAGTGCCCGTTTGCAAGTCTAGAACCTTTGCAAACCCAATTGGACCCATTGTTTCATTTGGGACTTCATATGAAATGCACTTGGACATTTATTTACATTAATTCCACATGAATGATACTTATTGCCACTGGAACTAAATGGAATCCGACACTAAACCATGAATTGCAACCAAGTTGGCAACCATTATGACAATTACCCTCTGGTTATGTCAAAATAGCTATTGAAAATGACCCAGTCGAAATAGTGGATGTTCCCAGCTATAAAATGGTGGATCTTTCCATAGTTATGTAACAGTTTACCGGAGGGTATTCCATTATAATTCCAATAACTCCATTATTAATGGATTATACTACCTGGATCCAATAATCCATTATACTAGTGGTTGGTGGTTGACCAATCCCACATTTCATGTTTCCATGTCCCACATTTTGTATCCACCTGAAGCCGCCCAGTGTGAGCAGCGAGTGCAAATGGTACGCCGCCACCGTGGTTCAAGTGGAGGCTGATCGGCTTTCCGGCTGGTTGGTTGATGATTATAGGGGATTATATTACCCAATCTGGTTGCTGGTTGGTGGTTTCAAACATTTTTTATTTTCCATAATATATGGGATAATCCTTCCCATTGACTAATATTTTTCAGAGGGGTTGAAACCACCAACCAGATTGGGAATTATAATTACTTAATAATCTAATAGGGGAATCCCTATTAACCAAGCAGTATAATAGAAAGACAGAGGGAATTTGAAGGCTGCTCACTTGGAAATGCATCCCACGAATCGTAAATGGGTCAACAACCACCAGTTAGATTCATGGAATATCCCCAGTGAAAAAATGGGATTATATGGGTTATATATATTGATGATACACCACGGATCCTAAATGGGATGCACATCCAAGTAGAAGATGGTGTTTCTGGTAGCAATCAACCCAACAAAGAGTGAGATGTTAGGACATTTTTAAGCAACACTTGTTTAAACCTGATTTGATCAGCAAGAATAGATGTCAAGCAACAAACATGTGATCCATGTTCGAAACACTTGGTAGACCACTGCGGTCTTTCGGTATGTTTTTAGTCTCGCACACGCAAGAATAGCTTGGGTTCAATCCAAAACATGTGGTTTTTGGCACCAAACATGCAAAATCTTGACCCAGAAGAAAGTGTCTGTGCAATTTGATGTGTCTGTGGGGGCAAAAGCAATCATGAGTAAGGATGACTGTATAATCAGGGTGTTTCTGAAGCTCGAGGACCCCTTTCCAGTTTCTGGGCCCCTTTCCAGGAATTGGATCGTCAAGCCCTGTGCAAAGGTTGAACCCCTGAACGCAAAGTCGGTGAACATAACTCCAGTTTCACTACGGTTTATGATACGTATAACTATAGTATTCATGGGGTGAATATGGGTGAATCTAAACCAACGTTCACATCACTGGGCACCATATTGTATCGATATCCCTATGGGAAATCTGCATGAAACCACCAGCAAAGTGTAGGTCATAGAGGACCAACGATCAGCCCTGTTCAGCCCGGTTGATTCAGACCTCTTGAGATGTGTTGAGTAGCTATACCCTGATTGGTGCTTTGGAACATGATTTTTTATGACTTTCCATATATTGGGAATAGTCATCCCAGCTGACTTTCATATTTTTCAGAGGGGTTGAAACCACAAACCAGTACCTATATCATGCCTTACAAGACATCGAAACAGATGAGATTTAAACTGCTTCGACTTGGGATAGGATGTTCTGGCATTTTGCAGACTTTGCAGCTGTAGAGTCGACAAAGCAGTACTGTTGCTTTATGTTTTTTGAACAAAGATCGAGGTTTGATTTACACTAAAAAATTAGGGACCCTGTGCCACATGGCTTTGGATGATGTTCCTATATGTTCAACTGTGATTTTTCCATGCTTTCCCCAGTCAAATGTTCCTGTTGTCTCTATCATGTGCCACCTTTCCGACATCGGCAGGGCTCCAGATTGCTGGTGCAGTTCCACAATCGGCCCAAGCCCAAGGTGGCTCGATATGCTCTGGGACAAGTGCTTCACAGCAACCAGCCATATCAACCACCAATCGCAGTGATTTACCCTCCAGTAAACGTTTACATTTTGCGAACTGGAAAATCACCATGCTATTAAGAACGGTAAACCATCTATTTCTATGGGCTATTTTCCACAGCTATGTTAGTTTACCAGAGGGTATATACTTAGAAGTTATAAGTATCATAAATTACTGTTATTCGTGGTTAATATGGTTACTGGTTGGTGGTTTCAAACATTTGGATTATTTTCCATAATATATGAGATAATCCTTTCCATTGACTAATATGTTTCAAGACGGTTAAAACCACCAACCAGGTTAATATAGTTAATATGGTTAATATGATTAATATGGTTAATATGGTTAATATGGTTAATATGGTTAATATGGTTAATATGGTTAATATGGTTAATATAACTACATGATGTGGGTAAAACAATCATAGACAATCCCCAAGTCACCATAAATAGGTGGTATAAACGATTCCCAAATGGGTAATTTAATGTACTTTAGATATCTTAATGTTAACGGGGTTAATGGGGTTGTAATAGTTATTATATAATAGTTAATATAGTTAATGGTATTATAACAACTATAGGATAGTTAATATAAGAACCACTATGGTATTATATATAGTTAATGTAGTTATGGGGTTTATAAACCATGGATTAATCTGGGTAAATTATAATGTCCTCACGTCGTGACCCCACTGCAATCATGGGAATTGGATTCGGGAATCATCCCCAAATGGCCCCCAACATTTTAGGTGAGGGATTTTGCATAGTATGTTTAGCAGTTTTAGTACTTAGTAGGTAGTGAATATGCATTGCCAATCATGGTTATAACTTCGTTTTAACTCATGATATCACTAGTTATATTGATAGGCTGTTGTCCAAATAACAACCGGGGTGCACGAATCCGGTTGTACACTTCAAATAGCCGAGCTTTGTCATTGATCAAAAGAAATGGGGCTGGGGTGATTTTTCGAAACCAACTAGGCTGCGAGTCCACTGGCAATCTAGAAATCAAAATTTTCGTGGACCGTGCTTTTATATTTCTCCACCTGCCAGGTGAGGGTCTCTAGATTTTAACAAGGGTGCAACTCCTTCCTCCCTCCCTGCCTGCCTGCCTCCCTCCCTCCCTTCCTTCCTTCCTGCCTTCCTTAGACTGTCCGGCCTGACATCGTTGCAGATTTTGAGCGCAAACGTGTTGCCAAAGCCAAAGCCGAAAGTGACATGACCATTGATGAAGCCTTGAAGCTTCCTTATAAACGCATGATGCGAGTTTTGGCCCTCCTTTGTTTTTCAAGTGCCAAAGAAGCCAGAGCTGCACTCGCAAAGTCCTGATGTATTTCATGTTTTGATTTGCATTTTGCCGGCGTGTCTGATGGATTGTTTCCAGACACCGCTACATTTGCTTGCAGTTGCGCATTTTTGGTGCTAGTGTGACCTTGTATGAGTTTGGCATTTTTGCATTTGCGCCACTTGCATTGCCTTACATTTGACACGTGTCAGGTACCTACTGAGGCCCTTGATTTTGTTTCTGCACTCACACGCCATTGCCTGTCAGGTTTGGATTTTGTTTTTTGACCTGGCTGTCAGGATTGTTTTGCCTTGCCCTGACTTGTTTGTCAGGGATTTTGATGCCAGGGAAGCGTTGCTCTCGCTTCGCCTCATTTCTTTTGTGCCTGGCGGTTGCCCTTCGACGCTACCAGACGTACACAGCAACAACAATTAATTTTCAGTAGGGCACCATACACACAAACACACACCTTCCATGCTGATATCCCAAATCTGCCAAATGTATAGTAAAACCCCCAAAAAAACACAACTTTCATTTACCATTAGTTTAGAACTGGATTCTACTTTGAATATTTTTGCGTGTTGCTGCCAGGGTATCACCGGGGTAGTGGGGCCCCAGAAAGATAGCTAAGTTGGTGAACATAACTCCAATTTCACTATGGTTTATCATACTTATTACTATACTATTCATGTGGATCTAAACCAACTATAGATATCTCTACCATAAACCATAGTGAATCTTGTTACAATCTGGGTTGTAATCGGTTTTATATGGCTAACTATGATTCGTTTATATAAACCCATATATATATACATATGTGGATATTTCTTGAAACATGGAACCCAAAAGCAATAGGTTTCAATACCAAAATGGTCTCATTTAGGTTGATTTTGGTGGTACACCCATTTTAGGAAACCTCCATATAGTTATAAGTATCATAAATCACTGTTGTTGGTGGTTGATATTGGTGGTTTATATATATATATATATACATGTATACCCTCTGGTTATTTAACATAGCCATGGTATAGATGGCCCATAGAAATAGATGGTTTACCTATTAATAGCATGGTGATTTTCCATGGCCATGTTAGTCATAACCAGATGGTACTATTTTTGACCCACCCCCATTTTTCATGGGAAAATCCACTATAAATGGCCATTTTCCATTGCTATGTTAGTTCACCAGAGGGTATATGGCCCATTTATAGATGGTTTACCTATTAAAACCTCCATTTATAATGGATTTTCCATGGCCATGTTCAATAACCAGATGGTATATTAAAAAACCTGCGCATCACTGGGGTCCCGTGGCCCACCGCAGGGGGCTCAATTGGAGTCCACCGACTTGGTGCTGGAGGGCCTTACGCCTGAGCTGATTGAGGCACCTCGGAACACGTTGTGAAGACGTTGTGAAGTAATGAAATGGGTAGCCTAGGGTAAACTACCATTTTATACATATACATATACATATACATATCATATACATATATATATATATAAGTATTGGGATTTATGATATAGACAGTAATATATTGTATACATTGGGATTCCTTGGAATTAGTTGGGATTAATTGGGATGGATTGTGATTATCAAGGGTAAGCTATTGTGCTTGAGTTGATTTCTAACTAGGTGAATTCTATGATTAATGGTTGATACAACCATAGTATCAATCACGTCAAAAAAACATACAAAAAATGTGGAAAAGCAATGGGGAGGAAACCCGCGCGAAAATGATGTAAATTCGTGGTGGGTTTTCCACATATTAGTTGACAGGAGGCTGTTCGATGGAAATGTAACCAAAAGACGCAAACACCTCCGGGAATGATATCTAAACGCTAAAATACCACATAATTTTAAAAGATATCCAAGTTTGACTCTGACTTATGCATGCAGAACTTCATTTGTGTTTGGCGATCAGGATGGTTTAGGATGATCTGCAACAGAAAATTGGATGGTTTAGTAAGCCAGATTACCAATTCTGGATTGAGAAACCGCTCTCTTCCATTATGCTTCACAGGTACATGATAGGAACTCTGTTTTTTTTGTTACTTCACATGCGCCCATCTGATGTTTTCTGAGTCTGGGGCCAAAGCCTCCATGTGTGCCAACAAATCCTCTTAAGACGTTGAGCACTTGGCATGATAAATTTCACGCAGAATAAATGTTTGGGGTGCATATCGCCAATGATGGGTTTTGAGAACAATTGGTTGGTAGTTTTCAATACTTTTCCTGGTTAACCGGCAGGATGACCCGATATCCCCCCAAACATCCAAAGGTACTTGGGCACCTCGAGACACGTGGTCAACAGCTCCGGAAAAAAAGAACTGTGAGGAGAGATAGATACATGATATGATACACACATATGATGTAGAAACATATGATGTATGTTGGTCCATATTATATTAGTATTGGTTCGTAGAATTTTTTCCATAATAAACCGCATCGTTGTTTGGTTGTTTCTGCAGGCACAGGTCCCAAACCATTCCCGATAAGGTGGGGATGCAGTACGAGTCTCTTGACAGCCCCTTTGGCAGCACGTGATGGCGATGGAAACCCATGGGTGCATCTGGATCTTACAACGACCTCGCTATAAATGATGGTTGATAGGGGGAACCAAATCAGTTTTTTCAGTTTTTTTTTGTTTATCGTAAGTTCTTCATAATTATATATATATAATTATATGTATAATGAGATTATACGGATACATACAGTTATCTATATATATAATTATATATACACAATATAGGCAGATTATCACCAAATCAATGATGAGATTTGTGGGGACTCTTTACCAAGCACATCGGAAACATTGGGTCGAGACTCAAGATGTATGAATGAGGGGACGAAGACTTCAATCGATTCTGGCACCAGCTACAAATCCGCGAAAATTGTGCGACAATACGTACCAATTACAAGGACGAATTGCCATGTACCAATTACATAGGAATATTATGCCATCTTATTTATGGATCCTTTTAAATTGCCAATGTACCAATTACAAGCTGTTTTCAAGTCTCCAGTGACACACACAGCAACCCAATCACAGGAATGATAGAGAAAAAAAGCGTCTCTGTTTGTTGGTGTATCTTTTTCGTGTGTGGATTGTGGATCCTCTCTGGCAATCTAACACAGGAATGATTTACTAATTGCGCCAGTTCTGTTTGTTGGTTTCGAAACCCATTAAAACCCCATGAACTAGTTATAATCTACCAGCAACCCTGGTTATACTGGTTGCTTCAACCAACTCAGCTGACAAAAACCCATGAAATTCCATTAAAATCCCATGAAATCTCCATTAAACCACCATAAACCCAGTTGTTTTTTTTGCAGCAACAAACGCTGTGAAGGTCGTGGTTGCTGGCATCAGGCGCGTGACGTGCCTACAACTGTGTGTGTTTTTTTTTGTGGGAAAACCATGATAAAATACAAAGATTTAGTATGGTTTTTATGATTTGGTTATGAATATAATTCTGTTTTGTTTGTGTTTTGATTATGATTTGATGAGTGAAAATCATGACCCTCTGGTAAACATAGAAAAAACTATGGAAAATCACCATGTTATAGCTGGGTAACTCCACTATAAATGACAATTTTCAATAGCAAACTGTTAGTCATTACCAGAGGGTGATTCCATATATTTCATGGATTCTCACAGGGTTTTTCCCACAAAAAATTGCAATGTTTCCCATAGGGAATTACCAGGCCGGGTACATTGGGAATTTCTCACCGTTGCTCGTTTTCACCTCAGCTCCAGCTTTTTTGATTTGCACGGACTGGCCACGATGCCATGCTGTGGATCAGTCAACGTGTCGTCAGATGGGTCAGGTTCAAAAATGGAGAACTGGAATAGACTATTCACTACTAATTATTGATAGATAATATATATATAATTAGATAGTGATATATATATATATATAATGTATATATGAGATTGCAATTCTGATCCAGTAAATTGGGGGGTCTTTAGTCACTTGACCAAAGCCGAAATGGGGACTGCTCCAGGATGTTTCGTTGACAATTTAAGGGAATCGCTGGCGATTTTGTCAAGTGCAAATCTGAGATGCTTAAATCGAAATCATGCCCTGGCTGGAGCGAAGACTGGGTGCCATCAAAATTAGATCGTAGCCTAGAAGCCAGCAATTGCTATTTGCACGCACATAAAGGACACAAAGACAATTGTGTTGGTTCTCCTTTCGACAAGGTGATGCCACAGTTCGTTAGCTAAGCTGGTTTAGAAATAGTTTAGCTATGGTTAATGGTGGATATATCCATAGTTTGCTGGCTGTATAAACCAACAAACAATGGATTGCTTTGATGGAAAATCTTGACCAGAAACATAGGGAGTCCAATCTAACTGTCCCATCAAATATACTGGGTTGTCCTGTAAATGTTCACCCTTAACCACCATTCACCACCATTGATCATCATTACTCATCATTGATCATTTAAACAAACATGGAAACAAAGAAACCATTGAAACAAACCATCATTAACCATCATCAATCATCATTAAATCACCAAATCCCCTATGAAATCCCAGAAAAACTCCCATTGAAATCATCATGGAAATCCCCATGGAAATCACCACCAGAACTCACAGGCAGGTCACCTGCCGCAGGTCCGAATCACAAGAAGGAACTTGGACCCACCAGACACGTGCCGCAAGCGGTGGATGGTGAAAGGGAAGCGCGTTCTGTGGGATGCCATGATATGGGGATGGGTCAAAATTGGGTACCCCTAAGAATACATGGTTAACACATGTTAATAATAGAGCAAACTAAGAAAAGTATAGAATAGTTAATAGATGGTTTATAGATGGGTCAAAATTGGTTCATACTAAAAATAGACCAAACTCTCTGTTCCCCGAAGTATTACCATCTGGCTATTTAACATAGCCATGGAAAATCCATTATAAATGGAGGTTTTAATAGGTAAACCATCTATAAATGGGCCATTTTCCATGGCTATGTTAAATAACCAGAGGGTACTATTTTTGACCCACCCCCATATGGGGATGGGTCCTTAGCTCGCGGAATCAACATCCGTAAACCAGCTATGACTTTGGGTACCGTAAACAGGTACCTCGGGTGCCAGGCATACGGGGATTTAAGCTGATTCAAGCATCAAAACTGGTGGTTTTACCATAAATGTGGGTTGGAAGCAATTAAAAATGTTTGGTTGGTGATTTTACTAAACAAACGTGGGAACCATCTAGAATGAGAATGTGCAGGATAATATACTGATCTAGTTGGTGCTTTCAACATGTTTCTAATTTTCAACCACAGAAATGAAATGTTGACCCCCAGTGATATTCTTCAGGGTGAAACCAGCAACCAGTTTACAAGATGTTTGGAGATTTTTGGCCTCCCCATGTGATCAGAATTTGATCCAAGTTTTCCAAGTTCCGATGATATATCCTGGTTGTAAGCCAACTTACACATCCAGGCTAGGGGGGATGCCTTCGGAGATCGGTCCCCTTTTTGTTGGGCCCTGTTGCGCTTTCATCGGCCGTGCGGAAAATCCCTGGAAGGGGAAGATGGCCCCTTTAATCGTTTCGTTTATGTCAAGGCTGGATGAATAAACCGTTTCGTTTATTAAAAATAGATGGGTATATTCCCCAAGCAGAGGATAGTAGAACTGGTTGATGGTTTGATGTTTGATGCTTTCCTGCCATGATACTTCCCCAAAATGACGTGAGAATCTGAAACTCAAATGGTACCCCCCCTCCTTTATAAACGGCCTAGGGGTGAACATTCATCCAGGGGTGGCACAAAACTCTTCCCATGTTGGTGAAATCCCTACAATGTGGGGGGCCCCAGTTATAAGTTGGTTTATAAACCGGTATACTCAATCAGTGTCATAAACCATAGTTATTGGAGTTATGTCCACCAACTTAGCTATCATAAATCAGCTATCAATCTCATGAAATCACCGTTTTCCTGTGGTTTTCCCATGGTTTTCCTCTGGTTTTCCCTATGTCTTAATGGTGAAATCCCTATGCCTTAATGCTTCGATAAGTTTCGACCATGATTTTCACGCGCCAGGTATGAGGCGCAATTGCTGGATGAGAACACCACGTGGCCGGTAGCTGGGTCAGAAAAATTGGATGATCATTGGACAACAACATTGGTATCCAGATATATGGATGAATATAATAAGTATAAATTGTGATATATTATATATATATGACTCTAATAAGTATAATTATAGCTTTGTGATATACGGGATGTGTATATATTGTGATTATTGATTTACTGCAGGATGGATTTACTGGGCGTATATGCCATTGAATAATGATGGATTGGGCCACCAAAGAATGGAGCATAGAATGGTAGAAACCACTCTTTTTATCTCTTTTTGATGTTCCTGTGCCTGATGGTTTCAAATATTTGACTGGGAATACCGCCAGATGGCAGAGATGTTCCGCCACTCAAATCAATTTCTTTGATTCAACCAATTTAACCGTTTAACCCAACCAGAACTGCGAAATTGTTGTTTTTCTTTGGTTTTTTCTAAACTGCACAGTTTCAGCCCAGTAGATGGTTTAGTTCGACTTGTCGATTCTGGTGATGACCTGATGACCAGCCATGATCCCAGCGATTTTCTTCAGGAAAATTGGTTGGACCCCCAAGCAGAAAAACGCCTGACATTTTCGGGGTGAAACGTGAGTTTTCATATGGTGTTTCAGAGATTAAAAAAAGGGGGAAAAAATGGGACACGGGTCAAAATCCAATTATTTGGCAAATTTGGTCACCTGTTTTACATGTGTGGATGGGCTATTCGAGGGATCATTACATTCCTTATCCTGCCATCTGATATAAGTCTCCGGTGACGCTGTCTAAGGTTGGCTGTTTGTTTGCAGGTGACTAGATAAGGGACTGGTGAGGTACCAACCATTATGGGTATATAGCCTGTGTAAAATAGAGAGTTTGAACCAGCCAAAAAGTTGAATGAACGATGCCACATCTTTCGATGATGTCCAGCGCATGTGGGCATCAGGGCAAGCTTCAGAATCATAGCTGAGAAAAGTTACACAAGTTACACTGGATGCAGAAATTCAAGATGAAAACACATTTGTTTCATTCAGATGTCATTTTGAATACCTGAATACCTTGCCGCAAGCAGAGATGGAATACCTCTCCGTTTAGAGTTGGAATGCAAAAAAAAAACACACTTTGCGTGGCACAGCATGGTGGAGCAATCTCTGGCTGGTTGGTGGTTTGGAACATGAATTTTAATTTTCCATATATTGGGAATAATGATCCCAACTGACTAATATTGTTCAGAGGGGTTGAAACCACCAACCAGATATTATCATCTAGTCCATATTAACATTAGCACCATTAATCTTCTAATCATATAATATTGGAACATCAGTACCATTTATCTATTCATTTATATAACTAATAATAGTGGAAATATTACGCCCCCATTATCCAACCAGACAATTTGTTTTTAAAACGTCAAAAAAACTGGTGGCAACAACCGGCTATCCAAGGTCGTCCAGCCCGGCAACATCCGTGAGCTGTGCGCATTGACGGAGGTGGACGCTGGTGGGACAGGGGGGCTTTACCAAGCTGAAATGGGAAGAAAGCATCATAAAACCCTTAAAGGTCGTCATTTTTGAAGCAAGATACCCTCTGGTTATGTCAAAATAGCTATTGAAAATGGCTATTTATAGTGGATTTACCCATTAAGAATGGTGATTTTCCATAGTGAATTGTTAGTTTACCAGAGGGTATCACTGGTTGCTGGTTTTATTCATCGGCCATCCTAGCTGGGATGATGATCTCAATAGCTGACATGGTGGACACCACCATTCAGAATTGGGTGTTCCCAAACATAGATGGTTTAAAATCCGTTGGGGTCCTGGTTCTCAATTTTTTGACTCTGCGCTAAAAAGATATCTTCAAACAGACCACAACTGAGCCATACCTTTGTGGGTCCAAATGTTAGCCTCCAAACTCACATCTGGGCGATTTTTACTACTACCCACTCCATTTTAGAGATATTTAAGATTTGTTTGATTTGGTGGGAATGTCTTCAAGATGTACTGTAGTGTGTTCCATTCGCAAAAATCAAGGACGGTATCGTTTTCGACGTGGCTGCTGTTTTCATCCAGTTGTCATGGATGACCACAAAAGAGCATTGAAACAACCATGGTGACGACTGGGGATCCCCCATGACATAAGAACCCCTGATATCATTTCTCAAGCTACTTCTAGTTCTTCATAAATGTGGTAAGCCCAATTTATGATATCTATGAACCTTCAATACTTGAATACTTGGGGTATGGTATAGTTCCAAACCATACCTGAGAAGTTATTGTGGCTGGTTTATGGTTTCAGTAAACTACCACATTGTCATAGTGTCTCATCCATCCTTGACTCATCCAACTCGGTTTTTGACTCCGACTGCGGTCCTAACATGACATCAGGAGGCGAAGAAAGCCTTCAAGAAGGTCTTTGCAAGGTATGCCAACAATGACATCATCGAAGGTGCGGGCAAGTCAATGCGGCCCAAGTCAATGCAGTTGTTTCCTCTTTTTTTAATGGGTCAAGTCACTTACCACCTGGTTATGACTAACAGTTCGCCATGGAAAATCACCATTTTTAATAGGTAAACCATCTATTTCTATGGGCCATCTATACCATGGCTATGTTAGTCATAACCAGAGGGTAATGCGTTTATAGTTGGATTCTGAACAGCCGGGCAGCAGGCTTTTGACATCCTTTCACCAATTTTGTATGGTGATGTTGAATTTGGCTATGGGTCAATACCTATAGATACATTTTTAGTGGGATGAACATCCATAAATCCCAGCCATGACTTGGGGTTCACTAGGTACCAGGGTTTTGACCCATCCCCATGTTGAATTTGGGTATGGGTCAAACCACCATTGAACTTTCATATATGTTCATTGTAAACATGACGCGAGCAGCCACATCTGCTCGGGTCCTTGGCATTGATGCGGATGGAGATGGTTTGTTCTCGGGGATTCCACATATATTCCACTGAAGTCCTGAAAAAAGGAAGGGAAACAGTGGCCTGATTCACCAGGGGTTACTCTCTGGTAAACTAACATAACGAACTGGAAAAGCAGCATTTTTGATGGGAAAACTCACTATAAATGGCCATTTTCAATAGTTTTTTGTATGTTTACCAGAGGGTTAGGGGATCCACCTATCACATCACCAAGTGAGATCCAAAAATGGTGCCTAAATAGTTGACCATTGACAAATCATCAAAAAATGAAATCGTGGGAATGACCTACCCCCCTGCCCCTGTTTGGTGAAGCCCTATTTAATCATGTGTCGGTTTGTGGATAGGAAGAATCTTCAACATCTGTGTGGGGTCACATTTAGGCATTTAGGGGGTGGTTCAATAACATGAAAAACATGTGGCTATGGATCAATACCTATACATACCATTTTTAGGGGGATGAACATCCATTTACCAGCTATTTTGATGTTCACCAGGGGGATAGGGTTTTGACCCATCCCCATGTTGCTTCCAACCCCCGCTGAAGTGCCATCTCAAACACCACCATCTTCTCATGTGGATTTCAGGATTTGACCGAAGCTAACAAGAAACAATCCCCGACTGGGGTTTATGTGGGTCCCTATTTGGGATGCTGTGAAATGAAGCAAAAATGGTTGGTTACTGGGATTGATTATTATAGTGCTTACCACATGCTTCTTTGTCCATGTCCAACAGATTGCTAAGATTCGGTGAAATTCCTTCCTGCCCACAGATACCATACCATCCAAACAACGCCGCAACAACATTGGAAAGCAGTTTCCCAAACCATCCAATCTGTACGGTGCCTTAAGCTACAAACCGTTACCTCTTCAGGAGTTATTCGCGCATTGTATAACCCCTAATGTCAACCCTGGATTAATAAACCCCTAGGAGCCTAGGCTGTTTAATTGGGAGGATACCATTTAAGTATCAAATCATGACTATTGGGGGAATACCCCCTAATTAGTAAACCATGGTTTATTAATCCGGGGTTGACATTAAAGCCAAAGCAGGTGGAGGGTTACGTGGTCTCATGTCCTGCGCGACCAATGAGTACATCCCAGAGGAGTTTGTGTATGGGAAGCTGAGGTGGGATGGAAAAGTTGATGTTTATCCTCTGGTACTTTAACAGATATAGCCATTGAAAATGGCCCATAGAAACAGTGGATTTACCAATTGAAAATGGTGATTTTCCATATAAATCCCCATTTTCCCATGGTTTTCCTATGGTTTTCCCATTAGTTTACCACAGGGTAGCACGAAAATTGGCGTGCTGATTTTTCTCGGTTGCTAGCCATTGAATGTCATGAAGGTTGGTGAGAATTGCTATCTCCTTGGAACTGCTGATTGAGATGTCATGGAATGGCTTAGAATCTGGGATCAGCAATGATAAACCATCCCCAATTGTCTCAAAGATAAAGGGAGCTAGTACACTTGAATATAATTCTATATAAATCTACATAAATCTCTATAAATATCTATAAATCTATACATGATCTATACATGATTAAATAAAGGCACAACTTAGGGATGGTTTATTCTTGTGGATCCCCCCCATTTTGGAGCAGTGGAGTATTATATCCAAGTCAAGTCGGGACAGTGGTTCCCGCAGTGGTTCCCTTCTTCTTTTTGTTGGGATAAATCCTAACACTGTCAGTTGGATTGGGTTGATTCAAACAAGGGCACCACCTTCCATCCGTGTTTGGGATACTTGGTGAAATATGATGAATCTTTCTCCGGGATGATGATTACACCATGGCTTTGTCACAAAGAGTGTCACCCTCCCCTTGCATCCGGGGGAAACTCATCAGTTCCGTGACCAACATCTTCTCAGGGAATTGAAGGGAAGATTTACAGTACACCAACATGTCTGATATAAAACACAAATATAACCCATATATAACCCATATATAACCCATATATAACCCATATATAACCCATATATAACCCATATATAACCCATATATAACCCATGTAATCCCACATTTATATTCCATAACCCATATTTTTCAGACTTTCCTGCAGATCTCTGAAACCAGCCCTTGCCGTTCCTTAACTTTGGCCCAAGCCCTTTGTCGCTTGATGCCTGGCTCATTCATGATCGTTCCCTGGCTGATGTCTGGTGACTGCTTGGGGGTGCGGGCGCCTCTTGGTAAATGGGTCAAAAAATCCCAGTGATGTAGATTAATGGAATATTCCCACTATATATTAAATGGGATTATATATATATATAATAATGATATATACTATATATATATGGGTTATGTATGGATTATAAACTACGGATCCGATTCGTGGGATGCACATCCAAGTGGTGCTTGCGGTTGCAGTCGTGTTTTTTCAACAAATTGACATAATGTCAACCCCGCAATAATCACCTTCCGGCTGGTCAATGGCTGAAAAGAACCATTGTAGTGGATTATCACTGGGGGGGACCCTCGAAGTAATCGATCAATGCTTATGGTTTTATTTATCCGGGGTTGACATTGACAATGTACCCTCTGGTAAACTAACATAGCTATGGAACATGGCCCATTTATAGATGGTTTACCTTTTTCCAATGGTGATTTTCTATAGCTATGTTAAATTACCAGAGGGTAACCCCCAATAGTCTACATATATATATACATATATTTATTGTCTTATTCGTATAAATTAAGTGGAACTGCACCCACGTAGGTGTGGGGATTCAATCAGCGTGACTGTGGAGATTTGAGGCTGTCGTCAATTTTCTTCGACTGGGGGAAGCACAGAGTTTGCTCCATGTTTGATACATGTATATATATACTATATATATACATAATTATATTGGTATAGTAAATCCATTCCATTTTGCGGGTCCCCTCTGATAATTTAAGACAACGATGGCAAATCACCATTGTTTGCTAGGTAAATCATCTACAAATGGGTAATTTTCTATCTGTGAAATGAACAGAAGATCTTCAATTTCGACCTCGCCAACTCTCTTTTAACGACTTATTGGCGGCTCCTGAGGCTTATCCTGTAACATCCACAGTGTGATGACCAAGATTCTGGCTATCTCGGCTATCTTGGTCCCCATCTGCGCCCAAACTTTGGGTCAGGACCGGTCAACAGCTTTGACTAAGTGGAATTGGGAGCATCAAATTTATGCATGGTGATATTGTCCATGTATTTGTGAACGTGATGCACGCATACACATGATACTTTCTGTGCCAGTATCTCTTTCCTTACTTGTTCCTGTGGCTAGCTTCTGATTGTGAGTAATTATCTTACATGTCTTGCGGAACGATTGAAACAAATCCAGAGCCCATGTGTCAAAGGCCAAGCACAAGATGTGCAGGTCTTTAATACCAACAATAGAGACATGAGATGTCAAGAGAGAGAGCGTTTTTGCCCCTGGAATCTTAGTTGAGTTGCAGGATTTTTTGACACAGAAGCAAGATGTGGCGGCACCTTTGAAAGTGCAAGCTGGACAGCCCGCCAACATAGCAGCAGAGAAAGCAGCTTGCCTGTGCTGGTCTTGGGACTGGCTCTCATAAAGCGGTCATGGCTGGCTCAAAAATGGGATGGGGTTCCCGGATGGGTTTTTGTATTTGACCATCTGTTGGGGCATGGAATTTTGAGTCATCACTTCCGCAAAAATTGTTGGAACTTAGACCCGAGTAGGAAAAAAAGTTAGCCGGCCCCAAAATGGCAGGCTTTGAATATTTTGAATCCCGGAAGGTGCCACTGGAGTCCCTGGAGAACTAAAACATGGACGGGCTCAAAAACCATGGGTTTCCATAGGCAAAAAACAACATGGGCTTTTCTCGGTACATGGGAGATCTCCAAGTCACCGTGGGTTTCAATATGTTATTGTCATATGGTTCAATGCTGAGTCATGGTCATATTGAAAATAACATATTGAAACCCATGGTAACATATATGTTAATATGTTTCAATTGGTACATGGAGGTTTCAATACCTTTATTTGTGATGATTTTGGGTACCCTCCATCTTTTGAAACCTCCATGTACCAATTTTAGGCATGGTTAAGATCTTCCCTTGCCAGCAGGTGCCGCGTGCAGCGTCAGACGCTAAAGCGGCAGCCCAGGTGGCTGGGCAGTTTTAGGCAATGTGGGGTCTTTGAGTGATGTGAACGTTGGTTTATAAAGCCATATTTACTAAAAACCATCGTTAACCATGTATAAACCCTATTACAAACCCCCATGATAACTAGATTAACTATGGTGGTTTATGGTCGAGATATTTATAGTTGGTTTAGATTCACCCCATGAATACTATAGTTGTAAGCATCATAGACCGTAGCTACTGTAGTTATGTCCGCCAACTTAGCTATCGTTCAAGGGCTCCACTTTGTAATGGTGGTGAGTGGTGACATCTCGTCCCTTTTCAGAATGAACATCATATCTGGCTGGCGCTTTCATGTTGTTTTGATGTTTTACCTTATTTAGGATTATTATTCCCATTGGCTGATACGATCCAGTAGGGTTGAAACCAATCAGATAATATGGGCATGTCTTGAAATGGGGTATACCTCCCAAGTGGCCATGTTGATGGGAAAAAAAGTATGATTCACCAACGGATTTAGAAATTTAGAGGTGAGACTGGACTCACCCGCCAGTCCCATCCCTTTTTAATCCCTGCCAATAATCAACCATCTGAAGCTCAATTTAATATATTTAATGCCATCCCCGGTGTATGTCCAATACTAAACCTCTATTGAAAATTGTTTATGAATGGCTTTGGCCACATGAAAAACCTTGCTTTTTCAGTGTAGGCGTAGGCGGGGTTACTGTTGTCAATCCTCCATTGAAGGCGATCCGGTATGGTGGGTTCAATGGGGGTACCCCAATAGCTGGATGGTTTTTTTAGTGGAACATCCTATTAAATTGATTTAAATTGGATGATAACTGGGGCTACCCCCATGACAAAACGGAAACCTCCAGATTTTGGGCATGGCTTTGGGTTGACAACCTGTCAAAGCTTCATGATGTGTTTGACATGCGGGGATCCTGTGGGCAAAAAAAATGTTTAAATTATTTTCCAGATGCCATTCAAACATAGATTTACAGTAACAAAAGAAAAAGTATGGTTATTTATATATATATAATTATATATAATCCGAAGTTCCGGGGAGCACTGCTCATGTTTGATTTAATTCCCACATTTGAATACATTTGATACATTATTTTTCGTGATGTAAAACCCCCAGCTGTTGAAAGTCAAGTGCCCGTTCTTCCCTCTGGAGACATTCCCTCAAGAACACCAGATTAATTCCATTTTTTGTGTGTTACAGTCCCAGTTGTTCAGATTGAAAAAGCTTGGCAATTTTCGTATAATCAAATTTGGTGTGCTCAACTGACAATAACTGGTTGGTGGTTTGGAACTGTTTTTATTTTCCATGATATATGGGATAATCCTTCCCATTGACTAATATTTTTCAGAGGGGTTGAAACCACCAACCAGATAAGTTACCCAGCTTTTTTCCGATGTGTTCCCCATGTGGATGAATCTCTGGCCATTTCGATGGATGGTGCCACAAAGAGGACTGCACTGCTGATGTACAAATTGGATTTATCGACTATGGGGCGATGACCAACAGAAAAACAGGTTCAGAGGATTTCAGAGGTATCCTCAATTGTCCTTAATTGGACGTCTTATAATAATTTCCGATACACTCGTGTAGTATCATGCCCAATGGACACCATTGAGTATATTGTCCCAATAAACCAAATTTAGCTACAGCCCTTTTTTAAATTATCTTATAATCATCCCAGTATAAACAACAAATTGGCCAATTTTTCTAGATATCCCATGGTATCCGAGTTCGAGGTACAATTGGCTTTATCCCCAATAAAGCCAAGTGTTATATCATCCCCATTAGATATTCAATATCTTAAAATGATCCCCAATAAAATACCAGGTAGCTTCATCGCCTTTTTTGTTAACCAACTAATGCACGGTACATGGTGGTCCCTTAAATATCTAAGCCATAGCTAAGCCAACTTGTAACTTGGCTAAGTGGGGTTTTATGGGGAATATGACTAGAGCCAATGGGGTGTATAAACCACCTTGTACCTTCTGGTAGCTATTGAAACATCATATCGAACTACTTACCATTAAATTAACCATTGTGAACCTTATGGACCACTTTTAACCGCCATTAACCGTTAAATAATCCAACATCAACCACCATTACCCATCAAATCATTCATGATTATCGATTTCTATTGGTGTTATTCAATCCCACTTTAATTCCATTACACCCCCATTTAATAAATCATGAAATCCTCTAATGACGGATTAATCACATCAAATTCCACAATAATCCCATAAATCACCAGCGAGTCCCAATTGATGAACCATCAATCAATCTGGATAAATCATAACCATGGTTAACTATTAATAAACCCCATGTATTAGCATGTATTAGCCACCATTCTGCACCACCATTAAACATTAAGTCATCCATTGTTTAACCAAGAGTTCAATTGGTTCACAACCCCTTACTTATAAACCAACTTAGCTAAGTAGGGCGCACCACAGTCACCACATTGATGTGATTTATCAAAAGGCTTTACCAACCAGTTATATATGAATATCCCCACATATGCATGGGATGATGTGGGTTATGGATTTTTTTCACCCCGGATCAATCCCCATTGTTGCAGTCCCTTCTGACAATCTAGGACAACTATGGCAAACGCCATTTTTGGGTAGGTAAATCATCTACAATTAGGCAACTTTCCATAGCCAACTGTGAAATGAACAGAGGATCTGAAAAAAATGAACCTAGCCGACTCTCTGAACGACTGAAAATGGCGGTTTCTGAAGCTTATCCTGTAACAACATTAAGCAATACTAATAATTACTAGCCACCATGAACTAAAGTCATACCAAAGTCATTAAATGGCTAACCATTAGTGAACGCCATATATCAGCCACCACTACTAACCCCCATGAGCCATTAAGTCATCCATTTCTTTGACCATAATCACCAGACTTAATAATCACCATTATCTAATTAACCATTGTTAACCATTATTAACCATCAAATAGTGGTGGTGCTTAATCGTTGTTTATTATAATCACCAGACTTAATAGTCACCATTATCTAATTACTTGTAATTAATTAACCTATTAACCATTGCTTCACCAATCACTGAAGAATCATCACTAACCATTAATAGATCATCAAATAGATCATTCACCATTGATTAATCATTAACCAGTAAATCCCAAACAGCACACAATCATCACCATGAGTAGATCATGGTACAGGATGGGGCCCCCGTTCGATAGCGTTCAGTTGCCTTATGAGTGGCTGAAAGCTATGGTTTATGGTATATATAACTATAGTTACTGGGGATTATCAAATCCTGTAGACCATCAAATCCTCCATTCACTATTCACCATTTACTTTTCAGTATTAACTATTGATTATTAACTAATCACTATAGATCATTAACCATTGATTAATCATTAATGAGTAGATCAAATCCTCCATCGCCCACAGGTGGCGGAACAGGCGGCCCGCCTGGCCACCCAAGCGGCCGCCGTGGCCACTGCCTCCGCGGGCACGGCCGCGACATCGGCCACCTCGGCCACCTCGGCGAACGTCAAGGCGGCCACTGCAGCGGACGCTGGGACCCGAAAAATGCCGTGAGAAACGGCGCAAGATGGGGCGTTTTAGATGGGATTTACCGTGAAAAATGGGGAGTTTACCATGAAAAAATTGGGATTTTGGAGGTCTTCCTATGAGAATGGTGGTTTTGGCATGTCTTGACATGGTTTAATCATGAAAAATTGAGGTTGTGCCGTGCTTTGACGATGAGAAATTGGTTTTACTATATGGTAGTCGTGAGTAAGCCTTGGTGAAGGGTAATTGAGAAAGGACCAACTTTTATAGTAATATCACCCCAGCAAGTGATGTTTGCTGGATGGTTATAATCATTATAATCATACAATATTTCTATGGAATTAGTTTTTGCCCCTGTAAGAATTGTTTCTTGTATCAAAGACCAAACATATATTACAAATTTAGCTGGGTAAGTCTAGGCAAATGGCAGGTTAGTGGGGACAGCTGCTCTCAGTGGGGGGAATCCGATACTGCTAATATCCAGTTTCTCTTTGGGGTACCCTCTGGTTATGTCAAAATAGCTATTGAAAATGACCCAGTCGAAATAGTGGATTTTCCCATTCAAAATGGTGATTTTCCCATCAGTTTTTTGTATGTTTACCAGGCCGGATAACCTTTGGGAAATGCCAATCCCAAGTCCCAAAATCATTTCCGGAGAGATCCATTTTGTCCAATTTGAGATGGTCACATGACGTGTTCGGGTTTCCGATGTTTTCCGTTCTTTCCAATGGGTGCAAAAAAAACCAGTGGTTTTCTGCAAAATGATAAATTTCTGCTGACAATGGGGGAGAAATTCCATCATGTCAGTCATTCAAATAGACTGTATCTGGATGGAATTCTTGGTGGATGCAAAGCCTTCGAAGTGTTGTGTCCGGTGAAAAATGCTCCACTGATCTTCGTTGCAAACTGAAAACTCCACATCTCTTGAAGCTTTGGAACACCAAAAAATTTTCCCCCATTCTTGGGTGCACTCCTCTTAAAACTAGATGTGATACCATGGTATGGTTGGGCCCGTTTTCGCCCAACTTGTGATATTGAGCATTCATGGACCCATTGGGATCATGGGAATGGGATTCGAATCCACAAATTCCAAATGGCCCAGCACAGGTTTTACAATTTACCCACAACTGGAAAAACCCATTAATTACCAACCAGTATGAAAACTAACTATGGAGGTTTATAGGAATTCTACACATTACCGATTTCCAGTTATCATGTGGATATATTACCCAATGGAAGTATTAACGATAGCAATATATAATATATAGTTATTCTTGGGTAATATATCCCCAGTATTGACTAGCTAATGGGCATAGTTTGTGAGCTAACAATAGAATGTGGATATAAATCTATATCAGGTTAGTGAAATATGATCATTTACCCAGAATTAGAATTCTACACACCACATCGTTACAAACCAGTATTAACTAGCTAATAGTTATTGATGCACCTTTTTTTCACTAGCTAATGGTGATATAATCAGATAATAATGGGTATTAGCTCACTATAAGCCATGAAATATACCCAGTACGAACCACTATTAACTAGCTAATAGTTGTTTATCAGGTTAGTGAAATATGTTTTTTTTCCAGAATTTTACCAACTACACCATTACTAACCAGTTTTTTTCATTAGCTAATAGTTATTACAGTTCTGAATCCCCAGTTACTAACCACTATTAACTATGTTCGTACTATAAACCACTATTAACTCACGTTTAACTATTACTAATGGAAAATCACCATTTTGATAGGTACATCAACTATAATTCTGGGTAAATTATAACGAGGCTCTGGGCTCAAACCGCCCCGTGGTGAGCCTGCTTGAGTGATCAACACTCGAACGAAGGAGCCATGTCATTTTCGGAGGGACATCTGTGGTCTATTCTTCAGGACTATGACTGTGATTCTTCAAAGGGATGCCAAATTTATCCAGTTCGTACCAATTTGCTGATCAATGTCAAGCAATACACCATGACGGACATCGAATTGGGTTTCCTATTTGATCAACATATCCCTGAAGGTTTTGGACTGCATGCGTTTGCACATGATTTTTTGACAGTACCTGGAGATGAACTTTGCTCCACAGATCTATGCATGATCTGGGATGCAGCTAGTAGCATGCCCCCAAAGGGATGTAAAATCTGGCTTTTGCAGGTCTGGCAAGATGACTGTGATGTCACAAAATTTCATTTTGACATGGACTCCACATGGTGTTTTGCTGACTCTCCTGACCGAGATTTTTCCACCACTCATCACTTGGAACTTTTCAGTGGTGGAGTAGGTGGATGGACCACAGCATTTCGCTTCCTGTCTGATTTCACCCATCATCCGGTTGTTTCAGTTGGAATTGACTATCATGCGGACATTGCAAAGACCTTTGCCTTGAACCAACAAGCGGCATTTGTCATTCCTAGGGTTGAATTACCAGAAGATGCATTTGCCTTACATGATGGGAACTGGGTAATTTGCGATGATGTCAGATCGAACCACTGGATACGTTTGGTAACTAAATGGGGGGTAGATGTAGTTACGATCAGTTCACCATGTGGCCCATGGTCCACAGCCTCAAAAGGACTAGGCCTGGAAAGAGAAGATGGAGCTTTGATCTTGCATGGAATCTTGAAATGTCGTTTTCTCAGACCAACCTATATTGCCATTGAGAATGTCCCAGGTTTTGCGTCACATGCTCACAAGGTCCATGTTGAAAGAGCAATCCGCTGGATAGGATATCGCATGCAGTGGCAAAGGATCATCGATGCCAAAGCAGTGATGGGCATCACCAGATCACGTTGGTTAGCAGTGGCAGTTCGTGCCCACTCACATGTGAATACAGCACCGTTTCCACCGTGGGTTTTTCCACAAGACCACAAGATTGATCATGCCCAGTTTTTGCTGCCGTGGAACCAGAAGACTCTCGATGCATTGGCCATCACAGATGAGATTTGCCGGGTTGCATCCGATCCCAGAAAGGCAGGTAGAACCATCTTGGCCAAAAGCCCAGAACAGGTCATGCAACAACGACTGTATGACACCAACATGATTTTGCCACCTTTCATGGCCAGGTACGGCAGCCAGCATGAGCTCTCAGACACTCATTTGAATGATCATTCATACTATGGTTTTTTCCTTGCGCAACCACAGCTCAAGCACGGAGGAAGACTTTTTCACCCTGCGGAAATTGGTTTGTTGCATGGAGCATTTGATTGGATGTTTGTGGATGATGACTTGCACCACTCGTGGTTGGTTATGGGTAACAGCATCCTGCCATTTCATGCCCTCATTCCATTGATGCATGTAATCAATGCTTTCCTACCCACGAAGATTCTGCCCAACCAAGTGCTTGACCAATTCATCAAGTACAGATTGAGCACATCAACGATTCAGGTCACTTCGATGAATGGAGGTGCATTGTACACAAATGAAGACCACATGCCTGATGGACCATTCCTTGAGAGCGCCCAGTCACTAGCTGGATTTGTCCATGCAATGGACCCACTTGCAGTGTGGTTGCCGCGGGTTGGTGTGGCCAGCCTGAAGCAATGCACAGGCATGTCCAAGCAGCCGCAACCAGAAGTCTCACAGCCGGCTAGTGTCATCTCAGTTCCGTCATCCATTGAACCCACAGTACCTTTTGCAGTGGTCTTGCAAGCAGTCATCACAGCAGATGCATTCGAGCAGAGATTCTGGTACTCATCCGATTTGCCTGCGCAGTCCATTAGGGCACCATGGAACCATGTTTTTGAGTGTGTTTTCCCGAAGGACATGGAAACCACCACCATGTTGCATTTGCCAGCGGATAACACCACACATGCTCATGAAAACAATTCCAGGGACCTAGCACAGATTTTGGTCGATCAGCAGCTCACATTGTATAAGTGTGATCCGAAAATTCCTCTCTTGTCGCATGATGATGTAGCTGACATGGGTAAGGACCTATATGATCAATTTGGATTGCTCACAAATGCGCAAATGCCAGAGGACTCTGTCTTGGTCACAACACAGGCCATCACCCACCAAGTGTATCAAGGGGATATCCTTAGGCTTTTGGCTGCGCTTGATTTGATCACCACGCAAATCTCATGGGATTACAACTTGGATGCCATGGTTTTACACCTGCATGGAGAAAGCCAATGTACAGAGGTTGTTGCCAATTTTTGGATGCAAGTCATGACTCATGAAACAGAACAACTTTTTGGTCGTAGCTGTGAGAAAACCGTGTATGCCTCAGGTATCATGCTGCAGTTCCTGCCACAGAGAACTCATGGAGTGATTCCACCGAAAGCTTTTGACATTGCGATGTCAGTGCTGGCCTTCCGTAGTCTGCTGTCTGCTGTATTGAAAGCATACGAGGGACCTTACACCCACAAAGCCCTGATCAAGTGGCTTTGCCGTCCACTTTGGACGGAAGAATTGCCAAAAGAAATTACTGCGGGAATCATCATCAAGCTTTTGCATTTTGCTCTCCAGCCCACAATGGGGTAACGGAACATAGATTGGTGCATCTTTCGAAACAAGTCATGCCGGCAGTTGAAATTGGAACCTTGGACAAGCAAGCCTCCCGTGATGCGATTGTCATTCATGTCGTCATGAGACTCCAAGGTGGAGGTGGTAACACAGGTGCCAAACATCAGAATCGCATGATGCAACAATCAGCACTTGCCAGCTATCTCCTTGAACAAGGCTATGAATTGTCATGGGTCACCAGCACAGTTGACACGCTATGCAACCGTTTTGGGTTGGCCAAACTCCAACATGTCACTGCCATGCCAGTAGGATCCCAAAAAATGACGGCGCTCCTTGCGTTGCTCAAAGAAGCGTCCATTGCTGTTCCAGCCCTGCCAACACCGCAGACTAGGAAGCAAGCCCAAGGGATGCCTTGGCAGAAGCCCAAAAAGCATAAAGGGGATTCCATGATTGATCCCTCTGAGTATTCGTTTATCCCAGGTTTTTTCCAGAACCAAGACACATCACCCTGCGCGCAGCTGGACACCATCCGACCACAAGCAACAGGCGTCGCCATTGCCAGCCCAGCTCAATCAGCAACTTGGCTCACAGCCCAAGAAAAAATCTCCAGTGATGAATTGGCCCTGCTCATCGTAGGAAAGCCTCCTGCAACCACCATGCAGGGTGTTGAAATCACAGTGCCGTGCCACAACCGAGATGGACAGATGGTTTTACTACATTGCCACTTGTTCCAATTGGGTACCAAAGATGTTACCTTCCAGCAAGGTGACCCTCACATGGTGATGGCAGATAAGTGTGCCCTGGTCGCGTTGACCTTGTATAAAACGGACTTCACTGGAGAACATTGGACAGATGCCTTGCAGCGAACAGTCCCTTTCATCCGTCAGATTCTGGACAAAGAAGGTCTGGGTGAACATGTCCTCAGTATCTGGGGAAGATCCTTTCGAAATGAACGAGCAGCCTGCTCCCCCTTACAAGCACTGACCCTTCAGGTTCACTGTTCGGTGTTGGAGGACAAGCTTCCGAAACTTCTGGCCAAATCAGGTTTCAACAAGCTTTACTGCACACCCAAAACTGCCGATGGTCGCTTGGACACCACCTATCGGGTGCTCTGGCTTGCTGACTCTGGTCAAGCTGCTGTATACAGTGCCAAAGTTGCGAACTCACTGGGATTGGTCAAAGGGAAGAAGACCTTGGGTCTGCGCTTCCGAGCAAGTGATTTTGATTCAGCATGGGCCGTTCTTTGTCCGGGGCAACCAATGCCTGGCCAGAAAGCAGGTGAGTTGGTGTTCAGGGTTGATGGATTACCCTTTGGGGTCACCACAACAATGATTGATACCTGGGCCCAGAAGATCAAGTGGAATTGCCAGGCTGTCCGAGCCTTAGGGCCGCAAGCTATGCTGGTACGCTCTGATGAGCAGCCTCCGCCAGGGGTGGTCATGTTCAACACCCAGGCTGTCCTGATACGACATTTGCCTCCACGAACACGCCAAAATGCACCGCTCATGGTAGGACCAAGATCTGCAAAGCCAAAAGATGCCACCAAGGACCACAATCCAGATCCATGGGCAGCATGGCAGGGTCCACGTCTGCAGGCACCACCCGGACCTGCTGCAGGAAACCGATCGATCGATGGCCCAACAGAAACACGCCTTGCAGCCCAAGATCAGAAACTCCAGCACATTGAAAAGCAACTCCAGACACTTGCAGCCAGCAGTGAGCAATTTGCAAAGCAGACGGAGGAACGTTTTGCGGCCGCAGAAGAGAGAGAACAGAGACAATCCAAACAAGTTGCCGCGTCCATGGAGGCCATTCGACAAGATCTGGATAGATCGTTGCACGCAGCATTCCATAAGAGCACACAGGCCATGGACGAACGCATGGCGGAATTGAAGCATCTGTTGATTTCCACCAAATGTCCACCTCCGGACAATATGGAGCCTTGACAGAATGACACACAGGGACACGCAGGTGCCCAATTTTTTGCCATTTGCCCCTGCATTGCCCCTGCCAAGCCTCCAATGCTAAGATTTAATGTTTACATGTACCTGCCCAGATGCAGCAGTGAACAGACTCTTGGCGATTTTGCAATTTTTTGTTCATTCCTATCATGCCTAGATGTGGTGTGGCCACAATGTTTGTGTTCTGAGGTCTTTTGCCGACACCTTAACTGTTCAATCCCATTGCAGCCGCATCGACCAAATGAAATTTTGCCTTTTCCGTGTACAGACAATCAGGGCATTTTGCCACACTGTCATGAGGACCATTGCACATGCGTAGCCAGGCGTGTTGGGAAAGCACACAACCTGGACACAGATGACATGCCATTGCCAGGTAGCAGCACCATCTCCACATCAACCGTGTTCAAGTACCGAAGCTATATTGCCTTGCCAACGCTAAGACTTAAAGTTTACATGCATATGCCCAGGTGCAGCAGTGGACAAGCTCTTGGCGATTTTGACAAGCTTTGGAAACCTAGGCTGTGCTTTTACGAGCATTGCTGGCACTGTTGGTGTGTTGAGGTATTACGTCACTGCCTTAACTGCCAGGTCTTTTGCAGAGACATCGGCCACCTGACATTTTGTCCATTCGTTTTCTTAAGTATGACATTTTGCCACAGCTACATGAGGACCATTGCTTTTTCACAACACAGAGGCTTGGTCAAGCAGATATCACGGACTTGAATGCTATGACTCTGACAGGGGATGTCCCTCATCCCCCCACAAATGTGTCCAAGTCCCACTGCAGTAAACCCTTGCAAATGCTAAGACTTAATGTTTACTTGTATATGCCTAGCTGCAACGGTGGACAAACTCTTGGCGATTTTGACGAATTTTGGATAACCATTTCATGCCCCCACACGCATGGGCTGAATTGTGTGCGTTTCCAAGTCTCACACTGCAACATTACTCATTCCGTAGTTTGGCAGCCGTATCGACCGTGTGAAGGGGTGCTACTTCTGCGTTCTGATCATCATGGAATTTCGTCACAACATCATGTAGACCACTGCCCAAGCACTGTCCACCGGGATGGAAAATCAGATCACCCATGGCCGGATGTCAGGACATTGACTGGTGACCACTTGATCACTTCGATCACTGCATTTGAGTCTCAATGCCATGTGACCTTGAACATGCCAGGCTTTAATGTTTACATGTATATGCCCAGCTGCAGCAGTAGACAGACCCTTGGCGATTTTGCACTTCTAGGGACACTAGGTTCATGCCAGACTACACTTCTTGAGCAATATAACTATCCTGAGGTCTTCCGATGCTGCCTTAACTGTTCAGTCCTTTTGCAGCCGCATAGACCCGTTGATCCTTTATTTTTTCGATGTACAGATCACCATGGCATTTTGCCACAACACCATGAAGACCATTGCCCATACACAGCCCAGCGGGTTGGCGAAGCGAAAAACCCAGGCCCAGAGGACATGATATTGACATGGGGTATCACCAACCCCACCACCATTGTGTCCAAGTCTCAGCGCTATGAAGCCTTAATCCAAGAACACAACCTGGATCTTTTCAGTGCTAGTGAAACTGCTGCTACAGAACTGGTACAAAAAATCTTTTCCCAAAAAATGCGTGCGTGTGCATTTCGATCGGTTTGGTCTGCACCTTTGCCAGACAGAGTAGAAAGATCGGATCGCCAGCCCTCGCTTCGGGGGAAAGCGGCAGGTGTAGCTCTGTTTGGCCGTTGGCCTTTGCGTAGAATCCATGGCACCCTGCCACAGGAAACGGAAGCCACTTCCCGCCTGGGACATTTCCTGCTAGAACTTGGATCATGGCAGTTGCAAGTGTTAGTAATTTATGGTTTACCCCACTCAGGTGCGGATAGGGCCAATCACCAACTCCTGCAAGCCGCATTGCAGGCAGCTGACACTTTCAACTTGCCGTTCCTCATCATGGGGGATTTTAATTGTAACCCATTAGAGATCCTAGGGGATGAAGCCCATGCCAGACAACTCACCGATCTCAAAGCACTATTTGCCTCCCATACGGGTAGAATCATGCCATGCACCTGTAAAGGGGTCACCTGGCCGGACAATGCGGTCGCCTGCCCACGGACAGCGCGATGGATACATGATATCAAAGTCTGTCCACCAGGGGATTTTGACACACACCAGGTTGTTATTTTCAAAATGAGTATCCCTCAAACATCGTTGCAAACGCTACACTTGCCACTGCCACGCACATGGACTGGACTCACCATTGATACACACTTACTGCCTGAAGCATATACCCAAGCAACCCAAACCTTGGGTGTTCCAGATTGTCTGACTCAATGGGGTGAGGTAGTGGAATGTGCAGTGGACATTGCGTACCGTAGGACTCAGGTTCAAAATGGCACACCATGGACCGCCACCCAGGCACTGCCCAAAGCCTTTAGGGGAAGATGTAAACCAAGAAAGCCACAAAAGGTCCCTAAAGTAATCCTTAGTAAGCCGGGCCGACCCAGTGACTATGCCTCGACATCTGAAATCATCCGGCACGCCACTCAGGCAAAGATCAAACAGGTTCGTAGAGTGAAAGCACTGTATCATCGCCTCTGTGCTGCCCAGAATACCAATCACTACAGTAAATGGAATGAACTACACCAGGAATGGCAAGCCATCCTTCGATCCAAAGCTTTTGGGAAATCCTTTGTGCAATGGTGCCAGAACATGCCTGAATTGGGACCAGCCCCTTTGGCAGTTCCCTCCGCTGAGTATTTACATGTCATGTTGCAACTGCTCCAACACTTGACAGACATCGAGATTGCCTTTGACGCCAAGTTGCAGAAAGACCGACAGGCCCACGCAAGACATCTCGACCGGACATACCGGGGACATGCCACGGCCTATGCCAGGATCAAAGAACAGACCATGCCACCGGTGTCACAGATGAAAAGCCAAATCACAGAAGAGGCTGTGGTTGTCCCGCAGCCTGACGGTCAACTGCTTGCCTTCTGCGATAATCCCAAGCAATTTGACATGGCAGCCACGGTTCTTGTTCAAGATTGCCACAGTAGTATTGTTGCAATAGATGATTACTCAGTAAGCCTTCGGACACATCAACCATTGCCACCCCATGAAGAGGAACTTCAACTGACCCAAGATAGAACACACTCCGATCCCCAGGATATCTTGCGGCTGCTGACAGACTACTGGTTACCTTTCTGGAATGATGACAGGGCCCATGCGGCTGCCGCAGACCATACCTGGGCCTGCTTTGGACCTAACCGATGCGGCAGTTTGGTTCTCAGCAGTGCGTTCCCTCAAGCCTACATCAGCCAGGGGGTCAGATGCCATTTCAGCCGCAGAACTGCAGCAATTGCCGGACATGGCCATAATGCATTTGAAAGACATATTGTTGGCGCAGACCGATGGTTTTCCTCAATGGTACATGCTTGCTATCACTGTCCCAGTACCTAAAGTTTTTGAGGTTCCTGAACCTGGCCAGGTGAGACCCATCACCATACTGCCACAACTCTACCGGCTCTGGGGCCGAGTTTGTACCAGACAACTGCTAGGACATTTTGCACAACACTTGCCTGCTGACATAAGCGGATTCCTCAGGGGTCGTGGCCCAGCAGAGGCATTTTTACGACAGCAGTTGCATATCGAAATCCACCATTGGCTTAACCGACAGCTTTCAGGGCTTTCCATTGATTTGCTAAAGTGTTTTAATACCATTTCCCAGCGGGCGGTACAACAAGCACTGCTATGGATGGGGGTACCTCCGGCGCTAGTACATCAGTGGTATTTATCCCTAAAAAATGTATGCCGTGTCTGGCGCCTTGGCCAGGAATGCACAGGTGTGTTGCCAACCAATCATGGAGTCCCAGAAGGTGACGCATGGAGTGTAGTAGCCATCTTGAGTTTGGCCTATGTTTGGTCCCTTGATATCCGGAGACATGCACCACGCGCTTTCTTGTCTGCATATGCTGATAACTGGTCGTGGGCTGCCACCAACACGGAAGACCATACTGCCATTCTGCGCAATACTACTGCCTTTGTACGCCTGGTAGACATGGTAGTGGACTGGCCAAAATGCTGGGCCTGGGCCACAGGACCTGATCAGTTTGCCGCTTTGAAAACAGTTCTAAATAACCATGAGCCTACACGATGTTTGCAACGGAGGCTGAATGCTATGGATCTTGGGGCCCAACTCACTTACCAAGGTTCCCCACAGCTTGGTAAATATAAAAAACGATTGGAAAAGGCACACATGAGACTGCTCAGACTGCAGCAGATCAAGTTGCCGTTGCCAGTTAAAACACAGCTTGTGAAAGGATCAATCTACCCAGTTGCGCTGTATGGTACTGAAGTTATCCCACTTGGTGAAACCCATATCAAAAAGTTGCGTACTGCCATAAGTAATGCTTTGCTAGGCCCCTCCCAAGCTAGAAATCCAGCCTTAGCTATAATGGCGGTTAACCACCTGGTAGACCCCCAGCTGGAACTGTTGCTACGCATGCTCCGATCCATGAAAAGGCTAGCCTGTTCCCTGGATGAAGAAACTAGGACCCTGGTTTTCAAGATGGCGGCACAGCACTCAGGTTTGTCCTATAGATGCCGAGGACCTGCAGGGGTTTTAGCATACACACTCAGCAAGATTGGCTGGTCCTTCACATCGCAGGGATGTGTCCAAGTAGGACCTGGACTGGCACTGCCTCTGATCACTACCAGTGCCACAGTCTTTCAGAGGTTTGCAATGCAAGCATGGGACCAAGATGTCATGCTACACCAAAGCGACAGGAAAAAACTCCGAATGCTCCGGCTCAACACACCAGACACGAGACAAGTTTTAGCCACTTTCACTGAGGGGGAACAGCTCCAGCTGGCCCAGGAGCTCTCCCTGGGCTTCCAGACAGAATCACAAAAACAGAAGTGGGCAGATGATACAGACGGACGTTGCCAACACTGCGACCAACTTGACAGTAGATTTCACAGGCTTTTTGAGTGTGCAGCAGCCCAGGAAGTTCGGCAACCATATGATGCCACGCTTAATCACTGCCTGACCCAGGGTTTGGAATTTCATGATTTGCCATTTCTTTTGCAGCACCCCAGTTATGAGCTTGTACAGCAGTTGCACTATTGTCAACCACCACCAATGCTTGATGAAGCAATGCAAAACCAGTGGCTCAAAAACCTTGATAGCCTAGGCTTTGCAACATGTTTTTACACGGATGGTTCACTCAGGTTTCCGCAGTCACACACCTGTCGTTTTGGGGCCTTTGCAATCATTATTGACACATGTGTTTCAGATAACCAGCGGGTGGCACAGGCCGAGCTTTGGAGACGGACTGGAACATTTCCCGTCTCACTGGGACGCCTGGCCATGGCTAGGCTGCAAGGGCCACAGACCATACACCGGGCTGAGCTCATGGCGGTTGTTTCTGTTTGCGAATGGTGCAGTAGGGCCATAATAAAGACAGACTCAGCCAGTGTCACACATGCTTTTTTGCTTTGTAAGATGGCACACCAGTTCACTGATATTCAGCACCTTGAAGACCCTGACCTGGTCTACCGTCTCTGGCTGGCACTCCGTAGGGGATCTCAGACAGTTGTCAAGGTTAAGGCACACCAGGAGCCCACACTGGCACACACAGCACTTGAAGTTTATGACATTTTGGGTAACCGACAAGCAGATGAGATGGCAGTGGCCACCTGCAAAAGTTTCCAACCGGAAGTTGCTCAATTATGTCAAGACATGTACATGGATGTTCAATGCGATAAACTGTATTTGCGCTCTTTCCTTGCGTATCTCTTGGATTTACGTCGACATTTTGCTTTGCTGCAAGCAGATAAAACAGAACTCACAGTTCATGCGGATCTTCGCGCCAACACCGCACCTGAACCGAGAGACATTCTTGCAAACTGGCAGGTGCCCTACCCACGGGCTGCTTATGATGTTGGTGTAACATTCCTACAGTATTCCGCTTGGGGACGCCCCTTCGCAGATATGGTGTTGCAATGGATGAGACAAGTGGAATGGCCTGACACAGAAGAAGTTGACGAAAAAGACCCAGGGATTAGCTGGATTGAACTGGTTACTTCTTTTGTTTTGTGGTCGAAAATCATGCCACCCTTGAAGAGGAAAGACCTGGCAGGCACGGATTTTCTCCAGTGCATAGACAGCTTGGAGCAAGTCACTGTTCACAACATAGGACTGGGCGAACAAGCGAACAATTTTGCTATAATTGTTAACCAGATCAGGGGGCTTGTCACAAGAGATCCCTGGCCAGCACGGCCACGGGGTTTTTGCCGTTGTCTTTTTCTGTTGGGGGCCCGCAACCACCCCTATGGATTCAGACAGAGACCAGTGATACCTTGCCAGCAGGGGGTTGTGAATTACTTGTACAAATATTTGCGGCGCTTTGAAAAGTATGACACATTTCCTGAAGTGGAGGACTGCCAGCTCATCACGCTGGATCGTGCACATCTGGGTGGGAGCTGGACGCAGGCGTTGAAGCAAGTGGCCAAGGGCTACGCAATGGTAAAGACATGGAGAAGACAACCACAACGTGGACTTTCTTTTTGACCAACCTTTTTATTTTGCCAACTTTTCCAATGTTGGCAGGCTGCGGTTTCACTTGATCAGGCCGCGGACCTTTGACGGGAGGAAAACGGGTAAATTATAACGACCTCACTGCGACCTCACTGGAATCATGGTTATAAAGGGAAATCATCCCCAAATGGCCTTAATTCAGGTTAGTGAAATATTATAATTTACCCAGATAATTGTGCCATTTTCCACAGCTATGTAACAAATTAGAGGGTAACCACTTCTTTCACCAAGGCCACCGGTGGCGACCCCGTGGCCTCCGTGGCAGCTGCGCAGCTGGCGACGCGGGCAGCAGACGCTTGGAACGGTGATCTGCGGTTGATCTGGGTAAATTAATACCATATTAATCATTAATACGTATCCTTAACATTAGTACCAAATTAACATAGTACCATATTAACATTAGTACCATTAATCATTAATATATCTCAGTTCCATATTAACATTAGTACCATTAATCATTAATCCAAATGGGTATACTGTATCCTCCTAGGACTGGGATGATGTTTATCATGACCCCGTCTCATGGTGGCTTAATTTTTAGGAATTAACATTATCTGGGTAAATTTCATCACGACCTCACTACGACCTCACTGGGAATCATGATTAGTAAGGGAAATCATCCCCAAATGGGCGCAAGATTCAGGTTAGTGAATTATTATAATTTACCCAGATATTATTATCTAGCCCATATTAACATTAGTACCATTAATCCAAGGATAGCTGGAAAATATAGGAGGCTCATACAGGATGGGGCCCCCAAGATAGCGTTCAGTTGATTTATAAGTGGCTGAATGCTATGGTTTATGGTGGATAGAACTATAGTTACTGGGGATTATAATGGTTTATAAACCAACTAACATCACTGGGGGGCCCCATCCTGTAGTCCATATTAACATTAGTACCATTAATCCAACAATCATATAATATTGGAACATTAGTACCATTAATCTATTCATTTAACTGATAATGAAATATAATTAATCATATTAGTGAGACCATATTATTAGTCACTAGTAATACAGTCCATGAGAATAATGTTCCAGCTAATGTGATTATCAAAGGAACTATTTTTCATTGTTCCAAAATGGTTATATGTTACCTGGTGCCTCATTTTTCATAAAGGATCGATTTTTCCATATAACTTATGTGTTCCACGTAGACTATTGGTTACTTGGTTTCATGGTAATTAATGTGATTTGTAATGGTTACTAATGGTAGTGACTATTGAAGTTACTAATGGTGAAAAATGGTAGTCACTGGTGATTTAGAATGGTTCTTATATTGGTTCATATTGGCTCATAATGATTAATATGCAATGGTTAAAAATAGTTAATAATGGTGAATGGATGTACGACTATGGTGGTGGTTCAATGGTGGTCAATGGCGGTGAAATAGGGATTTAACCAACCATAATTTATATAATGCTTAACAGTGGTTAAAGTTATCGACCATAATCCACTTAGCTATCATTAATGGTGTTGTCCCACTAATGGCCCAGTTATAGATGATTTACCTCTGACAAAAGATTGTGTTTTTTCCACAACTATGTTGAGTTACCTCAGGGTAATATTGATTATTTTTTTCAGAGAATCCATAGTTTACGTATTAAAAATGGTGATGTTCCTATCAGAAATTGCTATTCATAGATGATTTACCTGAAATATTCCATTTTTGTTCGATAAAGTTATTGGAAAAGGCAATATGGAACAATGCTACACTAAGAAAAATCACTATGGAAAACCACCCACCACTATTTACCATTAAATCACTATAAATTACCATGAATTACTACATTGTATACCCCAGAATTTTTCCATAGATAATCCATAATATCCCATAATCGTATAGTTATCACCAATAGTATATTATATAATAATAGATGACCTTCCTGATGCTATCCCCAATAATGATAGTTATCTAAATGGCTAATATAGATGCCAAAATAACTATAATCATGATATGATGAAAACATGGATATATATATATGGGATAATAATAATATGACGAAAATTGTGGTATATATCAATATATGCTAATAATTAGACAACTACTATATACCTCCATATGGCAATCCTCGATATATTGGCTAGTATAACCTCATATAATCATCAACCAACCATCATGTATCACTTATAGTATATATATATATGCATATATATATATATAACAAGTTTATCCCCATAAACTACATATTGTATATCTCCCATAAATATATATTCTAAGTTTCTGTGTTGCATTCACAAATCACTTTATTGTATATCCTCATAGATATTTATATATATATATTTATAGATAGACAGATAGATAGACAGATAGATAGATAGATAGACAGATAGATAGACAGATAGATAGACAGATAGATAGATAGATAGATAGACAGATAGATAGATAGATAGACAGATAGATAGATAGATAGACAGATAGATAGACAGATAGATAGACAGATCGATAGATAGACAGATAGATAGATAGATAGACAGATAGATAGATAGATAGACAGATAGATAGACAGATAGATAGACAGATAGATAGATAGATAGACAGATAGATAGACAGATAGATAGACAGATAGATAGATAGATAGATAGAATCACAGATAGATAGACAGATAGATAGACAGATAGATAGACAGATAGATAGATAGATAGACAGATAGATAGACAGATAGATAGATAGATAGACAGATAGATAGACAGATAGATAGACAGATAGATAGACAGATAGATAGACAGATAGATAGATATATATATATATATATGTATATATACTATATATGTACTAAATATACCCCCATACGTTTCCTTCCTGTCCCTCCAAGGCATCTCAGGCCGGCGTCGCCGCTGCCGCTGCCGCCCAAGCAGCGCGCCTCGCCTCCCGCGCCGCACAGTCGGCCTCCGCCGCCGCGGCCGCCGCCTCCGCGGGAAACGCCACGGTGGAGACAGCGGCGACGGCGTCGGTGACGCGGAAACCGTGGGTTCTGAGGGAGAAAAACGGGGCAAAATCCGTGGAAAAAATGCGATTTTCGATAGTTTTGATAGAACATGGGGGAAAAATGAGTGGAAAACCTGTGAGATTTTCTATGAATTGGGAGAGAAACTGGGGATTCTTTGAATTGAGTGGAACAAATTGGAATCTAATAGGGAATGGTTGGGATTCAATGTTGATTTTACTAGCCAAAAATACTAGGGAATAGCAAGGAAATACCCAAGTTGTAAACCATCGACTGAGTTGGATTTTGTGATTTCCCACCTATTTGGCAACGAAAGATGGATCTTGCATGATCTGGCCGACGGGTGGACAACCGAACGTGTAGTTGTCACTATAATTGTCTAACATCTTGGGGTGGGGTGGGGTATTGACGTCCTTGGTAGCAAGAACTTCCAACTATGTTATTGACTTCTCTAACATCTTGCACGGGGTGGGGTGAGGTGGGGTATTAACGTCCTTGGTAGTAAGAACCTCCAGCTACGTTACTGACTTCTTTGACATTCCAACTATGTTGTTATCTTCTCTATCAACTTCCAACTACGTTAGCATCCCAATGGCGCTGGGAATCCCTGAAACACTTAGATTTCCTCATGTCTCTTGCTGGCAAGACCTTGGCACAGATGTGACCAAACTGATGTCACCAGCTCTGCAGAAAAAATCGCCCCTTTCATGTGCAAAAACTATTGCCCCACTGTCACTTTGTGAAATGACCCCCCACTGGGATGACATATCAAAAATTCATGGCCTGCGCACAGAAAGACAATAAAACCAATGGAAATGAGACGCAAACTTGACAAAAAGACCTAAAGTCCTTTGCAAAACGAATAACGCCACAGAATCCACAAACATCAAAATGTCAAAAAGGCAACGCCGCCACGTTCAATTACCCACCCGGCGTGATGATTTTGCCAACAAAAATAGGAGCAGACGGCAAGGCATTGCAGTTCGCCCCTCTCAAAACTACGATTTACCCATGAATAATGAGCATTCCAGCCAGAAATTCACGAGGATTTCATCTTGTTTTTCATCCCAAAAGTGGTTTCTTAAACACATCACATCGCCCATCAGCCCATCAGCCCAGGTACCAGCTTCCAACCAGGCGGTTCTGTCGAATGCCCTGCAGGCTGCCAGCATCCCGGGCAGTTCCCCGGTGCTGCAGTGGCATCCCTGGCACCCTTTGCAGATCTGGTCGCAGCTGTCGACTTTGGAACGGCTGTTGATGCTTGGGATATGCTTAGGCGCCGAAAAACCATGGGAAACTGGGGATGGGTCGTTTTTACCGCTTTTATTCTGGCATAAATCCATGTGTTACTCCTAAATTCCCGCATCAAAATCCCTATTTAAATTGTCATTTCGGGGTCTGAAATGAGTGAAATCCTCCCTATTTTCAGGCCAAACTGGTCGATCCTCAGGACGGGAATCTCTTTCGCTGGGATGATCAAAGCTTTGTGCATGGCTGGTAACATCTTGGTTCAGGCAGGAGATGTGGTGGTCAAAACTAAAATATCCGGACGTTGTGCCCTGGTAATATTCAATTAACCTACTTGATGGGACAAGATTGATGGGACAATTTGGCGGTTATACAATTGTACATATATATATATATATGTATATATAAAGAAATTTTATCCCCATTGTAAGAAAAATATGTCCATTACAATTGTTTTGTCACATATAAAATGATATCCCCAGAGTAAGAAAAGAGTTCACCAGTAGACAGACGTAATCCACCAATCTGGGTAGATTGCAACGAACTCATTGCGACCTCACTCGATTGATGGTTAGTAAGAGGAATTATCCCTATATCTATTATATAACCTCATTTCAGATGAGTGAATAACCCAATCATTATTGGGGATAACTTAGTTCTGGTAACCCAACTAATCATGGTTTTAGATGGTTTTCGCTTGTCTCAATGATTTCAGATTAGTGATTTACTATAATTTACCCAGACCAACGATGTTTACTCACCAACTGCTTCTGCTTCGCCAGGTGAGTCCATATCCTCAGGTTCAACGCTGGGAGTTGCGCGGCTGCACGGGCAGCTTGGCATCAAACATCACCTCCTAATTTGGGGTAGAAAGAAAGGTGTCCCCCATGTTGCTTCCTCTGTTCATTTTTGTTTTACGAGTAGACGCGTCTTTTCATCTTACAATGCTGTTAGCAAGCACACGTCTTACCATGACTCAGCCTCCCGATGATGAAAATGTTTGGGTGATTGGATCCTCAAATCTTCATAAGTTTCTTTTGGTCCAGTTCTATTCTATGGTCTATAGTCATACTTCCATTCCTGATGATGGTTTTAATTCCTGATATTTTTGCTTAAAATCATCTTAAATCTCATTCCGGTGGCAATTGGATCCCGAGTCTTGATGTCAAACATGGCTAGCTGGGAACCCCCTACAATAGGGAGGTTAAGCTCCGGGTTTAGCTGGGAAAATCATCGATAATTTAATGGTGGATTTTTCCAGTAAGCCATGGAGCTGATGACACCGGAGGCTATCTATGATGACTATCATAGACTGGTCGACTGGTGATTAGGTGATAATCAAATTATAGGTTATCATAATGATAATATATTATTATAGTGATAATGATAATATATGATATCCTGATTATCATCTATTATCCATAGACCAAGGTTTCATGGCTATAGATCCTGACTGGTGATTTTTCTGCTTTCCATCCCTTAAATCATCCTCGACCAACTGGATGGAAACTAATCCTTTAGTTTTGATGGAAAATCACCAGTACCAACCAGCAAAAGATGACCAGCAAATCATCAAAACATCAAGATTGGTGATTAAAAAGCATCATAAAATCACCAGTACCATGGTCAGTTGTGGACCATTTTTTCCATTTTTTCCATCTTTTTTCGCCTTTTTTTTGGTTACCAGGTGAGTCAGATCCTGCCCCTTACGTCTCGATCGCCTTCGGTGGATGGCAATGGTGTGGCCTGGTGGGAAAAAGTTGGGGATTTTAAATGATTGAACCAGCAAAAATAGGGTGTTTAACCATGGGATATACCCTCTGGTAATTTAACATAGCTATTGAAAATCACCATGCTATTAATGGGAAAATCCACTATAGATGGCCATTTTCAATAGCTACGTTAAATTACCAGAGGGTATTGAGGATATTGAGGATATCAATCATGGGAATATCATGATATCCCTAGTTGCTGGGGGATGGTCATCAATTCATTACCCTATGGTTATGATTAACATAGCCATGGAAAATCCCTGAACTAAATGGAGGTTTATAGCTGGGAAAATCATCTATTTCTATGGGCCATGGCTTCCATAGCTACGTTAGTCATAACCAGAGGGTACATGATATTTAGGGATTCATAGAAGTACGCGTTATATGTTTGGATTACTCCATCTTCCATGTACCTTGACCATGGCACATGGGGAAACCCTTGGTGGATGGCTACATGCTTCAAGGGCTTCAACGCTTCACTGATGTTCGGTGGGGATCACAAGTTCCGAGGCACGCAACCCGCTTAACAGAACATGCACGGACAAGTGATGATTGAGAAAATGCATGTTTTCTGACTTGCACAAGAGTCTCAGCTTCTATGTTTTTAAAAGGAACTTCCCAGTGACCAGAGCACGCTCTAGTTTCAGCTCAGATCCTCGGTGGCAACTGTACTTTAGACAGATACTGATTGGTGTTCCAGTTGGCCAGATCTGAGACGCTCGAATTCCCCTGTTTGATCCAATCTATCCAGTTGCAAGACACATCCACAATACAAAACCTCCGAACACCGATCCAACCACTCTGCATATGCGAAAAAAATCCATCACCTGGTTCCACTTGAGGCTACTACGGCTTCTTTGCCTACTTTGTCACTGAGCAAAAATGCTGGCCATGTCGCCCAAAATTGTTTGGCCTTTCGAAAATGCCACAATTATCTGACCTTCACCGTTCTTGTAGACTTGGACAGTGCAAGAACACTGGGACTCCCATTCAAATCCCATTTTTTTCGGTTTTGGCTTGTGTTTCCTTCAGATACACTTGGCTGTTAGACTTCAGCCTTTAGTGGTTTTGTGAGCTATGGGATGATTTGTGTCTGCAAATAAGGTACCCCCAAAGCTTACCCTCTGGTTATGACTAACAGTTCGCCATGGTATAGATGGCCCATAGAAATAGATGGTTTACGGATGTTTACGGTTTACCTATTAATAGCATGGTGATTTTCCATGTCTATGTTAGTCATAACCAGATGGTAACCCATGGTTCATCATGTCGGCCACGGCACTTTTTAGGTCACAGCTCGAAGTGGCTTCCTGATCCTGGTCCATTCCAACATCTTGGGCGCCATCCTGGGCACGTACTACACCATCACCTACTACCGCAACTGCTCCTCGCCGAAACATGGTGAAACACATGGTGAAACACATGGTGAAACGGCTGGCGCCCTTCAAAATGCCCTAGAAAGTGCCGGAACTGGTGTTTGTTTCTTGGAAGATGAGATGACTTGGCAAATTCGGATGACGACTGTGTGTTGATTGAAGCAGTTGCTTGTTTTGTTGACCTGCCCTTGCCTTTCCACTACTTTTGTGAGTACTTGAACAAGAGGGATAAATCCATCACCCTTTGTTGACGTCTTTTGATACCCTGAAAAGTGCCGGATCCAGTTGGCAGTATTCTGATACCCTTCAGAAGGTATCAGAGATATTCAGAATGTTCATTCCGCATGTTTTTCCTGGCACCTCCAGGTTTGTTAGTTGAATTCCAATTTGCGACAAGAGTTGTTCATCGCAAATCGATTGTGACGATGGACTCCTGTGAGGCAAGCATCCAGATATGTTGCAGAACTTGCAGAAGTACTTGGCGGCCGTCACTGGAACTGTTGGGACATGTTAAAACTGGAGTCTGGAAGATCATGAGACCAGGTCACAACTCACCCTACCCTTAGTTCACACTAAAATATCTGGTAAATGCGGTTTCATCCCAAAAAACATATGGTAGAATAATATAATAGTAGGTTTTGATCCTAAATAGATCCCCCAAATAATTAAGGTATAATGGGTGATGATCCAAACCCAACCATCATCAAGATAGCAGGAGTTACTACATTATTGGCCAATGCTACTATTTAACCATCTCGGTTTGGTTGGTGAACAGTTTCTTTTTTAAACCACAAATGGAGGAATAGAACGAAAAGAATCCATAGCTCAAAATTTGTTTCTGGAGATACTATTCTAAGCACTGGGTTAGGATAACGTGGAGATGTGATCTGGTAGTAATTAATTATCTTACATTATACATCCATATTTGGGGTTGTTTGGCATTGAATGAAACCAGCGATCAGGTAACAACTTGCCAAGACACGGCATGCCCACCCTCCCCGCTGACGACCAGTTATGCAGCAACATTTTGGAGTGAAGTTCATACAGAATGGTCTTAATGTACTCACAAAAGGCACCATTGCCAGGGTTTGAACAAAAATGATTAAAAATGCAGGAGCCCTTTTCTAGCATCGAGAAGAACTGCAGGATCACAGCTACTGTAAATGGACTTAGTCGACCAGGCTTCACATTCATCCGGGTCCACACAACTGGATTTTCACATATGTTCACCATTCATAAATTCATCACTATTAGATTCCCACTTTTATGGTTTCACCATCAATATTTATCAACTATATGTCCATATGAATTCCCACTCCCATTCTTTCGGCATAAGTTTTACCGCATGCCACCGTGGTAACGTTTTACCGTGGGAGCGTTTTCCCGTGGGAAAACTTCCTACCACGGATCGCAACAAGGTGATCTCCTTGGTGATGCTTCAGCTGTGCACTCTCTTCATGTTACCCGTGGAACGTGCACTCTTCATGACTGGCCTGGTGTCACTTGGTGTGACCCGTGGTTTTGATGATAATATATGATAATACAGGATGACGATGATGACGATGATGACGATGATGATGATGATGGTGATGATGAGTGATGGTTGATGATGGTTGATGATGGTCAATTATGGTTAGTGCTGGTTGATAATGGCTAATAAGGGTTGGGAAACGGCTGGGAGTTCTTAAGGCTTCCCGATTCGTGGGGATCATAGTTGCAACGCGACTCGAAAAAGTGGTGAATCAGTGGGCCCCCTTTTTTCGCCCGGTGATACATAGTCCTACCCATTACTACCCTGTGGTAAACTAATGGGAAAACCATAGGAAAACCATGGGAAAATGGGGATTTATATGGAAAATCACCATGTTCAATGGGTAAATCCACTATTTCTATGGCCATTTTCAAGTTCGCAAACTGTTAGTCATTACCAGAGGGTACTCATTATCAACGGTTGGAGACAAGCGTTATCAACCACAAAAAAGAATGGTTAGTAACATGTATATCCCTATAATGGTTGGTAATGGTTAGCACTAGGATAATAGGATCAATACTCAATGGTTAGTAACATCCAAAAAACATTCCACTCACCATGTTAGAAGGCTGTTCTTTCTTGATGAATCAATGATGACAAAACTAACCATTACTAACCATTATCCGATACTTCGTAATCAACGATGACAATTCTAGGATCGCCCCATTGAGATATATCTTGGGCTCCTTTGGGACGATCGCGTGAAGATGGTAATTGTCAAAATGGCTCTATCCCAAAAGTAAGCCATGTTTTTTCAATAATATACCATTAATATACCATTAATTAATATACCATTAATATACCATTAGCAATGTTTTGTTTCAATGATATTTTTAATATACCATTAATAATGGGCTATTTAAATGTGTTAATATGGGATATTGAAGCAAATATATTAAAAATAACCTATTATTAATGTTTAGTTATTAATTGGTTTTCAATAATATTCTTAATATACCATTAATAATGGGTTATGTAAATAAATGAACCCATTTTTGGTATATTAATCATTTATCATTTATTAATATCCCATTATGAACCTTCTGTAAAGACCATTTAATAACCTTTTAAAATAACCCATGTCCATATATGGGTAAAAAGAATGGTGATGTTCAATGGTTTCCTTTTCAAAATCCGATGGTTGATTTTTTGACTGTGCCATTTAAAAGGACGATTTTAGGGTCCCAATTTTCAGACACACCCAAATGTCATTGACAGTCTAGAAGAAACTGGGTGTTTTTTACCCAAGAAACATCGCTGGGGTCTAGCACGGCTCACCCTGCTACAGTTTGTTCCGCATGAAAGTTGACATATGATGGGTTGGGTGATGGTTGATGGGGAAATCATGGGAATCATGGGGGGCATCATGGGATATAGAACCAACAAGATGATATGTGGATGTCTGAAATTGGGTATACCCCCAAAATTGCCACTTAAAGAGGAACATGATGATCAACGATTAAAGGCTTAGTACACTCAGCACCAGTGTTTTTGTCATCATAAATTATTCCATGTTACTACAACTACATCCAGGACCAGCGCCACCACCACCACCTTACTGATTATATACAAACAGAATTTCTGTTCTACTACAACTGCTGCTACCACATCAGTCTTTCATTTTGTCCTCAGGATTATTTACCCTACAACTGCTTTTATTTACGTGTTCTCGTCGGTCCCATGTCCGTGGTTTAACATTTGCTACTGGCGTGGCCAATTTTCTTTCGAGTTGCAGTACTCTAGCGTATAGCATCAGGGTATGGTTCAAACATGGGGGTTCTGATGGTCCTAAACCATCTAAGTTTGCCCAAAATTAAAGCAAGTAGAGTTGGGTCATCAAAGTATCAAATCCCCACATGTTACTATTATTTGGTTGATCCCCATCAGTAAACCTGAATGAAGATGTTAAGTTCAGTATGTTATGACAGCACAGCACTAGCTGCCAAAATCATCATCTCTCGTCCCCAACAGTTCCTGTTGGTGCATCGTTGGGCTACACCCGCCAACCATGAGCCAGGTGAAAGACTTAGTCACCACCCGGCATGGAGCATTTGGACATGACTTTCAGTACATCCCGTAGTGTAACAGTGTATCACAAGTATTGTTGCTAGCCCTAAGGACCTACAGATTTTAACATGTTTGTGAATTCTGATTCTGATCATTCCCTTTTTTGGTTGGTAACCAGAACAACAGAGTACCAGTGAAACTTTCATGTTTGTAAATTAGTCTAATTCTAAGAATACTAATTTAATCTAATTTATATAATTGTATACAATTCATTTAAATCCATTTTTTGTGAGGTGTCCTCCAGTTTAAACTTGGTTTGTAAACCCCATTAACTAGTTCAATATATCTACATCAACATCCACAAACCCTAATTATGTTAATTAATGTTATTTTCTTCAACCGACTTAGCTAAACAAGGTTGGCACCGCCTCATTTCTTTCAAGAAAAGGTCATCCTTTTGCAGCTTCGTCGGCGCGTTATCCATGCTCTTCGTGTTGCCTGCCGTGTTGAAAAACCAGGACCGGGTAGTGCGGCTGTGCGGCTTGGGTGACTTGGAGAGGAGTCGGTCAGCACAACATGGAGAGCTGGGAAATCCGACAGGAAAATCCTGTCTAAATGGGAGATGCTCCAGCAAGTCATGTGTGATTACCAGAGAGTGTCCCATTTCAAAGAATGGTGACTTCGGGGCACTAAAACTTGGAAGCTTGAAAAATCGGGAGCTACCAAGACAAACATAAATGGGTTCATGGGGATATAGTCAGATACTGGTGGAGATATAGTGGGATATACTGAGATAATAATTAACCACATACATCAATATATATATATATACATATACATATGTATATCATATATATATATATAGATGTATATGTATATATAGATATGTATATATATATGTATATAAATATATATATATATATGTGTGTATGTATATATATATATGTAATGCAACCAACTGTGTTCATTCCCACGTTGGATGGGTCAAGTGGGAGCGCCATGTGGAGCGCCATGCGCAAAAAAATTAGGAACATGCGCAGCCTAAGCTACTGACACTCAGGTGGAGCAAGGCGATTTGGGCATATCCCCTAGTTTTGGAAACACCTAAAATACCCCAGATGACACAAAAATATATACTCTCTGGCAAACTAACAGAACTAACAGTTTGCTATTGAAAATAACCATATTTATAGTGACTATAGTGGATTTACCCATTAATTTATAGTGATAGTGACTATAGTGGATTTACCCATTAAAGATGGTGATTTTCCCATCAGTTTTTTGTCCGTTGACCAGAGGGTGAACAGTTGATGGATCGAACGTCTCCAGGACAGTCGCGCTATCCCCGGGCCCTTGGTGCTGGCCAACTTGATTAGTGAGCCTTGGAGGAAAACAGCCTGGAATTTGCTAAGAGGAGAGATTGCAATCCGAAAACGTGACTTGGAACTTCGCTGAAGCTATGAAACACAGAATTTCCGAGCATTTCATTGTCAAATAACAACGACTTTTTGAGTTTTGTCCAATTCAAAGCGTCTTTGTATCATCAGTTCAAGTCATGGTGAAAGTTCAAGGCACAAGACGCACAAGGCACCGCTCCGAAACAAGCGCTTTCTTCAGGCCATTGTGTGGTGCATCTGCGGTGCTATGCTGTCAGATCCTATGATCGCAGCCCCCAACTTTGTCTGCTGAGCCTGGGATGGGATGTTCCGAACATCGGATGTAGACAGTAAACATGGCATTTGGGGGTTGAATGGTAGTTTGATGTGTTTTTTTAATTCTTGTCAGTATCTCATACCGGTTCATCCCCAGCAAAGATTATATCACTATATGTCACTATCTATATATCAGTATCTAACATATGTATCACTGTTTTGAATGGTATCTAACATGAATTCAGTAGATGCTGGTGTGGCCATGTTGATCTTGCGGAGATCGGTTTCATGTCTGCCGGGATGGCGATGGCAAGGTGGCAACTTGTTTCGGCCACTTAACATCACTTAACCATCTTAACCCGAGCACAATTGAATGCGCAAGAATCCAAGTAGCAAGTTTGATGGGCAGCATGACTTCTAGCAGATTGAGTGAAGAGATCATAGCAGTAAAGACAATAGAATCAATAGAAGATGTGGATATTTATAACAGCAACCAACCACAAATTTTCGAATCGAGCGGCCCAGTTGACATGTTCAAAAGCGGCCCAGCAGTTCTAATTTGCGGTTGGTATCGGTCAATGATCCTTCGACTTGCCGATCAACTATTGACGGCCTACCAAAGATCATCCGATTTGGCTACAAAGACATGGGTAGATTATTGACCGGATAAAATTGACCATATTGATTATTCTTACACCTCTGCAATTGAGGACGCCTATGTAAGCAAGATCACCCAAAACCAAGAATATCATACATGTTTGCTCACTGGTCTCAATCACTGGTCTGTTTAAGCGCTGTTGACTTGCAATGAGTCGGATGCTGTTTTTTGATGTTTTTTGCAGCATCACTCTCGTAAGGTGTCTCATCGACGTTGTGCCTCTACTTGAAGCGACTTTGGCCTAAAAATCCTGATTTCTACAATATGTCTCAGCAGATGATAGCAAACAGAGTATGATATCCCACCAACCACTTAGCATCTGCGGGTGTTCTGTTGACATCCCCATATGTTTGGGGTGGGTCTCCCATTCTTCAGATAGGTTGTTTTCCCATATGTTCAAGTATTGGTGGTATGTCCATCACAGTTGGGTTTCAAACATTTCGTCTTTACCATTCCTGTTTGGAATGCTGATCCCTGACGTGCAAATTGCTCGGGTTAAACCAACAAGTAGACAAGAAGATGTTAGGTTTGCCGATGGCAAAAGATTGTCAATCCAACCAATGGTGACTGAAATAGCAAAAGTGTGGCTAAGTACCAACTTTGTTGTATGACTTAGTTATAGCTACAGAGGAGTTCTATTTCGGTTTAAATATGTTTAAGTCACCATTTCTATCCATTCCGGAATACCAATGGATTCACATGTGTTCCAAAGTATTCCATTTGTTCATGGTATTTCAAATTTCCATGGACTAACCCATCGAATCCTGCCCCATGACTCTGCCGCCCCAGGTTCCTTTACCCCTCGCCGGAGGACCTGCGACCGCAGCCAGGGCCGGAGAAGGAGGAGAAGAAAGGCGCGACGTAGCGACGCGGCCGCTGCCAATCATCCGGGAGAGGGCTTAATTCATGGTGATTTATAGGGGTTTTATGGGATTTGGTGGTGGTTTAATGGTGATTTATAGGGTTTTTATGGGATTTAGTGGTGTTGAATAGTGACGCAATGGCGATTGAATGCTGGTTCAATGGTGGTTTAATGGTGGTTAATGGTGATTGATTGATGGTGAATGATGGTGATTAAACCAACCATAATTCGGAATAAACCACGACCGACGTCACTGCGACGTCACTGGAATGATGGTAGCAACTATCCCAAAATGGCCTGCGCTTGGAAAAAGAACTGCAGACCATGGAGATATGTTTACGGCTTCGATGGTTTTCAGAAGGTATAGTGCCACTGAGTAAATCAGATCGACATCAGATCCCGCGATGTATCGGCGTATGGCGAAGCCAAGTTTTGTGACTCTGCAGAACACATCGCCTCATTCACCCAGTGTGGGTCACTTTCGGTCAACTTGCGGAGGGTGAAGTACACATCTCCAAAACGGCGAAGCAAACATTGGAATATAACGAACGAAGTTGTTTGTTTCGGCCGGTTTTTGGTGCTGTCACAACATCCCGGTCTGTGTTTCCCCTTGAAGAAAGAAACGCCAACTAAAGTGCACCAACAACTGTTTCAGTGTTCCAATTGGTTTTTAGTCCCTAGATGTCCCTTTTCCACTGATTGGTTCACCAATCGGCACCTTTCTGAGGGCTCTGAAGACTCTGATATATTGATAGTGATCCCGTGTTCTGTAACCGGTGATACCGTGCTTATTCCAAGGTTTTTTGTCAGTGATATTCTGATTGAATAACTTTCACCATTTGGGAGTTGATGCCAAACAATTCTGTTGCCAAACAAGTCTCGAAAATGGCGTCTCCCTGTTTTCCAGTGTCGGTCGAAAAAATCCACATTCTTGGGGTAGTGACTGGTTCAGTTTCAGTGCTTCAATACCATTGGTTCAGTTTGGCGTCGAAAATTTTGATCCCCCATTTAGTAGTTATAACTGGTTATAACTGGGATGAAATACATTCTATAAATGGGGTTTTCCAATTCTGAAAATCCCGAAGTTTCCCCTGATTTTTTGTGGTTTCACCATCCAACAGCTCAGTTTTTATAGCGGGGATTCTCCCTTGACAGGTGCACCAGGTGCACAGGCGACGCGCCGTGTTCGTCCAAGGCCATGGTGCCTTGACCGTCCTTAAACTTGGCTATTCAGTAAGGCACCGAACCGTCGCCGTGTGTTGTCTCAATGGATTGGTTTTTATTGGGAAAATCTTATATAATTAACCGGAAACCATATAGATATTCCATGATTTTCCCTTAAAAACCATAGGGCTTAAACCTGTAAATGTTCCCTTCCCATTGACCCAGGAAGTTGGGCCATGGCGGCCAGCCCCCCGAAGCCACCGAAGCCACGCCCCTGGCGGACTGCGACTGCGGCACCGGAGGGACCTTTTGAGCGACCGGCGACGGCGGTTGGAGGCGGTGACGGGCGCCCGCAACCGGTGGTGCCCAAACGACGTTTCGACAGAAATTGATGAAGTCGCAAGGGGTGAAAGATGTCAAGTCGATCGGCGAAAGATGAGAGATTTGTGAGATTTTTTGTGTAGATGAGTATGGAAAACATTTGGAAATGTATGGAATAATTTGGAAAACAAAGCCTTTTTTTGAGACCTGTTTGGGCACCACCGTCGAATCTATAGACAGAAGTATACCCACATAGACACCACATGACCATATCATATTTGACTAAGATCCTTCCATCAGGATAAGCATAATCCAGCAGGAGAAAGATCGCCAGCTACGCTGGACATTCGGCGGTGCTGCATCTGCGAATTCACATGTGAACTGGCAATCGAAACGGTATTGTAACGTTGAACATGGACAATCACAGAATTGGATGATGGGAAAATTTACAGGAAACCCCTATATCTGATGGTAAAAACAATGGTTTCCTGTAGATTTTCCCTTAAACCAATCCATTGAGACAAGGGGGGAGGCGGCTGCCAAATCCCCCAACCCCAACCATCCCTACTACAGAGCTCTTCAAGGTGAAACTGGCCACAGCCTTTGGAAAACCACTAACTTACTGATGCCGTTTTGGGACTCCACATATAGGCTTGCACAGCATAGGTACTGTGCGAATAAGGGTTATTTTTTCATTGAATCTTCCTAATCTTCCTGTTGAACGCCCAGCATTTCCACCAAGCCATGGTTGTTCAAGGGAAGACATACAGATTTATTCACGGCAAGGGGCAAACGGATTACATCACGGCCGTGGATATTGGTAGTAGCGGCTTCCCTGTATGGGACCCGAAAAAGAACAAATCCACCACCACATGAGGTTTTATGACCGGTGTTTACTATTAGGGAGGTGATATCAGAAACAACAACGATGTTGATAAAGCAATAAGAAACCATCCCCGAAATCACCACAAATGAGTGGTATAAACCATCCCGAAATGGTAGGTTTATTGTATATTATTGGAATTAATTACCACATTAAGTGAAGTTTGGTTCCTTTGTTGCCATTCAGCCAACTCCTTGTGTGTGTGAGTATGGTATTCAACCGAGCGAAGAGAAGCCTTTGATGGTCCAGTGTGGGCAACAGTGATGGCCTTTAGCTGTCCGAAGTTTGATGAAATGTTGAAAATATCGAAATTCAACAAAGCAACTACCCTCTGGTAAACTAACATAGCTATGGAAAATCACCATCTTTAATCAACTATTTCTATGGGCCATTTTCAATAGCAAACTGTTAGTCATTACCAGAGGGTATACCCTTAAAGTATGTGGTGCTGCAAGATTTCGCAGAAGCAGAGCCGAAAATGTGATGCAGCTCAAATCCAACAGCGTTGCAGACGCATGCAGACGCGTGATTTGCCATATTTTGCCATTGTCCTTTGGGAGTACAGAGATGGACAACATGTGCCAATGGGATTGTACTAAGACATACCGTATGTGTGTGTTCAATCTTGTTCAATGACTGTACCTCAGGACGCTCCATATTCAATTGAGCTGGGTTGCGTGCTGCTAGATGGTTATAAGTTATGATGTTTAATTATATATTATATGTTTATTATGTGAGTATATATTGGTTTCTATGGACAGGAAATGCATCCACGGGAGCAATTAATATATCCAAGACATCTGTCTGAAATCATCTGTGTTCAAACACAAACTTGCTTAAACGCGTCTATCTTCACATTCCAAAGGGATGGGAACTCATTTTCCATCCCACTCACTGTAGCAAGCTTAGCTCACTCTGCCAAGACGTAATCCAGTTCAAGGATCGTGAAGTCCAAGCTGCGGAAATACCCAAAAATCTGACTGATGGACTCTGGAAAAGCATTGTCATTTGCTGCGTTTCGGTGGTTGCTCGCCTAGCGAGCCGCTCGCTAGCTGCGTTTCGCCATGGCGCCATGAGAAGTCCCAAAAGTCCCCAGCTTCGGCATAGAATCATCACGGCTTGAATCGTTTCACAAATGGCCGCTATATCCTGATTAATATCACTTGATATATCCCGAAACTCTCCAACCCTAAGTTTCAACTTATAGTAAATTTATATAGTATTTATGCACTCAAACTTGAAGCGCTTATAAGTATATATACTTTATGATTATGTAATTGTTGATCAACCGCTGACGTTTATCTCAATCCATACCATCTGGTTATTTAACATAGCTGGAAAGATCCCTCCATTTTTAAGAACGGTAAACCATCTATTTCTATGGGCCATCTATACCATGGCTATGTTAGTCATAACCACAGGGTAATAATAGTGATGTATAGCTATATATCATAGTGTATATTAATCAATAACATGATAACGTGTATATATATATATATTATAGTTATATTTACAGGTGATAATTATAGTGATAGATAGAGATTAGACATCAATGATAATTTATAGCTATTAGGCAGATGAAGGGCCATGTTGCTCGCTGCAGGACTCTCCCAAGGTGGCCCAGCTTCTCAAGGAGCCCTTTGGCACAGAAGCAGGCGCGGTGTTTGTCGCGTTTGGGTGTGTTTGGCATGGAAAAAACGGGTAAAAGTTGGGCTTGAACTATAGTCTTACTGGAAAAAATAGTTTGAAGATCCAGTAAACTGCGGAAAGATAGATTTTATTGGTCACCATGGATGTAGAACATGGTTTTTTTACGGCTAAAACATTGTGGTTTTTCAACATGTTCTTGACGAGTAAAACCCCGATGGAATCACCAGCAAATAGTTCTGGGTATCCAAGATTTACTTATCATATTCATGATATGATGATATAGTTATGATATATTTATGATATATTTATGATATATTTATGATATATTTATGATATATTTATGATATATTTATGATATATTTATGATATATTTATGATATATTTATGATATATTTATGATATATTTATGATATATTTATGATATTGCCTGCATGTGCACCGAAGTCACACAAATACAATAATCAACTTACGCGTCATCACAAGAGTCACTTGAGCACCGGTGGGCTTGTTGTAACGTCCCTAAATCATCCCTTTTAAGCGGGAAGATCAGAGGATTCTGTCCATTTCTTACCTACTTGTAGCAATAGCAACGATTTGCCCCAAGAATGGCTCGAAGCATAGACCTTGCCAAATGCGGGGTGCATTAAACTACTTTCCTCTGAAGATGCGCGTTTCTCACGGTCTATGTGTCTGTGTGGCTTGGTATTTGAGAATATGGTTGAAATTGCCTACAGCTATTTGCTTTTGCATCAACATTGGAGTTATTTTAGTGCACTTAGATATCCATATTACTAAGCAGAAGGATCCCATGTTTGTTTGAATGATATTGAGCAATAAGATTGATTGCCGTCCAGTAAATTAACATAGACGCTGGCATTCATTGGTGTTGGAAGGTGATTTTTAAGGTCAGACTATTAATTTACCAGCGGGCATCCATTATTTATCATGTACCATCTGGTTATTTAACATAGCCATGGAAAATCACCATTTTTAATAGGTAAGCTATCTATTTCTATGGGCCATCTATACCATGGCTATGTTAGTCATAACCAGAGGGTACATGTAACATGCGTTCTTCATGATATCGGTCTACCGGGGCGATTCTTGCAGAGAATCCCTATCGTTTTTTAGCATTGCACCGGCCATTAGCCTTCTGAATATTTACCAGAAACTTATAGCAGATATGCCAATGTTGAAAATTGTTTATAGATATGTTTATTGTGCTAAATTGCGCAATTCCAGGTGGAAACTTTTAAAAAAGGGTTATATTCCTGGCCAAGGCTTGTTAGTGTGCAATGAAGGCTGAGATAGCAGCTATTGATTCAGCATGCAGTGGAAACATTTATCCGCTTGTATGCGGGCAAACCACTGCAGCTATTGAGTCAGCATGTAGTGGAAACATGTGACAACCGATAAGCTACTTAGCTAATTAGCTACTAAAGTGGAAACGAAAACGTGTTTCACCAAAATATACTTCCAAATAAAATATAGTTCCTTTTTTTCGGAACTATAATTTTGGAATCCTTTTTCAAAAGTGTTTCACCAAAATATAATTCCAAAAAAAGTATATTGTTATAGTTCCTTTTTCTTGGAAGTATAACTTTGGAATCCTTTTTCACAAAGTGTTTCACCAAAATATAATTCCAAAAAGATATAGTTCCTTTTTTTTCGGAACTATAATTTTCGAATCCTTTTTCAAAAGTGCTTCACCAAAATATAATTCCAAAAAAAAATATAGTTCCTTTTTTTTCGGAACTATAATTTTGAAATCCTTTTTCAAACGTGTTTCACCAAAATAAAATTCCAAAAAAATATATAATTCCTTTTTTTTCGGAACTATAATTTTGGAATCCTTTTTCAAAAGTGTTTCACCAAAATATAATTCAAAAAAAAATATAGTTCCTTTTTTTTCGGAACTATAATTTTGAAATCCTTTTTCAAAAGTGTTTCACCAAAATATAATTCCAAAAAGATATAGTTCCTTTTTTTTTCGGAACTACAATTTTCGAATCCTTTTTCAAAAGTGTCTCACCAAAATATAATTCCAAAAAAAAATATAGTTCCTTTTTTTTCGGAACTATAATTTTGGAATCCTTTTTCAAAAGTGTTTCACCAAAATAAAATTCCAAAAAAATATATAGTTCCTTTTTTTTCGGAACTATAATTTTGGAATCCTTTTTCAAAAGTGTTTCACCAAAATATAGTTCAAAAAAAAATATAGTTCCTTTTTTTTCGGAACTATAATTTTGGAATCCTTTTTCAAAAGTGTTTCACCAAAATATAATTCTAAAAAAAAATATAGTTCATTTTTTTTCGGAGCTATAATTTTCGAATCCTTTTTCAAAAGTGTTTCACCAAAAGATAAATCCAAAAAAATATAGTTCCTTTTTTTCGGAACTATAATTTTCGAATCCTTTTTCAAAAGTGTTTCACCAAAAGATAAATCCAAAAAAAATATAGTTCCTTTTTTTCGGAACTATAATTTTGGAATCCTTTTTTCAAAAGTGTTTCACCAAAATATAATTCCAAAAAAAAATCTATAGTTCTTTTTTCTTCGGAACTATAATTTTGGAATCCTTTTTCAAAAGTGTTTCACCAAAATATAATTCCAAAAAAATATATATAGTTCCTTTTTTTTCGGAACTATAATTTTGGAATCCTTTTTCAAAAGTGTTTCACCAAAATATAATTCCAAAAAAATATATAGTTCCTTTTTTTTCGGAACTATAATTTTGGAATCCTTTTTCAAAAGTGTTTCACCAAAATATAATTCCAAGAAAAATCATATAGTTCCATTTTTTTGGAACTAGACTACAATTTATAATGCTTTTTCCAGGCATGTTGCTAATACATTGTCACCGTTTTGGGACCAATTTTGCTGGAAAAAACATTGTTTTGTTTTTGAAAAAGGATTCCAAAATTATAGTTCCGAAAAAGTGGAATTATATATGTTTTTTGGAATTATATTTTGGTGAAACATTTTTAGAAAAAGGATTTCAAAATTATAGTTCCGAAAAAAAAAGGAACTGTATTCTTTTTGAATTATATTTTGGTGAAACACTTTTTAAAACGGATTCCAAAATTATAGTTCCGAAAAGGAAACGAACTATATTTTTTTGGAATTATATTTTGGTGAAACACTTTTGCAAAAGGATTCCAAAATTATAGTTCCGAAAAAAAGGAACTATATATTTTCTTTGAATTATATTTTGGTGAAACACTTTTGAAAAAGGATTCCAAAATTATAGTTCCGAAAAAAAAAGGAACTATATTTTTTTTTGAATTATATTTTGGTGAAACACGTTTGAAAAAGGATTTCAAAATTATAGTTCCGAAAAAAAAGGAACTATATATGTTTTTTGGAATTATATTTTGGTGAAACACTTTTGAAAAAGGATTCCAAAATTATAGTTCCGAAAAAAAAGGAACTATATCTTTTTGGAATTATATTTTGGTGAAACACTTTGTGAAAAAGGATTCCAAAGTTATACTTCCAAGAAAAAGGAACTATAACAATATACTTTTTTTGGAATTATATTTTGGTGAAACACTTTTGAAAAAGGATTCCAAAATTATAGTTCCGAAAAAAAGGAACTATATATTTTTTTTGGAATTATATTTTGGTGAAACACTTTTGAAAAAGGATTCCAAAATTATAGTTCGAAAAAAAAAGGAACTATAATTTTTTTTGAATTATATTTTGGTGAAACACTTTTGAAAAAGGATTCCAAAATTATAGTTCCGAAAAAAAAGGAACTATATTTTTTTTTTGAATTATATTTTGGTGAAACACTTTTGAAAACGGATTCCAAAATTATAGTTCCGAAAAAAAAGGAACTATATATACTTTTTTTGGAATTATCTTTTGGCGAAACACTCTTTCGTTTCCACTTTAGTAGCTAATTAGCTAAGTAGCTTATCGGTTGTCTTCCGTTTGTGTTTAAGTCGTTTTAAGTGTTTTAAAACTTATGACAGGTACCTGCAGATATATAACGTTTTTTTGTTTTTTCTTTCCTATAGAGGCTAGGGTTTATGAAATTTAGCAGTTTATTGTATATATATAATACTTACATAACTTATATCTCTCCTTATTTGCATCATCATATTCCATAGAAAAAGGACATGCCATTCATCACCAGTTAACCGGAGCCGCGCTTCCGGTGCCATTGATTCAAACCTGCGCAGGTGTCAAGTTGGATGGTTTCCTGGAATACTGGCGACAGCAGATTGTCCGATCTCTCAGCGGTGTGGATACTGTGGAACTGAGATGGAGATTCTTCGTGGTAGGATGGGAGGAAAATTCAGACCCAAGGGATCATAGATGGTCATTTTTTAGTATTAACCATCCAATTTTTTTGGGCGTAGCTGGATTTTGATCCAAACTCGAATGTTCATGGATATATTATGGATTCATTATGGAGACCATATCAGCAACATCAACATTGCTGAAGGAAAAATGACGACTCTTCATACGGGCAATAGAATAAATTCACATCGGGGTCACAAAAGGAAGCTGAATGACTTTTTCGGAGGACAAGGAAAGGCCAGCGACCAATAGGCCTAAGGTTTTGTTTGGCCACGGATGGGACGGTTCAAGCTTCAATCATCATAAGGAATCACAAGGGTTCAATCAAATTCGTATTGCTTGATCTTGTACAGATCCAGTCAGTAGTTGCTATCCCAATTTGTCCTTTTTGATTGATTTCACCCTGCGGGAATCAAAAATGGCAACTGAAAAGCACCCTTTTATAGGTGATTGTCCCATTGAAACCTCGATATTTACAGGTGATTTCCCATTGCCATGTGTGACTGAGGATAGAAGTTCATTTTTCTCCCATACACTGGATGGTTGCGAAGTCCTGCACCAGTTGGTAGCTTGGTTCTCCCATTCTTCATCAAGGTTTCAACTATCCTTTTGGTGGTGCGGGATTTCGCAATCATCCACAGTAGTTAAGTAAAACACGTATAACTACCGTTTTTTTCTGGGAGGTTAGATAAACTGTTTGTTTTTTCCCGCCAACTAATATGAGTTTATTCAACATGTTTTAACTATTAACCAACTAATATTAGTTTATTAGTTTAACCAACCATTAATCAATATGTTTAACCAACTAATGGGCATTTGCACCCCAGTTTGTTGGTTTTTTTTCCACGCCGAGGCGGCCTCCGGCAACAAGCTGAACTACTGGCTGCAGCAGGAACTGCTTCGTCTCTTCCAGCGCGCGGGCGTGGCTTGGTCAAGCCTGGTGGACTGGTTGATATTTCACGGGGACCTTTAAAGCCTAGTAAAATGTGGATTTAATGATATTTAATTGAGTTTTAAGATGTTTTAATCATGAATTATAAGATACTATGAACTATGAACTGTGAATTGTAAGATGTCCAAAATGTAGTTTTGAACATGAGTTGTAAGATACTATAAGGTTTTATTGGAAGTTTAACATGGTCTAAGTATCAAGAATATGATGGTAGAAGTGACAATGGATGTCTGATAGGTCATCAAGATGGGAGAGTTATATTACTTAATTTAGTGGGGAGAATGAAAAATGCATATTATGAATGGGAGAAGCTATCAAGTATTCAATCAGATGGGAGCGGGATATGTTTGGTGGCTTAATCGGATATATTATGGGAAAATCATTGACAATATCCAATAAGGAATGGGAAGGTATGGAATTTAATGATAATACATGGCGGATTATTGTATTGGTATTGGGAATAGAATGGAAACATGTTGATGTGATTCATTATGGAATGTTCCCTAACATTGGCTATAATGGAGATATACATTGTGATGTCACCAACCATGAGAGTATAAAACCGATCATTATGGAACTCCGAATATGTTATACCTCACTGCGACCGGGTACCCTGGAATGATGGGAATCGGCAAATTGGATTAATTGGAATTGGGGAATCATCCCAATAGTTGGCCAACTCCGAATGATGTTATACCTCACTGCGACCGGGTACCCTGGAATGATGGGAATCGGCAAATTGGATTAATTGGAATTGGGGAATCATCCCAATAGTTGGCCAACTTTGGAGAGTGAATGATTATTGACCCAGATCTTTGTGGATTCTTGATTCCGTGTATCTGAGGGACGAAAGCTGCCAAAAAAATTTAGCGGTGGTTGATGGATCCAGAGAGATGAACTGAGTAGTACGGAGTAAGCGTAGCAGCATAATAAATGGATTGGTTTAAGGGGAAATTTACAGGAAAACCCCATGTTTAATGGAAAAAACGATGGTTTCCTGTAGATGTTCCCTTAAACCAATCCATTGACATAAGCCACATCGGGAATGTCCGTATGTTTTCAGCGTCTCAGGTGGAGATGGGCAATGAGGAGGATCAACTGCTGGCGCAAGGCCGGCTTTGTGCTAACACCAGCCATTTTAGGCAACGGCCATGGACAACCACCATTTTCAATGGGCCAAGCAGCCTGGAACAGGTTGTTTTCTACCAGGTTTGACTACCAGAGGCTACCCATATCCATTAGTTTCTGGTGGTAAGTCTTGTTGCTATGTCCCACCACATATGTGGATAGCTTGCAGTCTTCAAGGCTATCATGAAGTACCTGAAAGGTTCAAAAAATTGGGTCAAGTGGCAAACCCCGACTCAAAGACTCAAAGATCTTTCGTAAGTCCTTCGAGTTGAAGCAGTCTGATGAAAACCCAGTGCTGATTGGTGCTGACTTTGACTGGGACCAACCACTAGCCCCTAAGAAATCTGTGAGTACCAGCTACCCAACCAACAACTCAACCCTAAGAATTTCATTGGAACATGGTTCTCCTATCGAGACTGACAATCCTTAAGGTTCCAGGAACCGCTTGGTGATGCCGTGTTGCTTTCATCTATCCTGCCAGAAACACCCTTATTTGTTTGTTGAATCCCCATTTTTCCCATGGCTGATGAAATCTTATGTATTGGTTGTTCGAAAACCTACATGTGCTATCATGGATTACTGTGTTGATGTTTGGTGCTTTTGGGGGATTAACTATAGAGGCATCCCAATAAAATCTACGGATTTGGACTAGCACATACGATGTAAGTCCTACAAGTAATGAATATAGTCAGTTGGTGTTTCCCCATGTCTTGTTGGTTAGACCCATTGGGTATCATTATGTATATTTATATGATAATAATGGAAGTGTTATGTATATTTTAGAGTTATCTCATATGCGGGGGTTTCTTAAAATGGCGGTACCCCGATAGTTGGATGGTTTAGAATGGAAAATCCCAATCTCAAATGGATGATTTGGGGGTACCCCCATGACTTAGGAAACTTCGATTTACTGGAATATCCAAAATGGAGGAAAATTATGAAAATTGCGTTAAACCGTTAAACCATCATGATGATTAGTGGTGATTAATATTGGAATATATCAAATTGAGCACCCCAAAACCGCTACGGTCAGTGGATGATTTCTCTAGGCCGCGAATGGATCGAGCGTGATTCCACTCGCCTAGCGCAGTATCGGACCAACACGATACCCTCCTACCAGGACCGGGAGAGACAAAGAGGGCCGGGGCCTGGAAATCCAAGGGTGAGATGGGTTGGTCTGAGAATGATGTATACCCCATTGGTTTTCCAATCGAATAGTCCCAGATCCATTGGTTTCACTCCCATTGTGACATTGGTTTTCATCCATTGGTTTTCATCATTGGTTTGTTTGATTATAGCTATTTTTCTTGGGACAATGATGAAAACCAATGGATCTGGGAGTATGTTCAGACCCACATCATGTTCCCCCAACTCAACATTGGGTGTTCATCATGTGGAGGTTTCCTCAAATTGGGGAATATTGGGGTACCCCCAAAGGGCATCATCCAGTCATCATGACTCATGACTTAGTATTGAACCCAATGTCATCATCCCAACTGACGAACTCATATTTTTCAGAGGGGTAGCTCAACCACCAACCACTAGTATAATGGATTATTGGATCCAGGTAGTATAATCCATTAATAATGGAGTTATTGGAATTATAATGGAATACCCTCTGGTAAAACTAGCATAACTATGGAAAATCACCATTTTTAATGGGAAAACTCACTATTTCAATGGCCATTTTCAATAGCTTTTTGTATGTTTACCAGAGGGTATACTACCTGGTTTGTAGGTAAACCATCATGAACCATATAATCACCATTAATATTAACCATATCTTAATAGTATATTACCAACCAATGGTACGTTGGTCAACCAGCAACCAGAAAAAAGACGCAGGACATCCGCGACTTCCGGGACTTTCGGATCTACGACAAGTTGGACTGTCGCTTCGGGCGCGAGTGGAAGCAGGCCGAGGTCATGGAGGTGGACTGGGAGGAGCACCGGAACCGAAGAGCCATGAGGAAACTCTCGGAGCTTTCCAGACAGGATGGGGCCCCCCAGTTATAAGTTTGTTGGTTTATAAACCAACAAAAAAAAACATGAAAACTAGTTCGTTATATCTACCATAAACCACAGCATTCAGCCACTTTTTTCAGGAAACTGAACGCTATCGACTGGAGGCCCCCTTTTCTATAGCTTTCCTAGTCGTCATGGGAAATCCCCAAAAGTCACCAGGGGTTGTCAACCAAGGTTTCCATTTTCCATCGCTTTCCATAGAAGTCCATGGGATTTTGTTTGGGAAATCCAGAAATGCCCAAAAGTTAAAACTAAGTCATGGTCATTTTTATATGACTTGGATGAAAATTTAGGGTACCCCAATTTTTGGTTCGACCTCCGAAAAAATAGCGTTTCTTAGCGTTTTTTGGATGGCTCCTCCTTCAATGTTTTTCTTTTTTTGTGGCTCAAATCCTACCGTAGAGTGATATGAAAGTATTGGGATGGGTCCCAGGGGTGTTCAACACATGGCTCATGTGTTGAATAATCAATGATAGATGGCTCAGTTACTAACCACTATTAACTCACGTTTAACTATTACTAATGGAAAATCACCATTTTGATAGGTACATCAACTATAATTCTGGGTAAATTTCATCACGACCTCACTACGACCGAACCCTGGAATCATGGTTAGTAAGGGGAATCATCCCCAAATGGCCACAAGATTCAGGTTAGTGAAATATTATAATTTGCCCAGAATCAATGATAGATGGTTAAATGCTTATACGATTCGCCACCAGTGGTTGTTGGTGGCTCATCATAAACCCAAAAAAATCATTCAGCCGAGCAGCTAGCGTTTCTGGAGTGGAAATGTGCCCAAACTGGGGAGATAAATCATGATAAATCCACATGCAAAAGTTTACAACCAAGAATATATGTTTCTAATATGTATACAATGTGGTTTATAAACCCCATGTATACTATAGTTAGATCACCAACAAAAACCATAGTGAAATTGGAGTTATGTTCACCAACTTAGCTATCGTTTGGGGGCCCCACTTTGTATATATATATATATATACACGGAGGCTAAGAATGAATGATGTTGGTGACATCCTCAGGTCTGCAAATTTCCGACGTTTGTCGCTTGAATCCCGAGAGAAATCCCACCATTGATATTTTTTACACTCACCATAAACCATGCTTATGTTTGGGTGGATTTACACATATTTGGGACCATTTTGCATGAAGGTGTTTGGTAAGTTTGCTAGTGGCATGCGATGATGAATCTTTCATGTTCCATCCCACATTCAGCGAAAAGACCCACCTTTTTTACAGCAGGAGATGACCATCTTGGTCCAGAGCAGAGATGTGAACTCTGTGACTCGGTTAACAGCGACTCAATGTGTACAAGGTGGGCGCTCCTAGATATACCCCCTGGTAAATTAACTTGTTGACCCTGAAAATCACCAATTGATAGTGGAAACTAGTCTTCCAACCCCGATGACTGCCAGGGTCTATGTTAATTTACTGGAGGGTAACTTCGCTTATAAACCCATCTAACTATAGTTGTAACTATACTAATTACCAGTAGTACCGCACAAGGCGGTGGCGGAAGTTTCAAAAATAGGAAACCTATAGGAGAGGTTGGTTGTTGTGAATCACGGATGGCAGAGCGAATCCACTGATGGACCGAAAGGTGGTTGAAGTTGTGTTTTTTGGAATGGTTGCAATGGTTTCTGTGGTCACCTCACCCACAACTGCTGGATGTAGTGTGGTGTAGTGCAGTTGTAGTTGTAGTTGTAGTGTGGCGTAGTGGAGTTGTAGTTGTAATGTGTAAAAAGCGCAGTGTATTTGCAGTTGTAGTTGTAGTTGTGGTGCGATGCAATTAGTGTAGTGCATTGTAGTGTACTGTAGCGTCGTGTACTGTAGTGTGGTATAGTGTAGTGTAGTCTAGTGTAGTGTAGTGGTAGTTGCAGTTGTAGTCGTCTATCTATCTGTTTGTCTGTCTGCAATCTGCAAGCTTGAAAACAAAGCAAATCTGCAAGACTTCCTCAACTTTTGAACTTGATAACTTCAAAAAGGAAGCAATTCTGCAAGACTTCCTCAATTTTTGAACTTGACAACATCAAAAACGAAACAATTCTGCGACACATCCTCAATTTTTGAACTTGACAACAGTCAAAACGAAACAATTCTGCGAGACGTCCTCAACCCCTGAACTTGACAACACCAAAAACAAAACAATTCTGCGAGACTTCCTTCAAAAATGGAAAGTTGAGTGCAGAGCCGACGGCCTCGTACCAATGTGCTTTGCGATTTTTCCAGTCCATGTCTCTGAAGTATTGCGCTTGCCACGAAAAAGTGATGCCAGGTCATACAAAGTGCTGCACCTGTCACACAAAATCATCTTCCCAAAACTCAAGATCTGATGCTCCAAAACGCAACCTCTATCAGGAAATCAGCGCCCTGACCTCCTAACATCTCTGATGAACATGTCTCTTGTACTGCGCCTGCCACGGAAAATGCATCTTTGCAGATCCTCTTCAAATGTCCCACACCTGCCATCGTTTCTGGAAATGCTAGAAAACCCTCGCGTTTTTCTCACTTTTGACAAGGTGCACAATCCGTTGTGCCGGCCACGCGAAAGCACATCTGAATGTCCAAAAAGCTCCGTACCCGTCAGTTCTTTGCACTTTTGACTTGGGAAACGTGCTTCGCCCCACGATGGCATGCACTTTTTCGACATCTCAACTTCCAAAAGTGCTCCGAAGCTGAGGTTTTTTTTGCATTTTGACTTGGAAATGTGTTTCGCACCACAACGGCGTGCACTTTTTCGACATCACAACTTCAAAAGTGCTCCGACCCTGGTGTGCTTTGTACATTTTGACTTGGAAGTGTGCTTCGCGCCACAACGGCATGCACTTTTTTGACATCTCAACTTCCAAAAATGCTCCGACCCTGGTGTGCTTTGTACATTTTGACTTGGAAGTGTGCTTCGCGCCACAACGGCATGCACTTTTTTGACATCTCAACTTCCAAAAATGCTCCGACCATGGTTCGCACCGCAACGGCGTGCAATTTTTCACCTCTCATCTGGCCACATGGCTCTTCGACCCTCCGGAGCCACAAATCATTGGAAAAACACAGTGTTTCGCGACTGTGCTACCTTTTTGCGCACCTGGATCTTCTTTCTTCATCTTTCTTCTGATTCTTTCTCTTTTGTGATCTTCTCTCTTTTGCTCTTCTCTTCTCTGACTCTTCCCACCTCTGCGTCTCCATCTGTCCATATTGTCGGAAATTTGACTTCTAAACTTCCTTCAATAAACTCCACTTATCATGTGTTGATTCTTCTTGGCGGCGGTGGCTCACTTAAGGACAAGAACTTTCTTCTTTTTGGTGGTATTGGTTCACCTTAGAAAACAGAACAAAAGGAAAGACAAGAAAGCGAAGAAAGAAGACAAAGAAAAGAACGAAAAGAAACAAAATGAATGAAAGAAAGAAAGGGCGGAAAAGAAAGATAAGGCGGACAATTGGAAAGTACCAGACCCAAACCTCAGTTTGTTGCCAGGTATTGACATCCGAGTTGTTAATCCGTAGTTGAGACATGTACCACACTTGACTTTCGTGGAATCGAAAAATTCAGCAGCCCCGCTGCCTGGATGCGGTTATCCCCAAGGTTGCCTCACCCACCACCAAAGCTCAGAGGCATGGGCTGATGCTGCGGGAAGTTGTTTTTCTTGGGGGGGGGAAATGGGCGTATTGCAATTTATATTCTATATAGATATATGATGTGTATTAGTTGGAATTTGTGACATAACTTATTAATTGTAGTATAATATATATAATCAATCTATATACCAATTCATTGTCATACATTGTGATTGTACGGTATGTATTGAGATGTAAAGTAGGATTATGATCTTATCACCCTCAGGCTATGGATCCGTGCATCAATGTCTAGAATTATTTTTTTCAGCCGATGAACACTGATAAATTCCAGCTATTCTGGCGTAAACAGAAGCGGTCCCAGTTGTTGGCCCATATAGACCATAGCTTGGTACTGGGTCAGAGTGGATAAATGTTCATTTGGGGATCACCTATTGGGTGTAAATCATTTTTTTTGGGAGGAAAAAAATAGACGACTTGTCCATCAGTCCACTGGGGTGCGGATGAAATGACCTATCAAACCTCAGGCTGGGGACCAAAGACCCCGGTTTGTCCAACAGTCGACAAATAGATATCGAAAACCCAAGATTGGATGGGTTCGCAGGGAATTGTGTGCCCTCTGGTAAACATCCAAAAAGCTATTGAAAATGGCCATTGAAATAGTTGAGTTTTCCCATTAAAAATGGTGATTTTCCATAGTGAACTGTTAGTTTACCGGAGGGTACCCTCAATGTATCTGAATGTGGTAAACCCAAAAATGGTCATCCCCAAGTTTGAGGTTTATGAAACTGAGTATACAGTATACTGTATCCTCCTAGGACTGGGATGATGTTTATCATGACCCCGTCTCATGGATGGCTGATGGTTTATGGCATTGGCTGAATCCCACAGTGGTGTCATACAAAGATCTGGAAGATTTTATGCTTAAATTGGATGACGTAATGATGTAATGCAGTAACTCAGTCGTCCTGGTTTTGATGTTTCTAGGCTGGACGGTTTCGTTGTACATCTGTTTGGTCTGATATTGAAGTTGACTGATCAACCACACTGCAGATGGCTGGGATAATTCCCAGTAGTTGGTGTTCGCAAGTTACTTGTGATTTCGTGTGTTTATCCCATATTGATAAGTGACTGAAAAAGCAAACTCCAGATACTATAATAATCAACTGTAAATCACATTAAACATCCCCATATGTTGGTGAAATCGCCATGAAAACCTGTGGGTTTTCTGGGCACCGTCAGGCAATGGATCCCCATGGAATCCGATCGTTTGGCTGAGTACGAAACGAAGAGTCGCTGGGCCTGGGTTTTTTTTTACACGCGCTGAGTGGCTGGGTGGCTCAATTTATAGGAATTAACATTATCTGGGTAAATTTCATCACGACCTCACTACGACCTCACTGGAATCATGGTTAGTAAGGGAAATCATCCCCAAATGGCCTTAATTCAGGTTAGTCAAATATTATAATTTACCCAGCATTATCTACTTGAAGGCTCATATGGGTTACTAACTAGATAGACTATATACATCTATATACTAAGAACTTACTCAACTTTCTATCTAGTTAGTTGACATTATTTAACCATGGATAAATATTGATTTTTAGGATTGAACGAATGACAAATAGATATAAATAATATAGGGCCTTTAACCATTGATTATGGATGATTATGATGTTTTTTTGTGAGGTTGCAGGGATTTAGCATGATTCAACCATCAACAATGGGGATTGTGATGGGGATATGGTTGGTAATCCTCTGGTAATCAAACATGACTGGCTGGGAAATCTCCTATAAATGGAGGTTTCTATGGTACAGACGGCCCATCTAGTTCGATGATTTACCGGTGATTATCCATATCTGTACAAGAGAAAATGGTAGGCCGCTGGTGTTTACAATGTGTTGTTATTTTGTTCGCTGATGTTTCATGGATGTTCCATTCATTTTCCACGCATATTCGCTGATATAATATGATATAATGATCCCTAGTGGACGAATCGTCTCAAGGGGTTGAAACCACTGGGATAGATTTAACATGATTTAACTATGGAAAATCCAACTGGAAAATCCATGAAATTTTCTTGGAGCTTTCTGGGAAAATCATCGAACTAAAATGGGCCATCTATACCATAGCGAACCGCTAAATAACCAGAGGGAAGCTCAACTGAAACGGCTAACTGATTGAGCAGCGCTGCTTGAGTGTGTTGATTAAGAATGATTAAGAGACGAATAGATATGCAGAGCATTTTCACGTATTTTCACCATCAAAACTTGGGATACCTGGATATTCACAGTTTCTTCATGGGAATCTACACCACGTATCTAGTCCCTGACCGGGATGATCCGCAAAAAGTGCTTGGTTTTACGCACCTCTCGGTGCTCCAGTTAACATGTCTCCTAAAACAAAAAACAGCGCCATTGCATTCCTGCAGGTGCCAGGATGTATCCTGCAAGGTGGTGCCCCAGTTCGGAATCGCTAAGTTGGTGCAAATAAGTCCAATAACTATGGTTTTTGTTGGTGATATATCGAACTAGTTAGTGGGATTATAAGCCATTTTAGTTACTTTAGGGGGCACCACCTTGTGGTTCTCCTGCGAATCGTCCCAGATGCCGATTTTTTGGTTGCGGAGCTGTGTTTAAAAAAAAAAACTCACAATGATCCCAAATTCATCCTGAAATTCCACCATTTAAATACTGAAAGAACCATGGTTTGTGGGGGGGTCCCCCATTTTATGAAAACCTCACTAATCATCAACCATATTGATCAGACATGATCAGACAATCCACTTACGTCCCCATATATTGATGCTTAAAAAATCCTATTAAATACTGGTTGGTGGTTTGAAACATTGTTTATTTTTCCATATATTGGGAGTAATGCCCAATTGACTAATATTTTTCAGAGGGGTAGGTATACCCCCAACCAGTATTAAAGAAATGACTCTATACAGGATGGGGCCCCCCAGTTGTAAGTTGGTTTATAAACCATTATAATCCCCATTAACTATAGTTATATCTACCATAAACCAGTGTTAAACCACTTATTTGCACCAACATAGCTATCTTGGGGGCCCCATCCTGTAATCATAAACCAAGTAACCAAGTGAGCTTTTCCACGCTGTTTGAGGCCTGGAATCCCCCGAACATGAAGGCGATCCAGGACCTTTGTTGGCCCGATCCGTCAGCCGCGGCGGCGTTTGTCCGCAGCCCGGGGCCTGTGGCCTCTTGGAAGATTTGAGGTAGCTGGGTAGCCGAGGTAACAACTGAGGTGACTGGCTGTGACTGGCTAAGTGAAATCAAAGGGAATCCACAAGATCTTAAAATAACATGAAAATAACACAGGGGTTGGTAAATGTCCTACTTGAACATCACCCAACTATTGGGGATATAATCACCAACAAATACTTGAAAGTGATGTTCAAAATCCCCTAAAACAGTACATTTACCAACCCCTGTAACATGAAAATATGGATGTGGATCAAAATGGAAGACCGATGTGGGACCACAGATGGAAATGTCTAATGTCTAGTTTAGTATTAACCATCCAATGAAATTGGGGTACCTACCGACTTGACATATACCCATATGCTAAAATATTACGGGGAATCCATATCTTGAACGTGCCCCAGAAACGGTGATTTAGTAGGGGATGAGACCTTATATATGGGACCATGGAATGGGGGTATTTAATACTAGGGGTATAGGATTAATAGATATTAATAGACCATCCTCAGTATGTGGGTTGATAACTCTGCATAAAATCCACTAAATGAAACATGGTTTGCTGGAAAATCCCGCATTAGTTCTATGATATTCCAGCTAGACACTTCCAGATAGTTCAGGGATTTCAAAGCCATGTTTGATTGCCGGAGGGTAAGACACAATTGCCATGGGGATTGAAGGCCAGAGAAGATGGGGGCTCAACAAGATCAAGCCATATGGGGATTTCAGCAGGCAACATGGAAATTAGACCAGATTGGACCAAAGATTGGACTGGATTCAACCTGCCCGAAGATGAGGATGTAAGGGTTCTATTTGGTTTGTGTGTTTTGGATCATAGTTATCCCTAAAAACAATTAGCGTACAGCCTATACCTCAAATGTGGGATATCACACAACTGAAATGCTGTTGCAATCGGTTGGTCGCGTTGCTGATATCCAGGGAGCACCCCACATTTGTAAGTACAGTGCTTTGGTCACCAATTTGTTTGATAGGTTGACAGACCCAGTATCTTTTTCTGAACAATCCAAAAAACTCGCACAAGCAAAGGGAGATGTCAAAACCTGAATCGAAAGTCCTACCCTCTGGTAATTTAAGATAGCTATTGAAAATTGTCCATTTATAGTTGATTTACCTATTAAGGCTAGGTGATTTTCCACTTCGCGAACTGCTTGTTTTGGTACACCAAAAAGTCCTCCGACTTGGTTTTTCAAAGCAGCTGTTTGCTTCACCAAGGACTGCAGAACTTGGGCAATACATGCTTTATCAATTCCACCTTGTCCCTCGACAGATGGAATCCACAGTGTACGATCAATCCGTCATCTGGTGCCCAAAATATCGCAAAACGTTAGTGCCAGCTCAGGTTTTCGAAACATGTTTCCATCATCTTCCATCCGTTATTTTGGATCCAGCATGGTAAAGTCATAAAACAGCCCATATGGATCCAGCCAGTGTTTTCGTTAGCGACCATAAAATTAGGCTAAGCCCTTGTGGACCCAGTGGATCCTGCTTTACTCTGGAAATCCGTCAAAGTTGGGATGTGTTAGGAGCACCAGGCCCTGCAGAAGTAAAATGCTCCTGATGAGATAAGATTTAAAGTCATCAGAAATATGATATAAATATATATATTGATATGAATAAACATCAGAAATTGGATATGTATGTTATTATATATATATATGTATATGAATGAATATCCCGCACTTGCAGCATATCAAGATGCTACCATGACGGACTACCTTAAATTAAGTATAATTAAATGTAACCTTGGTGTTTCATTGCACCCATGCCTTTATCCTTTCAACGACCAATCGCTAGTTATAGTGTTGATATCCACTTTTTTGGTACTGAGTCATGTGTTTGCAAGAGTGTTCCTGTTGCTGATGATTTGTTTGTATGAAGCTACCAATCACCAACCAACAAGATAAGAGGCAAGTATCTCCCAGAGTTGTTGTTTTTGCGTGTCCGGAGGGTTATATTCGTCAGTTTCATGCTTGGACCAACCATGCTAACATCCATTCACCGTTTGTGTTTTTATCTATCATATCATTATCATCATATCGAAGGTGATTTCCACCATATTTCCACCATGTTTGGTAATATCAATCCCAGAACTGATGGCCAAATTAAAGCTAGTTTGATTTCTGACTCAAAGGCAAAGAAGTGTCTAGTACTTCTTCCCTGCAGTCCCCTTCAATCCGCCACGTCACGTTCAAAATATCATCCATTGCCATCTCTTGCCCCACAAAAATGAACTGAAGAAAAGATGAAGGGTGAAGTACAAGAAAATACTTATTCTGGTTTTCTGTTTTCTGTTTTTTTTCTGGTTTATTCATGTTTGTTCCCAGAAAATATATGAAAAGATCGCCCATCCACCATCCACCAGGCAATGTTTGTCCAACTCCATGGAATTGCGGACCTTCTTCGCAGGCACTTCAGGAGCACCTTTTGTCGGCAACCTGACGTTCCGGGTGAACTTCATGGCAATATGATGTGAAAATCGTCGAATCCAATGGGAATACAGTTACAGGATGGGGCCCCCCAGTTATAAGTTGGTTTATGAACCATTATAATCCCCAGTAACTATAGCTATATCTACCATAAACCATAGCATTCAGCCACTTATAAACCAACTTAGCTATCTTGGGGGCCCCATTCTGCAGGGATGTATTGGGATAATAATCATCTATATCATAACTGGTTGGTGCTGACTGGAACATGGCTTTTATATTTTTCCATATACCCATAGTATTGGGAATTTCATCATCCCAACTGACAAACTCATATTTTTCAGAGGGGTTGAAACCACCAACCAGTTTTTTCTCTGACATGTAGCAATTTTTGGATGAGTACGTGTTCGTGTTTTTTAGTTTTAAGTAAAAGTTATGGAGAGACACGTTCTTGTTTCTTGGTAAAATGTTAGCAATTTCTTTGGATGATAAGTGGGTTGATTGTTTTTGTATTTAAATGGATTTGACATGCTGGGTATCCTCCAAAAGACTTGACTGTTTTTTGATGTTGTATCCATCTTTATGCCAATGCTTGTCGGTTAGTAGCTAGGTAACCCTTGGTAAATTTGTTTTTTGATGGGTAGATGTACATAGCCATCTTCATGGGTTTAGAATATGTTGTTTTTTGGAGGGAAAACTCAGGTTAGAAACCGGCCAGGAGCTGGAACCGCTTAGGAACTACAGTTGTAGCATGCCATACAGGATGGGGCCCCCAAGATAGCTATGTTGGTTTATAAGTGGTTTAACACTGGTTTATGGTAGATATAACTATAGTTAATGGAGGTTATATTGGTTTATAAACCAACTTATGACTGGGGGGCCCCATCCTGTACCCTACCACTTAATGGGACAATTCATTGCAGACGGGGCTATTTGCTGGGAGGGTGATCCAGACTCTTACACTTGCCAAGGGAAAACGCATATCTCTGTAGTCAAATTATGGACTCCCAACCATTCAAGAACTAAGCACATCAATGAAAGGAAACAATGGCCTGGATGATAAGCATCCTCAGGGACTGGGTGGTGATGTAGTTTCGATATGGGCGTTTGTCCATTTTGAAGATGCCATGGGTTCTTAGTCTGGTATCCGGGCAGGATGTTCGGACCTCCATTTGTTTCCGTGCGATTCTATGACTGTAGACTCCAATGATCAGGAGTAGATGTGGCTCACGATAGCAGAAGCGACGATGGAGTGGCCCCTCTGGGCGTTCGGGCCGCAGTGGGCCGGGCCTTCAGGCCGGATTGGCCCGTCCAAAACAAAGTGAGGCAAGCGGCGGCTCTCGAAAACGGAAAGCAGCCTTGGTGCAGAGTGGGGAAGTCGCTCGAAAAGGTACAAAACCTTTGTTCTAGCTGTGTCGGGCGAGACCCTGAGCATCTTTTGGAGTATCCATCGAGGTGCTTCTTCGATTTCGCTTACACTTGTGTCATTTTAGTTACACTCGAAATCATAGTTGCACTTCACACCTTCAATCCATCATTGCTCCTGCATGACATTGACGTGGCTGGGGTCATTGATTTTTTTTGCATTATTTTTTGCGAAACTTCGCTGCGGCACTTTTGCATCTGCTTTTGGGTTCAGTGCGCTTTTAGAGCTACCCTTTTTCTTGGTAAATGATGCTAAATGCCCCCACTGCATTGGATTCAAATGTTGTTGCTGATGTTGTTGTTGTCGTCGTCGTCGTTGTCGTTGTCGTTGTTGTTGTGGTTGTGGCCGTGGTTGTGGTTGTGGTTGTTGCGGTGGTGGTGGGGTTCACAACCTCTCTGCCCTGACCCGTCAAGGATTTTCCATCTAGCCATGTTTGACAACCCATTGCCAGATCATCATGATTTATATATCCATTATATCCCCATGATATTCCCGTTTTGGATGGTTAGATCTCCATGTTTGGAGGCTATAACTCTCATAATTCAATTATGCCCATTCTTGTGATAATCTGATTGGCTATATTCCCAATAAACATGGTCCTTTCTCGTCATCAGATCGCCATGATATCCATGATTGTGATCATCTCCCGTTCTATCCCAATGATTCACAAAAATCAATGGTTCTATACCCCTTATATCCCCACGATATTCCCAGTATAGATGGCAAATCCAATTCAATCCATGGAGGTTCCCAATTTCCGACTGAAAAATGTGGATCTGACGGGGAAAAAGACGATTATTCGCATAATCCCTGGGAGGGTATCCCCATTAGTATGATTGGTTATAAGCCCCATGAATGTCTCCATAATTGTCATCCCCATATATGACAATTAGTCCAATTTTCTACCCATGATATTCCCAGTCTTCACCATTACATAATCCAATATTAACTATGATTAACCACCAAATCATCCCATGATCTCCATAAAAATGCCATGCAATCCCATTTTATCTACCATAATTCTAGACCAATTTTCAAATAGGAATATGTTCCCATGAAATTCCCAGTTTAGATACCCTCTGGTAATTTCACATAGCTACAGGAAATGGCCCATTGAAATAGTTGATTTACCTATTCAACATGGTGATTTTCCAGTTCGCAAACTGTTAGAGAAAACCAGAGGCTATGAGTATTGTATGGCCATATATCAACCATGTATCATCATTATATATATATATATCATCATCTGGCATATTATGGCCTATGTAATGATGTTTACCAGAGGGTAACTCCTATTAAATTCCATTAAACCACCATAAAAAGTCTTTAAACCACCATTTTCCTATGGTTTTCCTATGGTTTACCATATCCCAGAGGGTAACTCCCATGTTTGGAGGCTATCACTTTGCAGACGCCAGGAGAAGCTCCTCTGTACCTGGACCAGATTTCCGCCTCGCCCTTGTCCACGCAGGGACGAATCGCACGGGAGTTCAGCAAGCTGTTGCGCCTTGGTGGAGGGAATGCAGTTGAGCCAAAGACATCATGCAGAATGGGGCTCCCAGTTATGTTTGTTGGTTTATAAACCATGAAATAAACCCCATGAAAACTGTAGTTATATCTATCATCAACCATAGTGAAACCACTTATATCTCAACTTAGCTATCTTGGGGGGCCCATCCTGTGGGTCTGGAAGAGTAATGGGGATCTCACCAAGAATCATGGGAGTATCCATCTTATGTTGATGAGATAGTTGAATCACCAGCTGCTGCTTCCTGGAGATATTGAGGATGTTTGTTTTTGTGAACAATGCCCAAGAAATCCCAAGAACCTTTGTTGGCTGATTGGTATGAAGCGTTGTACCAAATGGATCATGGGAATGTGTATATGTCAATACTGCATGGAAATCCCTTTCAACCAAGCAGACCAAGGAATGATAGTAGGCCGTAGGCCTTGGGCACTGCGCCATTTGTAGGTCATCAAGGAGCAATGACAAAGTTTCTTTAGCTATTCAATATCACCAATGTGGGACTTTTTTTCTGTGAAGAGTGCTTTTTTGGAGGTTTCATGAGGTTTCCAAAAATGGGGGATGCCCCCAAATCATCCAAACTTAGTTCATTTTAGTATTTGAAACACATCATTTTGGGTATTTTCAGAACCTCCAGTTATTTCGATTAGCCACTGAAACAGCTCAGCTCGACTGCCCTGCCCTTCCCTGCCCTTCGCAAAGGCGCGACATGTGGTCCAACGAGTACCTTGACATTAGAATACTGGAAGTATTCTCGTTGTATCACCATATCATCTGGGTAAATTATAACGACCTCACTGCGACCTCACTGGAATCATGGTTAGTAAGGGAAATCATCCCCAAATGGCCTTAATTCAGGTTAGTGAATTATTATAATTTACCCAGATATCATAAGATAATCTGGGATTATGGGGATAATTGTTGGGGATAATGGGAGTAGTAATAAGGGGTATTATCTACAATAGAAGAATATGAAGCCAAAAGTAAGGGATAATACTGTACGAGCTGGTATCACCATATCATAGGTGGTTGGTGGTTTGGAACATGATTTGTATTTTTTCGTTCAGTTGGGAATTTCATCATCCCAACTGACGAACCAACCAGATAAGATGGGGGTTTCCTGCTGTTGATGGTTGCGAAATCCACATCCCACTATATTATAGGGTTTCAACCATCCTTTTGGTGGTGCAGGATTTCGCTGGCCAATCCACAGTAAGTCATGGGAGTACCCCCCCAATCATCCCAACTTCAAGTCTTAGGATTACAGGGATATCATGGAGTTACCCTCTGGGTAAACATACAAAAAGCTATTGAGAATGGCCATTGAAATAGTGGAATTACCCATTAAAATGGTGATTTTCCATAGTTACGTTGGTTTACCAGAGGGTATCCATAAAATCTCACCATAAAATCCAGGGGACATATTGTTCATTTTTTCTTGGATAAGCGACGATTTTTCCCCTCGCTTGTCCTGTGGATCCAATCGGTCATGGGGATGGTTGTCATGAGTTTTCCGGCCAGCCATGTGTGGACCTTTAAAGTCAGCCAGCCTAGGTGATTTGTTACCTGAGTGATGTGTTTTTCGTCCTTTGGGTCCTATTCCTGTGATAGGTGTGGGTCAATGCCGGAATGCAATTTGCAAGCCACTCTTGATGATGTGAGCAAGTAAGGACACAATTAATGTCTACCATCTAAAAGGACTATACATATTATAAGATGCTTACCCTCCATTTACTTCGGAGACGTTCCGAACTGCCACGTGTTTTTTCTCCCGGAGGGACATGTCCCCTAGGAACAAGAGTGTGGCGCCAGCCACCTTGAAGAAACTCATCGGACAGAAGAGACCCGAGTTCGCAGGCACCATGGAAACCTTGCTGGTGGCTGAACATGGGTTACCCTCCGGTTGCATCAAACATGGCTGGTAAATCCTCAACTAAATTCACATCATCGTGGGACAATTATCATAGATCATCTCTAGATGGGGGAATTGTCCATTGCCGAGAGAATTGTGTGTTTATCATTCAGTGGGGGCATGTGCTTTTGACAAAAGTGTAAGGGTATCCAAGATTAACCATGATCCCTGAAATTAAGATTGATGAATCGAAACCGGATCGTCTCCCTTACTACTACCGCGGACATGGCACCAAACCAGCTACGATTTTCAGAGATGGTCCCAGTACCGGTCAGATATTGGGGACTCGCTGGGAAATCATCCAAACCCTTCTGGGATTTTCATGTTGAATTGTAGGAGTATTTCGAAATATGATGGCCTGCTTTTGTGCAAATTTGGAATATCTTGAACTATGATGAAATATGTTGAGTTTGAAAGTTCTTGACATGAGTTTGAAATATCTTGAGTCTGAAATATCTTGGATTTCATAGAGATGAATTTGAAATATCTTGAGGGTGCAGATGAGCATAGGAGCATGATTCGATATTGCATCTATTGCCATAGTTTGGGTTTGGGCTAGGCCAGAATTTCTTGGGCCAGGGCTTGTACCAACATGAATATTGTGGTCCCACCAACCTATGGAAGATGTCTTGGAGAAGATTGTTCACCAAAAAAACTCAACACAGCATTCACGGCTCTGGAGGATATCAACAGCACGATGCGCAAGAGCTTCTCTGCTACTTGCTCGATGCACTGCACGAGGACCTGCGAATCTGTGATCGCATTGGGAACACGAAGTTTGCAAAGCAGCGTCTCACCATCCCATGTGCACCCGTTCAAGAACAAACATTCTCAATAAAAATACAATTACTCATGAGTTAATACTTGTGTATATATATATATGTGGATAGAGATCAATATATCATGGTTAATCATTTTGAGTATATCAATGATTGATGCCATGGATTAATAGCATTGTATAGATATATATATATATACATAAATATATATATATTCATATATATATATATATGTTAGTAAAGCAATAGTAAACCATGCCCAATTTTACCGGTGTTATAAACCATCAACATATAGGTGGATTCTTATTGGTTTACAAACATTAATACCTGAATAACCTGGTCACTAGGTGATATTAGGGATGCTTTATGGCATTGGGTTTACCATATGATTAACTGTTACTCACCACGAAATGTACCAGTTATGAACCATAAACTTGCATTTGTTCACCATTCTTGGCCGAATCCCACCTTAACCATTCTTCTCAGAGATTGACAGTTATTGTCAGATATTGTCACTTATTAACCACTTTAACACTAGCCATATATCAGTGGCCATTTCAGGAACCTAAATTGGAGGTACCTACCATATATAAGGCCTTTTGTTTAGGCCTATGTAAGGGAATATCCCCACGGTACCTGCATTTTAGGATCCTGAAATTCCCATTGATCCAACTACACTCTGGTAAACTAACATAACTATGGAAAATCACCATCTTTAATAGGTAAATCAACTATAAATGGCAATTTTCTATAGCTATGAACTAGCCATATATGAACCCATTAACTTACCATACACCTGCGCCAGGCCTCGCCTCGCGCCAGGACGTGAACCGCGCCAGCTATCCGTATCCCACCGAGGAGGAGGACGAGAAAACGAAATCTGACGAGGCGGCGTGGCGGTGAGATGAAGTTTTTTTTTAAAAGAAGATGAATGGTGATCAATCTGTAAATACTGGTGATATATATCATATATATATATATATCATATATATATATATATCATATATATATCATATATATATATATACATATATATATATATATATATGTTCAAATATAATATATATATATACATGATATATACATTATGAATTGGTGATTTTGAATCTCGAAAATGTATGGTTCATCGATAAATATGGTTCAGCTCGCGGGAAATCCGACTTTTCTCCCCATCCCACTGCTCCGGAGGTGAAAGCACGGGAGATGTGGGCGAAACACAAGAGGCACGGCGCCCTAGGGCCCTAGGGATAGCTGAGGATAGCTGCAATGTGAGGCCCCCGTTCGATAGCTAAGTTGGTTTATAACTCCAATAACTATGGTTTATGGTACTTATAACTATAGTTACTGGGGCTTATAAACCAACTTATATCTTGGGGGCCTCACATTGTGGAAAAATATAGGAGGCTCAAGATGGTGCCCCCAAGATAGCGTTCAGTTGGTTTATACCCTCTGGTAAATAAACATAGACCCTGAAAATGACCAATTTATAGTGGAAACTAGTCTTCCAAGCCCTATCTGCTAGGGTCTATGTTAATTTACCAGAGGGTAAGTGGTTTCAATATGGTTTATGGTAGATATAACGAACTAGTTAATGGGGATTATAATGGTTGATAGACCAACAAACATAACTGGGGGGGGCCATCCTATATGCGAACAATAATATATATAATTTAATACCCATAGGATCCATGGTGCTGCTATATATGGTAACATGGATCCCATCAATATACCCCAAATGTTAGCATATATACCATACATGGATCCTATGGGATATATAGTATATAATATATAATAGATAATATATAATATCTATTTAATTTATGTTCTTATATTACATACATCTATCATCATATATCACATGTATACATTATATCATGTACATATAGAAAAGATGAGAGAAGATCGTCCAAGTAAATGGAGTTTGTAGCGGGGATTCAATCATCTGTAAATGTGTTCGGATGTTCGGTTGGTCGATCATCTTCTCCCATATGGGAAAATATGGAAAAATCATGCATAAAGGGAGGTTGCGGGGAAAATCATCAAACTCAGTGGTTACCTGGGACCCGTTGATTTTAAACACTCCCCGTTTACACCGTAGTTTAGTAAGGGATGAAATCACATGGCACCGAATGGGGCTAGTTTCTACAGGGGATGGGATTAAAGTCACCTCCCAGTGAGAATTGCTGGTTTGGCCCTTCTTTTTGACAATCTGAAGTGAAACCTTAGCAGATGTAGATGGTAACCCTGGTATTCTCAGCAGAAAGTTCCAGCTGGATCCTTACCCCATGGCACCAACTTTTGGAGCATGGCAACGGCAGGCGGAGCGATTCCACCATCGTAGATCTCTTTCAGTGCCTCTGTGGAGAACCCTGGAGATCCAATAAACCATAGCTTGGCCACTTAAGGTTCCGGGAAATGTTTCTATATAACAATATAGTATAATGTGTACATACATATATATATATATGGAAGTCGTTCTAAAACCCATGCAAGACATTTAGTATCTGAGTGACATCTGCAAAAATGGATGTGTATTTTTGCTGCAGTGGCGAAAGACCGCGAAAGGGCGGCGAAAGGTTCGCGAAAGGTCTGCATACACCTATTAGACTAGATGTATGTGATAAAGTCTGATATAGTATTCATGCTTGGCAGTTACAGTTGTATTCATGCAACCATTGAACAATAATTTTGGGAGTTTTTTCTCAGATAGGAATGGGTTTTAGTATTGGAACTGAAACACCCGCCCATCCTCTCATGAAACATGAGTTTTTAAAGACATTTTTATAGGCGAGAAATCCGCGAAAGGTTTGCGAACGGTTTGCGAAAGGTTGGCGAAAGGCAAGTTTTGGGGTAGCATAATTTTAAACAACCCCCATATGTATTATATATATAATGTATATATATATTTAGATATAGCCTATGAATGACGTTCCTTGTGGGTGACCAGTCTTGTTGCTTCCGCGCCATGTTTGCCTTCTGCTGGTCATCCCAGGTTCCAAATTCGTTCCGAATTGACGTGCCCTGTGTGTTCTCGAGTGCCACTTGGCTCGGTGCTTAGGAAACCATAGGAAACCATAGGAAACCTGGAGAAAGAGCATATGGCTATGGATCAATACCTATTAATACCATTTTTACTGGGATGAACATCCATTTACCAGCTATTTTGATGTTCACCAGGGGTACAAGGTTTTGACACACTGCCATATTTCAATGGATTTCAATGGATTTTTTGGCGACAATGGGATGCTACACCACAACTTGCCCAAGGAAAAGTGGTTTCCAGGGAAATTGTGATCCTTGTACAGCGTTCTTTAGTGACTTCCTGTTTAGAGGACTCCCAGGACCAAAATCTAAGGTATCTAAGAATCGGATATCCTGACTAATGATACCCCGAAAAACACATCTCAGAATTCGGGGGTTGGAAGATTGCTCCATTAGGGGGTTGGAAGACTGGATTTGAAAATTGGCCATTCATTCTTTGTCTGTGCCAGTTGCAGGATGGTTTCTGATTCCCACAGCTAGATAAGGGAATACAAGAAAACATCCGTGGGAAATTTTGAAGACATGTCAACAAACAGTGGTGACCACGTCATGAAAACCAAGCAGGAGCTACAATCATGTCAATCATGTTGATATGTCCTGTTTTTGCAAGCTACATAAATAGCCTTGACTCCAAGGCATAGAGGCCAAGTTTTTTGGCATTAGATGAGTTTACCATATTGGGTGGTTCCCTAAATGGGGGGTACCCCAATAACTGGATGTTTTATAGTGGGAAAATCCTCTTAACATCGGTGATTTGGGGTATTTGTATTTGAGGAAACCTAAACATAGTTCACCTACTAAGACCTACTAAGACGTTCTCATCTTTGAGGGGATCAACAAGACTACCCTCTGGTAAACTGTTACATAGCTATGGAAAATCACCATTTTTATATAATGGTAAAATCAACTATAAATCACCATTTTTAATAGCTTTTTGTATGTTTACCAGGCCGGGTAGTTTCCATCAGCACAGTTGCCTGGATCTTTTTCGCTTTCCATCCCAGGAGCGTTACTTTTGATCCCATCATGTATCTCACACTGCCTGTGCCCAAGCCTCCACACTCGGCGCCTTGGGATGCGAAAAAAACCTGCCATGGATCCCCATTTAAAAAAAAATGGGGGTCTTGCATGGTATAATTACACGATTTTTTGACACACCCACATCTTGTATTGACATCTCCACTTTTGTGTATATATATATATACAGATATATATATATGTGTGTGTGTGATCTGTGCATATCCTATCTGGCATACTAGCATATAGCACCTCAACACTTGGATATGTATCCAGTTCCTATACATCTAGCTCTCCCCCTAAACTCAATGGGGATCTCCAAGATTTGGGCGGTGATGGCACCTGAATTGAGTATTCTAAGCTGGCGAAAATGCTGCCTTGTATCCATGGGAATTTCAGGATCCTAAAATGGAGGTACCTACCATATATAAGGCCTATATAAGGCCTATGTAAGGGAATATCCCAACAAAATATGGTCTTTTATGGTACAGTACCTCCATTTTAGGATCCTGAAATTCCCATTGATTGTAGCATGTCGGACTTTTATTTGTAGATGAGTGAAGTTTCCAGCTGCCCAAGCAGCTTCCGTTCGGGATTTCTTGGTCAAGGTTTTGATGGTTGCTTAGTTTCAGGGGCATGTACACATGTGTACTGGATCTGTGCTTGACCTATCTTAATTGTTGTTATTGTATATTATTGTTATTAACTAATTCTTAACTGTTATTTTTATAGTTTTATCACTAGTCTTACTATATGTATTATTTCTAGACACATATATTACTATATGTACATTCTTACTATATGTACTATTACTGACTATAGTTTTATGTGTACTTGACCTGTGGACCTATCTTTCCAAATCTGCTCAGACGACTCGTGGAGAAACTCCAGGTGCCTCTGACGGTCCTGTTGAGCGACTTCCCTCGGAGCCCTCCACGTACCATGGAACTGGAGGTCCCATCAAGGGGGCTGAAGCCTCAAGAAATGGGCCCTTGGGGGGTGCAATTGAGGCAGAAATATATGGAGAACATAGGGATATCATGAGTTAATACTATAGTTCACAGTGGTTGATAATGATGAATAGTGGCTGCAAAGATGCTTCAGAGTGGCTCAAACCATGTGTAACTCCCATCAGTTGGGGTATAAGCCCTATAACTATGGTGGGAAACCCAACCACGAACCGCACCCAATTTTCAGGGAAATGGACAGGTATTAACCATCAAACACTGGAGGTTTATTTCTTGGGCCAACCAAGAGAAGGGGCTCACCAACAAACATGGGCATATTGAGGGGATCCGTGGGATTTTTCAGAACATCGCTTGAAATGGTGCTTTAGTGGCTGGGTCAACGGTGATCCGTGTGTATCGCCAGCCATTTGGATGAATTTAGAGCCCAAATGCGTTTACCAGCACCCAATTTCACCACCAATCACTGCTACTTCGTCAACAAGAATAGTGGGACCTTGATAGGTTGCCTCAGGCAGATGAGTTCATCGAACCTTTCTTGGACACATACCCCGCGTTCCAAAGGACGTTGCATCCCGAGGTTCTACAGATTCAAGAAATCCAAGGTGTATTCGAATTGATGGCAATCACACATTGGCAAAGGATGCCAGATACATATTTTTTTATACCCATTAACCACCATTATATATCATTCTTCTTACCAGGGTATATTATATCTCTTTATATATGATTATATGATTATATATATATATATATGATTATACTATACCCAGTAACAGAATGATTATATATCCATTATGGAATATGTGAACCAGGGATATAATCATTCTTGTTACCCTCCGTTTACTTCAGAGATTTCCCAGCCACGGTTGATGACATCGGATGGAAATTAAATATCATCCCAGTATTATATATGATTAATCCATTATTAATCCATTATTAGCCCTTATTAGTCCATTATTGACCATTTTAGCAATTATTAATCCGTTATTAACCATGATTAATACATTATTAATCCATTATTAACCATTCTTAATCCATTATTAGCCATTATTAGTCCATTATTAACCATTTTCAGCCATTATTAATCCATTCTCAACCATGTTTAATCCATTATTAATCATTATTAACCATTTTTAATGCAGTATTAATCCATGATTAATCCATTATTAACCATTGTTAACCATTATTAATCCATTATTAACCATTGTTTAACCATCATTAATCCATTGTTAACCGTTATTAATTCATCATTAACCATGTTTAATCCATTATTAACCATTATTAATCCATTATTAACCATTGTTAACCATTATTAATCCATTATTAATCCATTGTTAGCCATTATTAGTCCATGATTAACCATGTTTAGCCATTATTAGTCCATTATTAATCCATTATCAACCCATTATTAATCCATTATTAATCCAAGAGGTGGAAAAGAGTGCCACGATCGAAGAGCTGGAGAGTGCTCTGTGGAGGGCACTGCCACTGGGCGTCAGTGGAGATTTCGATATATGAATGAATGGATACTGAAATATTAAATATAGTCGCTTACATTCATAACAGCTAATAAGAATCCATCAAAAATTGACAAATCAATTTATTGGAGAATTGGCAAATCAATATGCGTTAAAACAGCGGAGAATGAATGGATTTTGAAGATATAATCTCAACCATCAAGAATATGGGAGAAGATATATTGGACATTGATTTTTTTTGATATTGAATGTGGAATTAAATATGCGATTTAATGGCATTTCAATGGGAATGAATGGATCTCAACCATCAAGAAATGATGATGGAATGTGGGATTTAATGGAATACTTGCCCTCTGGTTGTTTAACAGGTTGCTTAACAGAAAATGGATGAAACTGGCCCATAGAAATAGACTCAATCCACATGATGATTTACCTATTAGAAGTGGTGATGAATGATACCCTCCGGTAAACTAACAGTTTGCTATGGAAAATGGTGATTTATTTCGTGGATTTTCCCAGCTACAAAAAGGTGGATCTTTCCCATCAGTTTTTTGTATGTTTACCAGGCCGGGTAAATGAACCTTCCAGTCATCAAACATGGCAGGCTGGAAAATCCACTGAGAAAAATCCAGCTGGAAAATCATGTTGTTTCCCAGCGAGAAACCGCCAAATTTTTGGTGACCGGAGGGTATAATTCAGTAATAGAATGTATGGGCATGTATGGGCATGTATCAGCATTATGGGCAATATTTATATAGATCATATGATATAAGTATTGCCGTATGGTGAAATGTGGGGTAAGTTACATGAATTTACCATAGCTTATCATTTGCTGACAACTATTGCGAAATATTACCATATTACCATAAATGTCGCAATTCATGGGTATTATGGGTCAATTAATTTACCATACCCCATAAAATGATCAAAATGATCACCATAAAATGATCAAATCTGCAGCATTCTGCAGGTCCATTCCCCAGAGAAAAACTGGTGATATGACTAGCGGGCATTGAACCATCATACAACTAGCAAATATGTTTGAATGCCACCAACAAACATGGGGGGTTGAAGAGCAAGAGTGGGAAAGTGACATAAAGTGACATGATTCATCCAGCCAACATGAATGAAGGTATTTTGAAGCATTGAAGAATTGGGATATCACCAACATTGGGGACTCAACCCATGACTAGCAAAGACGAATAGCTTAGTTGGGGTTGTACCCTAAGGGAACCATGTCCATTGGTCGTTCAATATTTAGGTTCAGAAGCTCATCTGAAAAGGCAAAACATCTTGAAAAAACGGGAAAGATCGATATGCTATGACATACCCTCTGGTAAACTAACATAACTATGGAAAATCACCATTTTTAATGGGAAAACTCACTATAAATGGCCATTTTCAATAGCTACGTTAAATTACCAGAGGGTAGAAATGAAGGTAGAGATATACAAGCAGCAAAAAAGGGGTTTGAACGAAGCAAATGCCAGGTTGTGAGTTACTGTTCGCTCATAATACCGAATATCATCTTGAAAAACGGTGACAAAACTAATCCAAGTCAAAATCGGTTACCAAGATTCTATTTGGGTTGGTTATATAAGTTATATAACTTAAGTTTCTGGCAAATATGTGGAAAATCATATGTTTCCACCTATATATGGTTATATAAGTTTTATAACTTATATACATCCGCAAAAAAAAACAAGAAAACAACCCATCTGGATGTGTTTGTAAGCCCACGAGACCAGGCAGAGAACCCCTGCTGAAGTGCCGTCGTGCTTTTGTTTCGCCGATGCGCCTTGGATGCCGAAGACATAGACCCTGCAGGATGGGGCCCCCCAGTTATGTTAGTTGGTTTATAAGCCATTATAATCCCCATTAACTATAGTTATATCTACTATAAACCATTGTTAAGCCACTTATAAACCAACTTAGCTATCTTGGGGGCCCCATCCTGTGAAAATAGCCTAGTTTTAACGGAAACTAATCTTCCAACCCCGATGGCTGCCAGGGTCTATGTTAATTTACTGGAGGGTAGGACTTAAGGATTATTAAGGTTTATTGTAAGCCATAACAGAATGATTATCTGGGGTGTTAGTTACCAACTGGTTGATTGAAGATAATGAACTAAGCCACAATAGAACTACTTACTAACCGAGCAATATCATGGGATGGGATATTTTTCACGGATCAATTCTGCTTCGTTAGTTGCTCTCACTTTTTGCAATGCAATCCTTGCAAGTAACATTCAGATCATTCAGATCATGTTGCCGTTTATTGAGTACTTTGATGTACATCCCAGTTAGTAAGCGGTCAATATATGTGTATATTATATATACCGTATATACATATATACAAGCCATCTATAAGCCATACCCTCTGGTAAACTAACAGTTTGCTATTGAAAATTGCCATAGAAATAGTGGATTTACCCGTAAAAAATTGTGATTTTCCATAACAAACTGTTAGTTTACCAGAGGGTAAGTGAGTTATACTATGGTTGCTAACCGCTGGGATGTACTGAACCCAGTATGGCTTGGCCAGCGATTTTTTCAGAGGACTTTCCTACGAAAGCTGGTGGCTTCACTTCGAAGTTTCCAGCAGGTGAAATGTAGTATGAAATGGATTTGAAACGGGCAATCTACACTCTGGTAATTTAACATAGCTATTGGAAATGGCCATTTATAGTGAGTTTTCCCATTAAAAATGGTGATTTTCCATAGTTATGTTAGTTTACCAGAGGGTAAGTAGAGATGGAAAATTAAACTCGCCATTATCATGTGTTCAACATAACTTTAGACGATATTTTTTAGATTTTAGGGATGTTGTTCGAAGTTAACATGCCCATGTGCAAGGGATTTTCCAAGTTTGATTGCCGGTAGATTGACCCCAATGGATGGTGAAAAGTTATGAGCCGTTAGTGGTTTTTAGTGGTTGCTAAGCCCAAAGATTCTTGATTTTTTTGGTCACCGAAAAAGAAAGGGTGGTTTTATTGATGGTTTTATTGAAATTCTCATGATTTTCTATGACGATTCAACTACGATTCAATACCTACCCTCTGGTAAACGTACAAATAGCTATGGAAAATCCCTATTGTTCATGGGTAAATCCACTATTTCTATGGCCATGTTCAATAGCTATGTCACAATTTACCAGAGGGTAACTATTAAACCAGTTTATAGGTTATTATAGGTTATTAACCATTCTTAACCATTGTTTCCCAGAGTTTGGAACGTCGCAATTTTTCGGTGTCAGGTGTACTACGGTCGAATCTATCGTCAGTTCGATCCACAAAACTTGGTGAGTGACTTGGCGTTGACAAAGGTCGATTGGTCGATTGGTGAATGTTCCTTGGGTACCCTCTGGTAATTTAACGTAGCTATTGAAAATGGTCATTTAGTTCGTTGATTTACCCATTAATAGCATGGTGATGTTCAATAGCTATGTTAAATTACCAGAGGATAAATCTTGAAGCATAGAAAAATGATAGAAAATGGAGGTCTGGATGATCCAGATTGTGGATTGAAAATGATTGAAAGAATGATTGAAAGATGTTCTGTTTTCGATATTTTGCATAAGATGGGATAACAATGATAATGATAATAATTGTTTTGGAAATGGGTTTAAACCGAGAAGCGGTTGGGAATGCTCCCTCCAGTAAGAAAGCTACCAGACGATGAATTTTGAGCCTGAACATATTTGATGGTGGCAACCTCACTCAACACAGGCCAGGATAGCCTCAGTCATTCGGGAGATTATCCTGTCATATTCCTGAACAGAATCCAAACAGATAGCTACAAAATGCCATATTTCTGTATCTCAAAACTGAACAGGATAGAGGACATGAGGACAAGAATATTGACACGGGCTAAAGTGATGGCTGTTGATGACTCGGATGTTCCATCATGTCTAGGTCTTGCAGGCATGGCTATCCGATCTCCGATCTTTGGAGTTTGCACTCCTCCCCTCATTTGTAGGTCGCAGTGGAGGGTATGTCCAACTGTCCAACCCAAAAAAAAAACTATGTTTCTTTGGGATCCCCAAGGGAATGCGCAAATCACAATCAGACCTTACGAAACGAATGTTGATCCTTGTCCCATTGGTTGATTGATGAAAAAAGAGGGGTGTCTTTACTCCTTTAACAAGAGGTTTCTATGATGATAGATGGTATTGGTATTACCAAACTGGTAATTTAACATAGCTATTGAAAATGGTCATTTATAGTGGATTTACCCATTGAAAATGGTGATTTTCCATAGTTATGTTAGTTTACCAAAGGGTACCAAACTGGCCCCTTTTACCAAAAGGACATACTTTTGATTGGAATCCGCAATTGTTCTCTGCGATGAGGTGACTTCCGACAGAACGACAACATCGTAGCTTTCGAGGTGGGCTGGAAGTGGATGATGGATCGATTTTACATCCCTAAGGAACACTAGGGAACAAAGCCTATAATGAGAAATGGCATGGAAAAAATATGACAAAATGCAATGTGCAATTTCATTATTTGATATGTTGAGATGGATAGAAAGCGTGACAGGAATTTATGTGATGTGGCTTCATTTCATTTGTTTTGATTGACATACGCATTGAGATGTTGAGATGGATAGATACAGATAGATCAAGCTATTTGTGCGTACGATGTGCAGATATTTCGATAGTAAGTATTTGTGTATATATATACACTTGTATATTGTTACCTGGTAATACCTGTATGTATAGATAGACATATATATATATATATAGAATTGCAATTTCTGACACAGAAGTCATGTTTCAGGGGTCTACATCCACAGCAAAATATTCCCTTCCCCTGTTGACCCATCCCGCAAAGATCTGGATTTGAATTGTTCCCAGGAAAAACGTGGATGAACTACGAAATCCGTGGAAGTCATTAATGTGGTAAACCTAATGCCATAAACCATCCGCAAGTCATCCCCATTTTTATGGGTGGGATTTCAAAGATCCCCAAATGCTAGGTGGCATTGTGTGAATCCCAAATTAACCATTATTGTTGCTCCAGTAAATTCACATAGACCCTACCAGGTCGGGGTCCGAAAATGAGTTTCCACATGTTTCCACTAAAAATGGGTGATTTTCAGGTTCGAACTGTTGACATTATCTCCATTAAATTACCATGATGTCGCATTACATCATTATTAAATCACCAGTATATCACATTGAATCATCATTAAATTATCAAATCCCTATTGAATCACCATGAATCACCATTATCTTCGTTAAATCCCTATTCAATCACCATTCTATCACATTAAATCCCATTAAATCCCTAGTCAATCACCGTTCTATCACATTAAATCCCATTAAATCCCTATTCAATCACCGTTCTATCACATTAATTCCCATCAAATCCCATTGAATCACTATTTTATCACCTTTAAATTACTATTGATTCCCATTAAATCACTATTTTATCACCATCAAATCACTATTAATTCCCATCAAATCCCATTAAATCCCTATAAGATAATATGTAAGTGATATATCACTATGAAATCACCATGTTTTGCATCACTTCTGAATAAGTGACACTGGACAAACAGGGGCACCTTTGCAGGTGCCGCTTTGTCCTGGCGTCCGGTTGCAGGATCATGTGCCGCGGCGGGTTTTTCGGTGGCTTTTTTGGGTCAAGTGATGTCTCTTCCAATGGAGAAATCTATGGGGAAATCTATGGGAAATTTGGTGCTTTTCATGTGGAAATGGGAAAATCTATGGGAAAAATACGGAGCGGCCAATGGGAAAATCATCAAAGTGAATGGGAAAGTACAAGACCCGAATATTGAACACCCTTTAGAAAAACCATGTGTTTTTTAGGGGGATAGAATCCAGATATTTGGGACAGAATGGGAGTGGTTTGACCATAACTGACCCATCTCAAATTGGGCGAAGCTCTGAAAATGAGGCTGATGATCAACTAGACAGGGTAGATGCATCCTGCAATGTGGAGGCTATTCACTGACCCATATCATCCCAAATATCCAACTCACGTCACCGAGATTCACCAATGCTACTGGGTAAACCCTGGTGATTGGATGTGATTGGTTCTTGGGCTCAAAAAGCCGTAAATGAATGTAAATGGGGGAATGTGTTCAGCTTCGCGAAGTGAAAATCATTGAACATCTGACTTTTTCATGGGGCTAATCATCCAAGATTCGCCGGCATGTGATTGGCTGATTGGCCCATGAGGCTTCTGAGCCAGCCATCACTTGGGCATCACGAAGAGAAAAATCTGCAAAAATGACTTGTGCCAGCGATACGGTGAAGTTTTTTGTGAAGATATGTTGTCCAAAGGCTGAGGGATTTGACAGAAGAGAATGAGGATACATGATGATACGGTGGATGGTTGCGATTCATCCGAATCACCAGTTGAAAACGGTGGTAAACATCCCATTATTTATAGGCTTTCAACCATCCAAAGTGGTGGTTTTCCGGATTTCGCTGGCCCATCCACAGTATGATGATACAGTCAATCAAAAACATGACAGAGCTGTGGAAAAACCGACTCTTCCAAAACTCACCAAGACGGACCAAAACCGACCATAGGGCGTCTGTTAATCCATGATGGGGTCCTGGCCATTCTTGTTGAGAAATATTTAACTCCTCATACCCAGCTAAAGATAGACTTTTTCTGGATATCTGAGATCAAATTGTTGATCCATGATGACCGTGTTTGTAAATTAGATCTTGCGACATAATCATGGATTAGTTGCGACACAGAGGGTAAGTTTGAGCGATGCTATTTGATTGTTGCTTCACATCTCCATGAGAAATTCCATGGAGAAGTTGCGAGGTCTTTATCCCGTTGGTGTGCCGGAAGAAGCAGAAGCCCACTCAGTTCTCCTCCCAGACATGGTTGCTGGGCCTCGGTTAACCATCCAAAAATACTCGGAAAAATTCTTAGGATCTCATCCATAGTTTAATGGTTATCCATGGGAACCGTTCCATGATATGAATTCCATTCGATTTCGTTGGGATTGTCATGGGATTTTCCAGTTAAAATACGGGTGTGGGTGTTTTATTATTCATCAAGATGGCATTGAAAGCTCTCCAATGTCTGGAGGATCAACCCATTGAGATTTTGTTTATGCCCTGTCGCGAGCAAAGGCATGATGTATCTGTTTCCCATATTGGGGGATGGTCATCCAGTAATAGGGATCTATGATGATCTATGTAGCCATGATAGTCTCATCATGCAATGAAGTAATGTGGCTAAAACAATGTCATAAACCACCCATTACTGGGAATGGTAACCATACGGGATGATGGTTTATGGCATTGTTTTACCCACTCCGCACTTCACAGGTCAGGCCAATCACTTGGGTGACAGGATTGGTGATGGGAGTACCAAGCGACTGATTTCTAGAAAGTGCTGTGAACATCCAAGTGCTAAATACATGTTCTTGGGGTTCGATGTTGATTTGTTCATCTGGATAAATTGTAATAACATTCATATGGAAAACATGAAAACCGTACCAACATCACATGATTTCAAGTTGGTGAATCTAAAAGTCAGCTAGTTAGGGATATTCAATGATATTCAAAAGTCCCTTCCGCCAGCCGGAAATGATCTAGAATCTGGGACTTGAAATTTTGGAGATTGGACCAATTCAACCCAGGGAGAAACAGAGATACCCTCTGGTTTCATTAAACAGGCTAATTGAAAATCCTCTCTTATAGGTGGTCTCAGCTATAAACCTCCGTCTCAGGGTTTTTTTCATAGATTCACAAATGGGTATGGATCAATACCTATTAATACCATTTTTAGGGGGATGAACATCCATTTACCAGCTATTTTGATGTGAACTACAGGGGTACCAGGGTTTTGACACACTGCCAAATGGAACACCCAATGTCCTAAGGCAATACGAGAAGTTCGAACCCCCGCGCATCGTGGCAGTACCCAGAGATGCTTCCAATGGAGAGGTCTTCAAGCAGTTGAAGGAACGCTGGGCAAAGCTTGGGGGAATGAGATCATGGATCGGCCCTTCCTGGTTCACGTACCCTCTCTGGTAAACTAACATAACTATCAAAAATCACCATTTTCAATGGGTAAATCCACTATAACATGGCTATTTTCGGTAGCTATGTTAGTTTACCAGAGGGTACACTTCCTACAAAGTGAGGCCCCCATTGACGAAATCGCTGAGTTGGTGAAGATAACTCCAATAACTATAACTATGGTCTATGTTGTATGGTAGATATAACTTGGGATACTGTATCCCTCTGGGTAAATTATAACGACCTCACTGTTCTCCCTCATTGGAAATCATAGTTAGTAAGGGGAATCATCCCTAAATGGCCTTAATTCAGGTTAGTGAAATATTATAATTTACCCAGAATCCCTGTTTGCACTAACACTGAGCACCAGCGGAAGGCACCAGTGTGGTGCTCATGGCTATCATGGTGTGGCTTGGTTAATGGGGCGTCCAAATTAAGAAACATAAATGGGGCAGGCACACACTGTAACTCTTGATCTGGAAGCTAAGAGTTAGTCCATATCCAGTAGTACAATATCTTAGGAACCCCATTTTTCAGGTTGCATATTACATTTTGGAGGTGTAGTAGAGGGGTAACCCAGGATGGACTAAGTCACTAGGTAGTGATGAAGGCCAATGGGATATCAAACCACCCCCTCTATTGTTTCCAGGAAGGACACCCACCCAAAACTGGTATTTCACCGTCAAATGATGGGAATGGTAATTGGGATAGGAATGTTTGGTTCCAAAAATGAGGAAATCAAGCTATCTATCCACATATTGAGATGTTGCAACATCACAATTGGTTGAATACAGTAATGAATAGTCGTTATCCTCCAAAAAAAAGTGATGTGTCCAGAAGTTCTGTGTCCCAAAATGAGCTCTAGGCCGCCCATCTTTGAGGGGTATTTATTTCGGAAAATAACCTACGACCTGAGCCCCTTCCAAAGGAAAAACATCCAGTTGCTTCTAAAAAACGTTTTAACCTCTATGCGAGGTATGCTTCAGCGTCAGGACATGGCCGAATACTTGCTGGAATCCTGTCAAATCGAACAGCCCTGGAACTTCGAAATCCTCACAAATGTGGACAACTATGCCACCAAAGCTGGACACTTCACTGCAAAGGTTGCGATAGGTTGATAGACTGATTCCCAGAAACGAAGATCCAATTAAATCCCATTAAATCACCATTTTTCATGGTGAAATCCCATTAATCCAATGATATCAGCATTGAATCCCTCAAAACCCACATGAATGAAACAAAAATTTGCGGGGCTACCTATTGGAGACCTTGCTTCGGTTCGCCATTCAATGGGAGCATAGTTGTTTTCACCAGTGGCTACAGCTATGGGAGTTTAAAAGCATCAAACAAAAAGGAACAAGACGGACCTCGGCAAACAAAGTGGGGCCCCCCGTTGACGAAATCGCCAAGTTGGTGAAGCTCCAATGTCACTGTGGTTTATGCTACTTATAAGGTTTTTCGAAGTATTATATATATATATGCTTAATGGGTGAATCTAAACCAACTATAATTATCTTTAAAATCTAGTTTAAACCATGGTTTGTAGAAAATGGTTTATTTTTACCGACTTATAACTGGGGGCCCGCTGAGCTTCCATGCCAAGCTTTGTCCAAGCGTGGCCTGCGATCTTAAACTTTCCATTCAGCCATCTTGACGACTAGTTCACTCTAGTTCATGTATTTGTAAGGTACTGGTTGGTGGTTTCAAACATGTTTTATTTTCCATAATGTATGGGATAATCCTTCCCATTGACTAATATTTTTCAGAGGGGTTGAAACCACCAACCAGTAAAGTATGTGAATGAGAATAGCAACATGTGGTATAAGAAATATATAAGATGGGTATGGTACCCTATGCTAATGCAACCTGGTAATGGTTTCCGAGCGTCTTTTGATAGGAAAAAACATTTTTACAAATTGAGTGGAACCGTTCCGTTGCCGTCGTTTCTGGCCGGATTTTTGGGAGAATCTTCCGGGTTTTGTTCCGTTTGAAAGATTTCTCCAAGGTTGACATCCACGGTTTCTCCAACGCCATTTCCAACGAAGCATGGAACCAAACAGAGTGAGCCACTCAAAATACCCAACTGATCCCTGTTGGTTGCTGATGATTCTAGTGGGCACTGTGTTGTACTACCTGGTTCTCGGTAAGCCGCAGGATACCTATTGATCAACTAGTTCTTTTGGATGGGTCAAAACCTTTTATTGCCATATTTGGGGCAATAACCAGCCATTATAACCAGTGACTTTGGGAACGGTTTGGGTATGAAGTTCACCAGCGTGGCGCTCAGGTGATTTGTTGCTCGAAGATCATGGACTCTTCCTGGCGCCCCAGCAATTGGCAATCGATTTCGACGAGCCGCTCGGCGCACGGGGGTCATTTTCCAATAGGGAAACTCATCTGCCATGTGTTTGCTATCGGTTCCATGTTGGATCTTCGGGGTATGTTATGAATGGTGTTTCTACCCTCTGGTAAAGTAACATAACTATCGAAAATGGCCATAGAAATAGTGGATTTACCCATTGAAAATGGTAATTTTTGATAGTTATGTAAACGTTTACCAGAGGATAAATTTGCTGTTCCATCCCGATCTGGAATGATGATTTAAATGAGGTATATATGTGGTCGGACTTACGAGGATTTGGGGTGATGTTGACCTGCGGCAAAGCCTGAAGACTGGGAATGGTATTGCTCAAGAATATGGGTATGGATCAATACCTATTAATACCATTTTTAGGGGGATGAACATCCATAAATCCCAGTTATTTTGATGTGAACAGAAGGGGTACTATTGGTTTTGACACACTGCCATATTGGTATGTCTGAAAATGGGGTATACACCGTGGCCTGGAAAAAATGCGGAAGATGGTGACAATTGGACCCATTGGAGTTTGGCGTATCGCATTTTCAGACACGCTCATCTTCAACATCCTTCAACCATATCTGATATTTTTATCATATGAATATCTTGGACTCTGTAGATTTATAGATCATCCTGGTTTATCAACATGATAGTTCAATCCTCCATTTTGCTTCTAGAAATTCCATGGTTTTAGACGTTTCACTCGTTTCACTCAGTGGTCACTTCCCCCGAGGCACGCAGAACAACTGAAGGAGTTGCTGCCCAAGGCCACGAAACGCAGCCAGGCTGGGCCTGGCACCACACTCAGCGCGTGCTTGGCCAAGTCCATGGAGCGCGACGCTCGGTGGTGGGCTAGGCGGTGGCGATCGGTGGCGATTTGTCGCCTGGGTTCTGTGGGTAAAACAATGATTACTGGTTGGTGGTTTCAAACATGTTTTATTTTCCACAATATATGGGATAATCCTTCCCATTGACTAATATTTTTCAAGATGGTTAAAACCACCAACCAGATTAATAATGGTTAATAATGGTTAATAATGGTTAACACAACAAAAGTTATAATAGTAAGGGTATGTTTGGGTTATATCCCATCATATTAATCCCATCATTAGCCATGAATATACCATTAATAATGGATTAATAATGGATTAATGATGAATTAATAACGGTTAACAATGGATTAATGATGGTTAACAATGGTTAATAATGGATTGATCATTGATTGATCATGGTTAACAATGGTTAACCATGATGAATAATGGACAATCATGAACAATCATGAACAATCAGAATCATAATGGTTGATGGTTATTGATGTGGGTAAAACAATGCCACCACCCAGGAATATGACTGGGGGGATGGTAACCAAAGAAGCTATAAATAGTGACTGGGGGGATGGTAAACATGGCATTGTTTTACCCACATTATTGTGGAGTCATATGCTGATTTAAGGTGTTTTGACCCCCAAATGACGAAATAGTTGGTGCTTTCAGCTTTTGTCTTGTTTTGTTTGGATGATGTGATCACTGAATTGGTTCTGTTGGCCTTCAAAATGGGGATGTGGATAGACTAAAGTGCCATTGAATGAATTTCGTAAGATCGGCAAGTTGGTTTATAACTAGGATACCTTGTGGTAAACTAACATAGCTCTGGAAAATGGCCCATTTATAGATGCGTTACCTATTAAAAATGGTGATTTTCTATAGAAAACTGTTAGTTTACCAGAGGGTAACTGGGATTTATGTTGGATAATTATCGTTGATTCTCAAGTGGCCCATGTTGGCCTGACCCATGCGTTTCTACACCTGGCTTCGTTTCCCAGCGGGATTGTTATCAACCAATGAGCAGTTAAATACCCTATTAAGAGTCAAATCCCATTCTTAATAGTTAAGTTGTGGTTGATACTATTTTAGTACTATTTTAGTTATGGATCCAATAGTTCTCAACTATGGCTATTAATAAATTAATAGTGATGTTTCTTAACTATGGCTATAGTTAAATCCTGAAATAGCCTGTTTTCATAATTGCTCATAGGCATTTCAGGAATGCCATGACCTGGGATGGATGATCCCAATGATCTTATCCCCTCTGGCAATCAAACGTGGCTAGCTGGAAAATCCCTTCGAAAAATGGAGGTTTTAATATGTTTAATGGGAATTAGAACAATTGTCAATTGCTATGTTTGATGGCCGGAGGTCAAATACTATCAGGTAACCACCCCGACCTGGCAGAAAACGCTATCAGCAGTAGAGCCAGTGGTTGGAATCTACATCAACCAACCAGAAAATCTAATCCACCAATTAGGTTATAAGCCTAAAATTGATGTCTAAAATCCCGTTCTGAAATGCTAAAAACTCCCCGTTGTTCAAGCGGCAATTTTTGCATCTCATCATTGGTTCACAATGAAATCACAATGTTCAGTTACTGGTTACCCTCTGGTAAACTAACATAGCTATGGAAAATCACCATTTTTAATGGGTAAATCCACTATAAATGGCAATTTTCAATAGCTATTTTAGTTTACCAGATGGTAATGTTCATTGGTTCAACTTCCCATTTCTGTACAGTCAAGTCCCCCTGTCGTGTCCTTTTTTGGACAGTGCTGTTTTGTGTTCCCAAAAAATCGGCAGCATTTGCCAGAAATGGTACCGAGGAAGTGCTTTCTGAGATGGTTCCTTGACGATGTCGTGGGTCGTTGGGTCGTTGCTCGGGATATTGGGCTGGGATACCTCAAGCTGAGTCAAATCTTATGACGTTTCACCATGTTTTACCAAAATAACATGGGATAAAACCAAGAAAAGATGGCGTCCAATAGTCAGCCACTAAGCTAATTACGAAACATGGAAGTCTCACAAGTCCAAGCAATAGACTATAGTGTTGCAATCTTGACACAAAAGAATCTAAAAACATCGAAAAACTGCACGCAATCAGCAAATGGACATGACCCCAGAACACTGACTGATGTTGAACATGATCGCACGATGTTGACACGTGGTTCCCCAGGTGGATTATTTACGCATCCCTCATCATCCCGTATGTCCTTGAATGTTCTTGATTTGTTTTTCCCTAAAACATTGAAGGATAATGATGTAATGTTATTGTTTTTCCCTAAATCATCCGTATTTTCCCTAACTACTATACCTGAAAGTAAATGCTCGTTGATCTTGTTGATCCAACTAGGATGGTGTCCCTGTCGAAACGATGACTCTGCGGGGAATCGGGGAAAACCATAGAACTGGTGCTGAAATCCGTGTGCTGATGAAACTCGATTCACTGAATTCGCATGTTGCATCCTTCCATTGATGATCCATATGTCATAGTCGGCATCCTTAGGAATCCATTGATGATCCAGAGATGTCATAGTCGCTTGAAAATCATTGACATGTTTGGTGTTTTGTGTTTTGCTTGCATCCTTATTGTCATTGGATTTCGGGATAGGTCACCCATTCCTCGCCGATCCCAGGACAGCGTTTACTGCAAGAAGTGCAAGGAGACCAACGTCTGCAGTGGTTTGATTCTCACGGGTTTAATATGGTCTAGTCTAATCATACCCCATAGGATCCATGTATGGTATATATGGTAACATTGGGGGTATATTGATGGTAAATGTTACCATATATAGCATACATGGATCCTATGGGTACTCAAAAAAAAAACACGGTATCTAGTCAATGGCCATTCCAGGAACCTCAATTGGAGGTACCTACCATATATAAGGCCTATGTAAGGGAATATCCCCATTGATCTAGTCAGCACAACATACAGATCAAAGCTGCAAACGTCAGAATACTACCAAGGAAGATGATCGTACTGCAGAGGGGTTTTTCCTGCCTGCTTGAACAGCTTCAACAGTGGTTATTGCACTCAATGTCTGGCAAATGCCATGAACCAGCCAGCAACAAACAGTGACACGAGGTTTCTGCTATGGTTCATTTGGGTATTGGTCGTTTCGTGTTTTTTGGCGTCTTTTGACCCCACAAATCCGTCAGCTGCCTCGCACCATGTAATCAACAAGCATGTAGCCCACAGGTTGTCCAAGGTTGAGCCAAATAAAATACCTCCATGGCATCTAGCATTGAATCCCTCGCAAATTTGTTTTGGGAGACGATGTGCCCATTAGCCATTTCCCATTTTTGTTCCATACTAGATGTCTGTCTTGTCTTTCGCCTTACAACCCTGGCCATTTGATTTGGGGCCATTTCCAGAAGATCCCATAGGGTCAATCTTGCCCGTTCTCAGTTTGGATTTGTGTGTAAACAGTGCACTGTACCCCAAAAATCTCACAGCTAATAATTAATAGTTCCATTCAAAAATGGCCATGAATTAGCTGAAAATCTCGAAAGTTTCAGGAGCATCGATGTCAGACCAAGAAGTTGGATCTTTGGTCCTTACCAGTGTGTTTGATCGTCCACCTCAAGCGCTTCGGTCGGGAGAGGCCTCAGATGATGTATGCCGTATGCTTTGCATTGTCAAAAAATGAAACACCCCGAAGCTTAGGCAGTTCGTGTTCACATCCTGGTGGCCTTCGAGCCCCTCTGCCCTGTCACAGTATGCACAGTGATCATTCTGTGACCCCATAGTGAATCGACCTGTCTGTGGTTCACTGAAATGGTGCCCTGACCGACCTGCAACTAGGCATGGCTCAAAACTGGCCTAAATTGGCTTAATTACGATAATCAGCCATTTACATAGCCATTTACGGCTTCAAGCAGGTGGCAATGATTGGGGGTCTCAAATTTCATGATACTGTGGATGGTTGCGAAATCCTGCACCACCTTGGATGGTTGAAACTCTATAAATAATGGGATAAACTTATAAACCATCTATCAACTGGTGATTCGGATTTCTTCCATCCACAGTATTAACCACTATCAATCACTATTAACATCTATTAACCACTATTAATCAACATTAATCCACATTAATCAATCAACATTAATCCACATTAATCCACTATTACCATCTATAAATCACTATTAACATCTATTATTTCATGATTTCGGTCGAAAAAAAAAGCCAGCCCTGGTGCAGATTAGACGGCCCTTTGGTGAAGATCGGATGCTCCGTGGACTTTCCCAACGAGTTGGACTTGGAGGACGCGTGGCGACGGAGCAGTTTCACGAAGAAATGGCTATGAAACAGATATATATATATATATACATATACATATACATATTATATTATATTATATTATATATATTTATATTATTATATATATATTATATATATATTATTATATATTATATATATATATATATTATATATATATATATTTGGATTATAGATGGCTAGAAACTCAAAAAAAAACATAGAAAAGTGATTACACTTCTATTGAAGTGGTGAATTACTGTTCTATCCTTTTGGTGGTTATATCCTAAAATCCAATGGTTTGTCATCATGTTCCCCGGTGAGTGAGGGGAAAGCCATGAAACATCGAAACACATCACCTGCCATGCCGATATGGCCACCAACGAAACATGGCGAGCCATCATCCGGCACCCAAACACTTAGGCATCTCTCTAGCAATTGCCGCCCCCAAAAAAAATCACCCCTTGAAACCCTGGTGTACTGCTGTCCATTGTATCCATTTTGGAGTACCATGTAGTTTACCATGAATGTAGTTCTGTATATTTAGTACTAGGATAATACCGGAAGATCATGGTGACTGGCCATAAAACATCGGTGAACTGAGACACCTGGATTTATCCAGGAAGAATGTTAGTAGAGCAATGTCATAAACCAACCATCTAGATTGATGGTTTGTAAAACCCAGTTATAAATGCTGATTTTTTTGGGGGATGGTGGATCCTATTGCTTTAACCACATCAGTCCGCCAGGGTTCGCCAGGAGTACATGTGCCAAAAGGGCGCGAGATCTGCGAGTTCCACGCGCTATGAGCTCTACGGGGTCATCAACCATCATGGCAATGTGGGAGGTGGTCACTACACGGCCAATGCTGTGCCTTGGAGCGGCAGCGAAAAGGGACTAGGAAATCCTCGGTGTTTTTGGGTAAAAGGGACACAAAACATGGGCCGGGAATGTTTTATGAAACACTTTGGTTCAAGGTCAAAAACTGACTATAAAGAATTCGGGTTGGCTGGTTGCTTCTCGAAACCAAGGAAGAACTGAAGAGTCACGATCTGGGCTTCAACACATCCGTTCTCTCCCATCCCTGAGTCAGCGAGAAAACCCATTTGAATCCTGGAATTGATTCAAGGAAGAACTTGCGAAACATAAGGGAACCCTTACACTTGGATTGAAATTCCACCTAAACTGTGCTTTTTCTGGCACAGTATCCCAAAGAAATCACTGCATCCACAGATACAAATCGCCTGGGCTCTCGATGGGAATCGATCCCATTGTGAGGTGGATTAGTTCATCATAGGTCACTGGGAGACAATCCTAATGAGTGGTCTATTTCAGGACCCCATTGATTTATCACCCCATGATATCTTACAGTATCCGATTCCATTGCCTATATGGCCTATGTTGCTCATTATATTGCTTCAACCGTCTATGACCTCATTTGCCGCACTTACTGCATTTACGCTACAGTGAACCCAGCTGAAAATTCATGGTATGTCACGATATTGTGTTCATGACTAAATCGGACAACATCCATTATTCTTTAGCTGATGGTTGCTGGTTTGCAAGGCCAAGATTCCCCTATTATAACATTATCATTGTAAATTATCTCCAGAATGCCAAACCACCGGGCTCCAACCCAGTTAGCTCATGGCTTGGAACCCAAAAGCTTGAGGTTGGAAGTTGCTTCAACCAGTTCATTGGGTACCCTCAGTCAAACATTCTGCAGTAGCCCAATTCCAACAGGCTGATTCCCCCCCAATTAGTCTATAATCCACATTCTAATCCACATTCACCAGTTCAATATATCTACCACCCGAGTGAAATCGGAGTTATGTCCGCCAACTCAACGAAGTCTAGGACACCACCATTGCAACCACCAGTGAATTCCCTTGGCCAAACATGACCTGCCTTCGCCTGCGGTCAGGTGGTAGTACCCCCAAGCGCCAAGACGCTGGAGTTGGGCGAATGGTTCAACTTCAATGACTCCATCGTCAGCAGGGCAACTCGTCTCGTGCTCGAGCACAGCAGCTGGATGGGTGTTTGAAAGAAAATGTGTTGATTGCCATTCAGGAAACATATTTACTAATCAGTTCCTAATCAGCTAAGAACTACACATGTTGAGCCATGAATCGAGGGAATATTGGATACATTTGGATACCTTCAAATCCGTTTCTGAGGCCGTAAATGCTGGGTCCTGGACCGCAGAAGTTTGGTTTTTAGATGTTTTTAGCAGTACCTACACCTTGGCAGTTGTAATATACTCCTGTTCGTGAGACTCCAAGTTCTAGAAAATTGTGAATCTAAACTTCTGACCCAAATTTTCATAATGCGTGTATAATCTCATTAATCTCATTGTGACCCAAATTTTCACATGACTTCACTCTGATTGGTCGAGCCTCCCATCAACCCCACCAGATTTCCCAAGGCAACTCCGGAAGATCTGGACACTCAGGTGCGGTGATTGCTTGGTGGGTCGATGGATGGGCCAGCGAAATCCTGCACCACCACCACCAAAAGGATGGTTGAAAGCCTTTTTTTATGATGGGATAAACGTTACCACCGTTTTCAACTGGTGATTCGGATGAATCGCAACCATCCACCCTATGTTTTCATGAAAAAAATTGATATATTTAAATCTGGTTGGTGGTTTGGCACATGAATTTTATGACTTTCCATTCAGTTGGGAATTTCATCATCCCAACTGACTTTCACTCCATCATTTTTCGGGTTGAAAGTTGAAACCACCAACCAGACATATTTCAATTGTTGATGTTAGTGATAGTGGTTTCATGATGATTTTACCATGGTCAGCTGGGATGGTCGAAATCCAGACTTTGGGTGTTTCCATAGCCATGGGGGTATCCCAAGCTCGCTGGATTTCATGGAAAATGCCAATCAAAAAACGCTGGATGAGAACTGGGGTAGCCCTATGACATAGGAAACCTCCATGTTGTCAGAGATTTCCCAAATGAATTCTTTTGATGGTTGCGTCCCAAAATGGTGGCAAGGCGACAATCCCACGGAATCCACAGAAGAGAAGCATCAGCCCCTATCTCATATTACACTCCCAAAAATATCGGAACCCCAAACAAGACATGTTGTTCCAACTGTTTTCATGAGAAAATCAGCTTGCAACGCCATGTTCCGATTTTTGTTGTGGCTCCGGCGGCATTTTTGGACCAGCCATGGTGGTAACGCAGATTGCCCTACAGGATGGGGCCCCCAAGATGGCTAAGTTGGTTTATAAGTGGTTTAACATTGGTTTATGGTAGATATAACTATAGTTAATGCAGGTTATATTGGTTTATAAACCAACTTATAACTGGGGGGCCCCATCCTGTACGCTCAGGCCGCCTATGTTCTCTTTTACAGGCGAATAGATTGAGGTCGGCGGAGTCATCTGGTGGGAGTTCACCATTTCAGCAGCCGATCAACGATGGGATCAGGTCTTTTCCATCGAAAATAGTTCCAGGTTAGAACATGGAATAGTTCCAGGTAACAATAGTTCCATGGTTAAAGAAAAACCTACAAACTAGTTCCAGGTTAGACAGTTTTTTCTTAAACCTTGGGATATAATATACTAGTGTATCCGAAGACGGAGGCGCCCAATTTAACCGTTCAAAGTTGTATTTTAGCAGGGGAAAGCCAATGCAGCCAGTGGAATCCGTCACTATTCTGCACAGATATTGGATGAATTGGATGTGCATCCCACGAATCGGATCAGTGGTTTACAACCCATACAACTCTGGGTAATGTCAACCCTGGATTAGTAAACCCCTAGATTGTTTAGTTGGAAGGGTACCATTTAAGTATCATATCATGACTATTGGAGGAGTACCCCCCCTAATTGTCATAAACCATGGTTTAGTCTCATCCGGGGTTGACATGTTTCCATATCACGGTATCATAGTGTTACCCACTGAGTAACTGGGATTCACCCCTAAGCATGGGTCGAAGAACTGGGTACTTGGGTTTTTCACAAAACTTGGACGTTTCAAGCAGAAATTGTCGCTGTTCATTTGTGGTGCCCTGGAAACTTGATGTTTGACTAGCAACAACATCATGCTGGCAGGTCCTCCTCCCCTGACTGAGTGACCCATTCTGGGGCGCGAATGAGCCCGGCGTTGTGATGAGCCCATGCTTTCCTGCGAATCTATGGATTTCAGCAGCTGAATGCGAGACTTGGCATCTCCAGATGAGGTCGGTGGTTGAAACATGTTGAAACCAGCAACTGGAAAGGCTTTCGGGGAGTCATTGAGAGCATAGTTGTGTGCTCGGCAGTGAAGCTTGCTAACACCAAGACGTTCGTAGTGTATCCCATCTTGGATATTACCTTTAGATTGGTATTCTTAAGACCCCGTAATTGTTATTGGTGAACTCCTCATTCCGGTGGCAGAGGTAGAGAGCGGCCCCGTGCCACGTGCCACCTGAAAGGTGGCCAGAAAGGTGGCACACATGCAGCTGCTTTTGAGCGAAACGAAAAAGAATGGAGCTCCATGGCCTAGAATATGGTTCTGGATCAATGCCTACCATTTGCAAGTGGGGAATGAGATGGAATGAGCATCTGATTGCCAGCTATTGAATGATGTTCACCAGGGTTTTGATGGGTTTTGAATGTTTTGACCCATCCCCAATTTCTTGCATCGCCATCCAAAATCGATCCTGGTCTCTACCTCGGCTGCAGCTCAACGTGGTCAGCTATGGCGCAGCCATTGCAGCTTGTGGAGGACCATTCTGGGGGTATAATGGGAAGACAGTTGGGACATCATGGGATACTGGGATATACAACCAACAATATCAACAATATGATATTGGTATATATTGGTTTTGACCAGTTTTATGTGGTATGTAGAGCTAAGAAAAACTATTGCAATAAATTGACGTGAAAGATGATAGAATGAGATCGTGAGGAACCAGGGTTTATCATGGATCCTGGTGGTTTTCTGATGGGTTTGTTTTAGAATTACATAGATTGTCCTGTAATTGAGAAACTTCAAGACCCGATAATTCTGGAAAAAAATTGTCCATCCCCTTTTTTTCAAGCCCATATCCCACATCACCAAGTAAAAACCTGCTGGTGATGAGAGTACTGAAGCACATATTCTTGCAGGTCATATCCTGATCTTTGTACGTTGTCAAATGATATCTCCCCATGATTGTTGGGCAAATCCCTTGTGCTCATCTGCCTACATTTGGGAAAAAAAATAGTAGAAACTAGTATTAGTAGAACATATCCCAATCGATCCCCGAAAAAACGAAACAAACCACAAAATATGGACCCCTTCCCCCCCCAAAAAAATGGAGGACATACAGGATGGTGCCCCCCAGTGATGTTAGTTGGTTTATAAGCCATTATAATCCCCATTAACTAGTTCGTTATATCTACCATAAACCATAGTTAAACCACTTAGAAACCAACTTAGCTATCGAACGGGGGCCCCATCCTGTAAAGATGTGAATTTTAGGATCCAGGATTCCATAACCTGGCATTCTGCCAGGTTATGGGGGGCGCTGGGCAGCAGCGTCCAGAAACTCAGTAGTTGAACTGGGATCAAGTTATGGCAGTTCTGGATACCCTCTGGTTATGTCAAAATAGCTATTGAAAATGGCTATTTATAGTTGATTTTCCCATTAAACATGGTGGATCTTTCCATAGTTATGTTAGTTTACCAGAGGGTATGGATATTGAGATCTAGATTTTATATGATTTTATGGGATCCAAAAGTTGGAATGTGGGATGTTTTCTGGGAGTGTAGGGCCAATGTGTAGTTTTCTGGGATTATTTTTCCAGGTGATTTCTGAGTGGTGCGCTGGGGCCAAATTCTTGATGGAGTGTTGCCAGTGTTGCCCGTGGACTGATGGGTTTACCGGTTGACCCATTTTCTCCGACGAAAGACGGTGCTGAAGATGACCACCCAGGCTGATTGGGTTCATGAGCATCCCATTATATCCCCACATGTAGGTAAACCTGTGGTAAACAGTTGGTTAATCATGCTAAACCTACAAGGTGGTGCCCCCTAAAGTTATAAATGGGTTATAATCCCATTAACTATAGATATATCACCTATAAACCATAGTTATTGGACTTATAAACCAACTTAGCTAACTATGGGGCACCACCTTGTATATCACCTATATCTATGATTATTTGTGTATCTATGGTTACTTGGGAAATCCCCTTGATCCCTCTTGAATGAAGGGAGTCCAGCAGCAACCACGGTTAAAATTGTTGCCGCCTGGTTGGATGTTTACTGATGAACTCTTTGGGCATCCCAGGTTAAACAATGTTAAACAGGGATGTCTGAAGTTGGATGGGAAGTTCCCAGGTTGCCCAGCAATTTCGATGTTTCTCCCAAGATCAGCCTTCATATCCCCCCCCACAAGTTGCCAGTCATCCGAAGTTAGGGATTTCCCGTGGTGTTTGGTGAAATCCCTGGCACTTCGCCCACATTTCCCAAGGCTCATGCTCTTTGACCAGCTCTCGCCCCAATCCTTGCAGCGTCTTGGACAGCAATCTGACTCCGATGTTACGATGTTCTCGTCTTTTCTGATGAGTTGCTTAGTAGGTAGATGTAGGTAGTAAGTCCCAATGTTCTGTTATTGAAAGTAGCGTTTATGCATAGTTCGATATGATGCATTGCTACATACATAGGTACCGGGGGGCTAGCATACACATATATATATATATAGATATGTGTGTGTGTATGTGTGTGTGTGTGCGTGTGTCCAGATACATATTTAATTTTGTTTGTTCGCAGTCCCACTTTAGTATTTATCCAAAATAATTTGTTTCCTTTCAAACTCCCATGTTTGCTGGCTATCCACCTGTTCCTTGTTGCTTCACCATGAAATATCAGACCCTCATTGGTTGCCTGAGATGTTCAAACTAGTCACTTCAGCATGGTTGAGCTGCATGGGTGTGACTGAAATCATGGTATACTCCAACAAAACCATGATTTATCATCAAATGTTCACCATAACATTGCCAGTTCGGGAAAATGCCCCAGTTTCAACCACCACAATTCATGTATCCAAGAGCCATCAAAGTCCTCCCCGGTCTCGCACGTAGTGAGGCCCAACTTGGTGACGTTCAACGGCTACTTATCGGCTCTGCAAAAGGCGGCACGATGGGTTGGGCGACCCAGTGGGGTTGGCGGGAGCTTCAGCGGCGATGGAGGGTCCAAGCAAGAAAAATGGTGGGTTTTCTGAGCAAAACTAGGGATATGAAATGATATAAGTAGCACACAGGGTATGGGCAGCAAATCTAAGGGTCCCACCTGTTGCTCGCCACAATTTGTAGGTCATCAGGTGCTGCTTCAGGGTCCTTCAGCTTCCCCAATTCTGATTTGTTCAACGCCACTTGAAATGGTGGTTCAATGGTGGTAAGCCCCGAAATTGCTGATGTTGCCGAGAAGTTTAGCTCAGATTCTACTACTGTCCTCATCTTTTTGGGGTTTGCAACACTCCCACCAGGAGCAAGCTCTTTCACCGGAGCTTGGCAGCGAAATGGGACCTCTCGACGCCTCAGCCTCAGTCCCAAGATACCCCCAGTTATGGGAGAAACTTTGCTGGTTGTTCTTTTTTACTAGTGATTATGGATCATTCCCAAAAATTCCCTGCTAAGCACCAGTAAGTTTCAGAAAAAGCCAAATTTGGGGGTTCAATAGTTTCATTCTTGGGTTGTCCCAGCTAGCCCCCTGTATTGCTTCAATTCCCGATTTGCTTTGGTCGAAGCGCCGTTTCTGGTGGTCAAACCTCCACTTTTAGTGGCTAGATCCACATAAAATCTATTAGATGTGAGTAAAACAACAATAATCCATCCCCAATTTCACCATTTGTATAGGTGGTATGGGCTACCATTCCCAAATTTTCATGGGTGGTTTATGGAAGTTTATGGCATTGTTTTACCCACTTTCGATGTGATTTTTGGGGCTGGGGCTCGCAGGTTCCAGCCTATGGAGCGCAAGTGGCTGCCTGCGCTGCAGCTCGCAGTTGGATGCAGGTGGGGGCAGCTGGAAGCTGAAACCCCATCGGATCGGAAGTGGTTAACCATAGCTATAAGCCACTTATATAAATAGCTAGAGATTTCCAGGAAATAAGTGGGGTTAGGATGGCTTAGTGTTATCTATGGTTACTACAAGTGGATCTTACTTGTAAATGGTGGATCCACGAAATGGGGACTTACTGACCATGGTTGCCACTTACTAAGTGGGATGGTCCTCCAAGTAGGGATTATCGGGAATTTGAAATAGCTATGGAAAGTATCAATGTTTAATAGGTCAATCATCGAACTAAGTGGGCCTTCAAGTATACTGGAGCGTACTTTTCTACTAATTTGAAGTTACTGAGTTTTTACGAACAAAAATAGTGGCTCTACCCAACAATAACCTACAAATGGAGCATATAACCAACAGATTGCGTTATGAAAACCATTCCATGGGGAGAGAGGGTGTAAAATAGGAGGCAGAATGGAATTTACCATGTTTATATAGCACCAACCAAAATGGTGCCACAAAAACCAACAAGTATATATAATCGGGATATAATGGGAATATATTGGTTATGGATAATATGTACGGACTTTTTTGGGATATACAACAATGTGATATTGGAAAAATTGGAGAACACATATGGCAGGCTTGACATCTTTCGCAAAGGTTTCAAGAGTGCCCTACACTTTGAGTAGTGATTTGGTGGATGTCAGGAGCCCATCTTTTCCCATATTTGAAGTTAGCTAAAATTACCCTCTGGTAAACATACAAAAAACTATGGAAAATCACCATGTTCAATGGGTAAATCCACTATAAATGGCCATGTTCAATAGCTATGTTAGTTTACCAGAGGGTAGCTAAAAATTACTGTTCGCTTTTCACCAAGGCAATCTACAACGAAAATGACGTAAAGTTTCCTCATTGAAATTATGTGGCTTGCGATCCAAACGAATGAAGGTGGGGATTTCCCTGAGTACAACCACAATGAAAATGGCTGGCTATTGAAAATGGCCATAGAAATAGTTGATTTTCCCATTAAAAATAGTTATTTTCCCATGAATTGCAGCCATTCAATTCCAAATCTCCGATGAAAAATGGTTGGCTGCCTTTTCGTCTCAGAAAAACTGAGCGACCACTGGAGGGAGCGGTTCGGAGCGACCACTGGTCTCCTCTTTTTCTCTTATCCCTTACAGGACGGGGCCCCCAAGATAGCTAAGTTGGTTTATAAGTGGCTTAACAATGGTTTATGGTAGATATAACTATAGTTAGTGGGGATTATAATGGTTTATAAACCAACTTATAACTGGGGGGCCCCATCCTGTATTCCCAACCACATGACAGGTTGATAGGTTGCTTCTAAGTCTTGTTCCTAACTGTCCTAACTCAAGTGATGGTGATTTCAAGTGCTGCAAACCCTTCCAATTCCGAATCCAGTTTCTAAGCAATTCCAGACAAGATTTGGCGATCAAACTGTTGGTACCCGGTTTTTCACATCAGAATAGCTGGTGAATGCGAAGTTCGTGTTGAGACTTACACCCTGTGAATCCATGGTCAATTCCTCTGCGGCTTCGTCCGAAAAGCAGGGTACCTCATGGTCTGAATGGCCATAAATACTTGGAGGTGCAGTTGGGGTTATTAATGGCTATAACTACGGGAGTTTAACCCCCATGAGATGGGATACAAGCCTTACAACTATGGCCACGCCGCAGGTAGCTGCCCTGCTACGAGAGCTCCGGAAGTGTCAACTTCAAGCGGCGACCCGGTTACAGCTATAGGAGATGACATGCTGGGCCAATGATGTGGGTTTTCTTTGAAAATAAGGTACCCTGTTTAGGCAGTCCTCTAACGGTAATTAATCAAGTACGTGGCAGGGAAATCCCTGAACAACTCAACTTATAGCGAAAAGCATTGATAAATGATAAGGATTAATAAGCCTGGTGATCATGAGTCCTCCAACTAGGCTTATCCCGGAAGTTATCCCATATAATGTCAACCCTGGATTAATAAACCGCAAACGGCTGTTTAATTGGGAGGGTACCATAAAAAAGTATTAGATGAAATGACTATTGGGGGAGTACCCCCCTAATTGTCATAAACCATGGTTTAGTCTCATCCGGGGTTGACATTAGTCATGGGTTAGTTAGTGAACTAACCCCACTATCCACGTCTATCACGATCTGTGGGATGATCCTGATGATCCTCCAAGTACCTCTTTCCATTGGTTAATCACATGGTCTTTATCCATTAATATATTAACCACCATGATATTAACCATTAATTTCCATTGGTTATCCAACATACCACGGAATATCATGGTGGACCGAGCCCCATACCACTAGAAATTCCCATGTGGCACCGGACCATTGGGATGTGAATATAACTTTTCACCATAAAAGTCATCACCCGGTGATATGTTGGATATACCCTAGCCGCTCCCTAGCCCTAGTTGTTACGATGTTATACATTGTTGGATGTAACCACTAGGGCTCCAAGTGGTATGCACTCCATGTTACATATGATATTGGTTAACATGTAATATTGTTCTGCACTCCAACAATTACATGTTACGATTGGTAACGCTAATATGCTCCATGTTACATATTACTATTACCATCTGGTTATTTAACATAGCCATGGAAAATCACCATGCTATTAATAGGCAAACCATCTATAAATGGGCCATCTATACCATGGCTATGTTAGTCATAACCAGAGGGTATATCCGAATTGGTATGCACCCCGAAGACATAGATCAGCTTGCGCTCCCAAGGATTCCTGGATGAAGCAATGGACAGTCTACTCCTTAGCGCGAGGCGACTTTTTCGATGCTGACTCCCCTGAATTTGACCTCGCTATCTGGGTATATCTGGGTAAACCCTGAGAATTGATAGGTCTTAGGTTCATAGATGTTCATAGGTTGTTTGTTGCTATAAATGGAAAAAAATAGAGAGACATATTGTGTAGCCAAAGATTAAGTGAATCTGAGGGTAGTCTCGGGACAAAAAAAAGTTGACTGGAAGATGTTCGTATTGGAAATAGCTATTTGTTGGGTTCTATGTTAAATTTGGGGAGCGCACTTGGATGCCCTGAGTTTTAACGCACAGAAAATCATGTTGCAAACCGACGTTGATGTGGGGTTCGACGTTCGTTTTCAGGCTGGTACCAGCTGGAAGAGTAGGTATTTCTGTCAGGACGTACTTGGATGCCCTAGTTGGCTTGATTCATTGTATATTAGCGGAGGATTTCCTGGTATATTCCCAGCCGCATTCTTGACGTTAAAACGTATAGCATTGTTTCTACATGTATCTACTCTCTCAATCAAAGCATTATTGCTCGTGTTGTGCCAGTGATGTCACGTATGTTTGTTTTCTATCCGACCGCAGATTTTTCTGTAAGATAACATGCCACTGGCAAATCCACCATCAGCATCCAGATGTTCCCATCAAAACAGACTATTGGTATACCATCATCATTCAACGGCCAGTTTGGATGTATATATACTGTAATAATCTGTACATGTATGTATGTATATTATATATATATATTGTATGTATATATATATATATTGTATATATATATATTGTGTATATATATATTGTGTATATATATATTGTGTATATATATATATATATGTGTGTAATACGTACACCTCTGAACATATTGAGAGTGTTTTCCTCATGTTTGATTATGCTGCTACCTGGGGAGGGCCCGCAGGTCAGATCCACTCGTCCAGCATGGCTACTCCGCAGGCGCGGGTTCCCGTCACCAGCAGGGAGGTGGGGAGGTATCGACCGGGGATCCGTTACAACGACCGAAGCCGTTGTTTTCCGTCACTGGAATGATGGGAAATGGATTTGGGGACTCCCCAAAGTCCGTATGATCACAGGTATTTTCAGGTTGGTGACAAATGATGGTTGGTTGATTATGAGATTAGGTTATATACTACCCCATATATCGGGTTTTTTTCACTATCCATGAAGTGGGAAATCCGTTCTTAACCAACCAATGATGACGACAAAGAGTTTTGAACACTGCCCACTTTAAATGGCCGTCAGACCAGATCAAACCGCCACATGATGTTTTGATGTGCTTGTTGTTTGATTGCAAAAACTTGAGTGTTTGATGCCTAGAATGACTGTTGCCATTGGCAGTTCCAAAAGATGGACCACCACCTTTTAACTGATCTTGTTCAAACCAATGTCGATGCAAATTCTGTACCTGACTCCTAGCCGGTTACGTTTTCCGATCTCGCGTTGACAACCCTCAATGCCAATCAAGTACAAGGCGGGTCCCCCTGGTCAGCAGAGTTGGTGCACATACCCGTTTATGTAACTCCGATATACTATGATTCATGGTAGATCTAACTGTCAATCAACTATTGTATATATACATATATATATATGTGCATATATAACTGAATTATAGTTGAGATTTTTCGAGTTTTCCCCCAAGTTTGTTTGCTGCTATATAGTAGATAAAACTATCGTGTTCATGGGTTTTATAAACAAACATTTCATTGGGGCCACCTTGCGGGAATGCGAACATCCAAATAACGAGCCTGCAGCATTGATTCAAAAGTGAGCTTCACGTTCATTTTCGAGATGATCTATACTTGTTATTTGAATTTATTTGATATGTACACATTATATACCATATCACGATCTTCCATATATATATATACATATATATATACATATATATATACATATATATATATACATATATATATATATACATATATATATATACATATATATATACATATATATATATACATATACATATATACATATATATATATATGTTTTACTACTATGTATCTATATATATAATGTGTATATATATATATATATACATGGAAGATCTCCCATGTACATCCCCGTCTTTGGTCCAGGACGGTCCTTTGTATCGTCCAGCTTCCGAGGCACTTGACGTACTGAGGGCAGATGACCTGGCGACCTGGAGGGATGCGAAAACTGGTCGCAACGGGGGAAGAGGGGTTGGGAATATCCTGGTTTAATGGCGATGAATGGTGATTAATGGTGATTAATGGTGATTAGTAGGGAGTAATAGAGATTGAACCGAAAATCTGGATGAATAAGTGGACATATAGTGGGAATATCGTGGAAAAATGGTGATGGCAACTTTATGCTTAAGGTCAATAGCGGTGTATGACAATGGTTAAGACTGGAAACCCGAAAATTGTAAAATCCCCAACCGAGGTTTATGAAATTGAAAATAGCCCTAGAAATGGGATGATGTTTTATCATAAGCCTCAGGAAAACTCAGTCACTGAAACATCCAGAAACCCTGGAGATCCATCTCTGATGCACTCGTCTGGAAATAAAAAACGATGGTTTATCATGGATGGATTCATCGGCTTCCATCATTGTGTTTGGGACTGGCCTACTTTGTATCCATGTTCGGACATATCTCATGCTTGCAATCGCAAGAGACTAGAGACCTCACAACAACCTTACTGTAGATGACCGAGGATTGTTTATTTGCAGTTAAGATGTTGGTAATTTGCCCAGATGATCTGCGAGATGGGTATGTCACCATCAAAATGAGGAATTCACCAACAGACGCCGCTAGGTTGGAGCGACCAAAAATCGGTACACCATCCCGGTTTGGGGATGCTTTATGCCACCCATAAACCGTAATGTTGGAAATGGGTTTATACTGGGTTTACCATAAATGTACAGTTTTTGGTAACATAAATGGTTTAGAGGCTTGACCCATTCCTAAATTTTGCCGCTGAGATGTTGCATCGTTGGGTTATGGGTTCACCATATCCTGGTTTGACTAGTTAGCAAATGTTTGCTAACTAGCCAAGCACAGATGGCTATGGATCAATACCTATTAATACCATTTTTAGAGGGATGAACATCCATTTACCAGCTATTTTGATGTTCACCAGGGGTACAAGGTTTTGACCCACTGCCACATGGTTTTTGTTGGTTGAAACCCGAGTTTTGTTGGTTGACAGTTGACATCGTCCATGGGGGCCCCAAACGCAGGAGGAGCAACAGCTCTCAGAGTCGCAGGCAAGGGACGGTGCGGCTGACTGACCACGGATGCGGACTAAGTTGGTTGTAAAAAAAACCGTTTTCAGTGGTGATCTTCCGGCTTGGATTGATTCAAAATCCAAATCTATTATTATATATATATATTATACATATATGTATGTATATATATATACAGTATATACATACATATATGTATGTGTATATATATATACACACACAAGTGTTTTTTGATATACCATATGTATCCATATGTTTGCTTGCTTAGAGTGGTCTCCCAATGGATAAAGGATCAAGGGTCGCCTACCATTTTTCCCAGTCAGTCCCAGTGATTTTCTTTCCCCTTTCCCTCAGGATGCCCTCTATGTGAACATGCGCGAACAGATCGATAAGAAGGCGATCCAGAAACGCAGCGAACAGCTGGGGTCTCCCAAGTTCTTGCGGCCGTTTGAAGATGGAAAATGAGGATTTTTCACCACTGGAGTTTTGGGGGTCACAGGGAAAAAGCCGGGGTCGGAGAACCATTCCTTGATGGTATAGTTATGGGATCTTGTGGGTGAACCTTGGTTTTTATAGGTTTTTATGGTAGTTCCATGGACTGTTCAGCCATAAACAGATCATGGAAAACTCCACAGAATCAACTTTCGCTACGTCAGTGAAAGATATTTTTTGTACCAAGTCAGTAATGGTTGCTCGGAGAAACAGTTTGCTTGGGGCTCACACAGATGTTCACGTTGATGCTGAAATTATTTTTGTCAGAGCCCTCATCAGTCTATGCCAACTTTGCCAATCAGCACTTCTTCTGCTCGCTGTGGCAATTGCGATTGACACATTCTCCATCATTCTCCTGCACCCTGAAATTGCAGCCTTCTGCAGTAGAGAAATCAGAACCGGTATAAGGGTGCCAGGCTGGTCAAAATGATGTTTCACCATGCACCCAAAGATTGATTCGATTGATTCTTTTATGCTAGCATAGGATCAAATGGATCAAACGGATCAAACGTCTGGTATGGATGTCCTGTGCTGCACACTAAGGCTTCATTTTTTGGAGGCAGAGAAGCCCAACCGACATACGATCTTTGTGGACGAGGTGCCGATGTGAAGGAGGGTCTTAAAATCTCATGGTCTGGATGGCCCCCAGATAGCTAAATTGGTCTATAACTAGATGAAAACTACGGTGTATGGTAGATATATTGAACTAGTTAATGGGTGTTTAGACCAACTGATAACTGAGGGGCCTCACTTTGTACCATATTTTGTTCAAATGAATACAGTAAATTGACTGCTTCTAAATCATGAGAGGTGATGTTTATCAAGTAAGATGAACATAAATTGGGGTATATACTCAGAACTTGCTAAAGGTGCTGGTGGGATTTTTACTGATTGGCGATGAAGTTGCGAATGTAGAAGTCACTTGCAACCCATTTTCTGGGTTGCTGATTTGGCATGATAGCTACCTTAGGCCTTAAATGGTTTCAATAAAAGCGGAAAATCTTGACCTAGTCACCTAGTCTGGTGTTGGGATTGCCGCATTGCCCAACCGTTTTCCAGGATGACTTGGAAGAACCTCAGAAACCAGGCGCGGTCAATCGTGGATGCATGGTGGATGCCGACGAAGTGACCAGCGTCTCCTGAAAACATCTGAAAAAATCTGATGGGGACATTGCAACTTCCAAAAGTGTCCATGAATTTTGGATGATTAGACAGTTGGTCATTGAATATCCAATGGATCCAGCGATTCTCCAAGTACCATCCAATCATCCAATGCTTCGCTCAGGGGGATCTTCCAGTTCTTCAACTCCCAAGAAGCTCAAGGTGAGCGCTTGGTTGGTGCAGCGATGTCACAGTCGGTGCAATACTTGAGATTTCTTAACGGATGGATGGTCATATAGCCTTTTCCTGAGTTTGCTTGTCTGAAAAATGCGGTTTCAAAAAATGAGTTTATCGTCCATTATTTTTTTTGTTTAAGAATATAGTTTTCATATATCATTTTTCATATGTGTCCATATTACACATGTCATGTAGAGGGGTCGGTCAACCACCAACCAGATAATATATCCATCAAGTGTTGTAGAAAAGCCATGGCATGTCCATCCCAAAACACCCCAAGGTGATCCTGAGACCCCGCTCGATTTGACCAAGTGATCAATCTAAGGAAACTACATTTTTTGAGGCCCTCCAGTGATGTTAGTTGGTTTCGCAACATTGTAACAAGACTATGGCTTGACTTTGATGAAATATCTATAGTTAGTTGGTTTCACTATCATTATAGTCATAAGTCAATGTTGACTATGGTTAACTAAGTTGGTTTCTCAAGCCACTAACTATAGATATAATTATCTACCATCAACCATAGTCAAGCTAGTTAATTGTAAACCATTATAAAAGAAGTTAGCTATTTGGGGGGCCTCAACTTGTATAATGGGTATTTGATTTCAAGGTCAGGTAAGGAGTTATGGCCATGACCATATCATGCTTCTAACCTCCATTGTCGTGAGGGATTCGCAGGCAAGGCTATCATTAACCGTGATCTTTGACAGGGTGACTAAGTCCATCTGAGGGCTAAAAATGTGTTTGCCTTCAGTATCTAAACATCTAAAGTGTGGTTCTTCTAGTTAGCCATTTGTAGCATCTAAGGATATCCAAGGTCATCATGCCAGGATTTTGATGTGGCCGGCTACTTTGAGACCCATCCGGCACTGCTGAAGCGCAAGGCGCGCGACCCCCCTTGGGGGTCCCAGGTGACACATGAATCCTCATGTTTTGTGCTTGCCCGAAACTGGTCCAGCATGCTCCAGCCTTATCCATTCAGTAACACTCCCTACTCCCTACCCAAGGGGGTCCCAAATATCATCAAATATCTGTAAGCCCCCTACCAAACACTAACGGTTTATGGGGTTGAAAAAATGACCGGATGGGATGAATTCAACCCCTCACAAGTGAGGCAAACCGCCTGCGTTTGAAGCAGTTGCAGACCAAGGAGATCAAAGCCGTGGAGGATGCCATGGGCCCAGGGGACGACGATTTCCTCAGGGTCGTGAAGGATAGGTTTTCACCATGAAAATGGTGGATAAGCCCATAGAGGATGGGCAAAAAGGGCGACTTAACTCGTAGAACTGGGATGCCCAGCTCGCCAGCTGATCCATTTGGAAGATTCACATCACATCTCAGCTTGGACCAATGCATTCTGATTAAAGTGAGGTTTGACACAGTTTGACCCTGACAATGGAGAAAAAACAAATGAAAAATTGGTCTTCAATTGTTTCATTCATATTGGACCTCGGAACTCACAATTTATCACTGATATAAACTGCTAGATTCAATTCTGTGGGATTCAAGCGACACAAACAATTTGGATCAAGTCAACAATCAACGACTTCAAGTTCTGGACAAATCAGTCGTAAGTCTCCAACAACATTGCCCTGGCATCTCTTTTTGTAGGGCAATGGTCAGCAAAAACAATCATCCGTGAAGTCAGGTCTCTAGCTGAACAGATGTTCCAAACTCACGGCCAAGAAATGACAGGTTTTACTGGTTGAATCCGTTGCAGCTTACAGAGAAAGACTCATTCATCAGCGCTATGCATGCCGCTATGCATGGACCAGGAGGAGAGGGGTGGAGATCGGGGATGGTTTCCAGGTTTTCCTCCTGATTTTTGGGAGCCGCTTTAACCAACAGCTGGATACGTTGCAACTCGTTGGATTGTTGCAACTCACTGGGACCCACCTGAAGGTACCCTCTGGTAAACATACAAAAAGCTATGGAAAATCACCATAGAAATAGTGGATTTTCCCATGAAAAATGGTGGATCTTTCCATAGCTATGTTAAATTACCAGAGGGTATACCGCAGCATCCAAAAGCCTTGTTCTTAGCCGATGTTAGACGTACAAGGGCAGTCCTCTCCCGCACTTGCGTTGCGGTGGGAATGAGAGTCCAAGAAAGGGAAAAAATCCAAGCTCAGAGACCTCACGAGATGTGCCTCCCATCAATCGTTTCATAAAGATCAACCACATTGGAAGGTTGGTGTTAAAAGAAACTTCAGCATCGAAGGCAACACTTCAAGTCGCTACCCAGTGACTTGATCAGAAAAATACCCGGCATTGGTTTCTTCACATTTTTGTTGGCCACAAAGATGTCACCAAACCGGGGAGAAAAAACTAGGGCCTCTAGGGTCCAATATGGGTCACTGAGTTCAGATGTTTGACCCCGATATCTTGAGCCGGATCATCCCAGGACTCCGTAAAGTGGCGCGTGAGGTTTTAAACCTTTCAAATCGCATGATCCCTTGGTATTGTTGGTATGGTTAGCCACAGGTTAAAGGAATGTGATTCATCATGTTTTTTCAAAGGCATGTTGAATTGATGCTTACCCTCTGTTAAACATACAAAAAGCTATTGAAAATGGCCATTGATAGTGTATTTTCCCATAAAAAAAATGTGATTTTCCATAGTTATGTTAGTTTACCAGAGGGTATCCCAAATTTTACAAAGAGTTGATATGGGTGGCTCAACCAGATCATGTTACGTGATGTGATATGATTTGATGTGATACCCTCCAGTAAATTAACAGTTCGACCCTGCCAGTCATCGGGGTTGGAAGACTAGTAAAACCACTACAAATTGGTCATTTTCAGGGTCTATGTTAATTTACCAGAGGGTATGTGATATGTTTGATTGTCACATACTGACATATACTGAGAACCAGGCAACCACCATGCCCATCAGTTCACTGGGTCGAACCAGGAGAGGGACGATCGCTCCGTGATTCTCGCGATGTTTATCTGATAGCGACCCACTTGAACACCCAATTTTTCTTCACATAGGCTGCCACTGGTTATCATTGTGTTCCTAATTGGGGTTACCTTATCATCACTGTCCCAAGGGGAGAATCAGCTATGGCGAAGCCAGAATGGTTGATCTGATTTTTTGGGATGCTTCCATTGGTGAATCATATAATCATCAGCTTCCCAACGTTTTTTGAGACCTCATTTTCCGACACACCAAATGCAGAAATCTGCGGGCATTGGTTTTTCTCCAAAACTGGTTGGCGGTTTTCAAACATGACTTTTATTTTCCATGTCATTAATATGGGATGTCATCCGAAACCCATTGACGAAGTCCATCATTTTTCAAGATGGGTAGGTCAACCACCAACCAGGTAACCATTATTATCACCATTATTATCACCATTATTATCAAAAAATTGACCATTATTATTATTATTACTATTTTCCATAGCTATGTTAAATTACCAGAAAATGATCCAAGTGAAATCCTGGGAGATTCCGCAAAATCTGTTGATTTTGGGGGAAAATCCTGGAGAGATTGCCATCCTGGGAATGCTGGCGGGTTGAAAAACAAGCCAGGTTTCAGGACCAGAGTAGCCATGGTTCACGTTGCAATGTTATCCAGTTGTGGTAAAGATATGTAAAGATTCTAAGAATTTCTAAGATGTGCAAATTTTCAGGACCAATGATGAGCATTTAAGCTGGATTCCAGCCGGGAAATAGCTATTCAGGGAGGGAATCTAAGTGCATCATCAAGGGGCAGAAGTCAGGAGAAATGCAGGACATTTCTGGAAATATCATGAAATAATCTGTATTCCAAATTGAACGGGGGAACCTACATTCTGATCATTCTAGGATCTGAAAGATAGATGATGCTACACGAGCTTCAGAGTGCAGGCTTCGATGTTACATCATTCATGTCTTGTTTCATCAGCCATAACCCAACAACAACTGTAACAATGCTGATGAGTGTAATCTACCCATACCAAGCGTCCGTTCCGTCCGTGAAAGACGACTGCTCGAATTCCCAAAACGGCCGGATGCCCACGACAAATCGTGTGTACGGGACCAAGAGGATGGGTGCGACTGAACCCAGATGTGCCATACATCAGTAGAAAATGGTGATTGTTTACCATCTGGTAAACTAACATAGCTATTGAAAATGGCCATTTATTTCGTGGATTTACCCATTAAAAATGGTGATTTCCCATAGTTATGTAAACGTTTACCAGAGGGTACATGATAAGACTATAATGAATGGGGAATATGGGGACGAAATCAACTTCAATAGCATTTGCTTTTATATAACCAGATTTTTTGCACAATGATCACCAGTTCAATGAAAAATGACAATTCTGAAAGCATCAACGATGCGATGCGGGAGACCACCAGTGGATTAGTTGCAGCATGTCACGGTCTCATGGTCGTAATCCAATCAATCCTGATTCCTTGATGACCCCAATTTCATTGGCAAATCCAATTATAATGTGGTTAAAACAATGCCAGTCAATGCCATGTTTACCATCCCCCAGAAAAATCACCATAAATAAATAGGTGGTATTTGCACCACAACCAAATGGCTAGTTTATGGCATTGTTTTAACCTCAGATTCAATGAATCCTTGATCCAATCCAAGTGATTCTGTTCCCATTGCAACGCTTGAGGCGCAGCCGATGGCCCGTTGCACGGAGCAAAGTCTCGTTGGGGGAACCCGGGCGAAGTACCCGGAGACGAAGTACCACCTGGGGACCCCTTTAAAAGACATGGATGACATGGATGGTGAAAGGTAAATGGGGCTCAAAATCAGCCAAGAAAGTGGATGATTAAGATATTAGTATTATTTATATATATATTGTAAATATATATATGTATATATATATGTAATATTATGCAACTGGATGGTTCAACATGGTTTACTTCTATACGGAAAAACGTCTAATGCCAAGGATTGAGCAGCCAAATCACCACGCCCCACGCTGAGGCGAACAGCATTGACGGGGTGTGCCCTCCGCGTCAGCAAGTGGAGGCGGTTGAGTACTGTACCAATGTGGGCAGAATTGGGCATAACAAGAGTTTTTTAGAGTATACCCTCTGGTAAACTAACATAACTATGGAAAATCACCATTTTTTATGGTAAAATCCACTATTTCAATGGCCATGTTCAATCGCTTTTTGTATGTTTACCAGGCCTGGTAAGCCATGAAAAACCATGAAAAATATGGGGATGCCAAGCAACATCAAGCAACAAAAGATCAGACATGTTGATGTAAAAAAGGGGAATTGGGTTTCTTTAGCCCAAAAAATATCATGGGTCATTGACCCAGAAAAAGGCTATCCTCACGTAGATTTTTCTCAGGTGATTTTTGCCGTGTCTGATTTGACAAGACGACGACATCTCGTGGGGGTAGAATCATAGATTCGGAAGTCCAACAACAAGCCCTCCCAAAAACAAGGAATGCATTACTCTGCATGGGATTATGTAAAATGATGAACCAAACGGTTGTTGTTATTGCGATGGTTTAGGCTTGGGTATCACCACATGATTTGTTGGTCGTTAGCAGTTGAGCAAGGCAAAACGAGGCAGTGGAGCTGGGAACAACACACGGTCGGAGAGTTGGGCCAAGATAATGTTCCCTTTTTTTGGCACAGTTTCCGGGAGGTATCCCCGGATGTTTCAAATAAAGCACTCGTAGAAAAAAACCAAGCAGGCGAAACAATCATTCGCCGATGTCGGCGATATCCCCAACTATACCCCACGAAGATTGCAGATCTTTTGATGCTTGGATTTTCTTCTATTCACATAGGGTCATAGAGTATCATAGGGTACTTTTCTTTGGGAAAGATTTAGATGCTATGAGTTTCTCATGATAAGATGTGGCCATTGCCAGTTTCCAGGGTTCCATCCCTCGTTAGACAGCGTCAGGCAAGCCCCGCACGGTCACATGTAAGGATTGATGTCAGGACATGCCGCATGGGGTCTGGCAGAATCGGCCCAAACTTTCCACGGGGTCTCTGACTCCCAATCCAATGTAGCACATGGCATGTTACACTTGGAGGAAGGATGGCCATTTACCCACTTAATTAATCTTAATTATGGCCCAAGTGATGATATAAGCCTTAGTGATAAGTGGGAATGGGTCAGAGTCAGATTTAGGTACCCGGTAGACTGGACGGTTCAATGACACAAAATCAGGGGCTGCAGCATCTCAAATTTGACCCGTCACCAAAGCTGCTCAAAGCAAGATTCTTTGAGCCAAAGTATTTAGGCACTATA